CTTGCTTGGTAACCATGGCAATGGAAATTAACAGCAAGGGATTGGATTGGATGTTGGAGGACTGCGACAACAAATTACGCCGTCTCAGCTTCAGATACACCACCCTCACCCAGGTAAAACTTCTTTACAGAAACAGTATCAGGCCATCAGGTATAGAGTCGAACCGTGATAACGTACACCATGAATGTCAAGTCAACACAGGTCCTTTGATTTGTTTTTTTAACTATATGACAAACATTTGTCTCCTAACATCTGCAGTTTTTGTTCTTATTTGTCACCTCACCTCAGTAGTTAAGTGATTAACCAGTTGTGTTTCCTTCACATCACTTAGTTGTTTCCAGTGAAGAATGTGTGTGTGTGTAATAAGCAAAAATGGACGCTTGTTGCTGGGCTTTCATTGCATGAGGATAGGCTGCACACTAAAACACAACACAAGTTTTGGGTAAAAGTCCTGCTTAAGTGCTTGAGCAAGGCACTGTACTTGATCCTCACACCGGTACCACCGTATGGTTTCTCCTTGATACCGTGACTTTCCCACCGATGGTTTTGCTTGGCATATTGTTGCATAAGGAATCATTTTCTACCATTTATTCTTGGCTTAGGAACGTACAGTAAGTGATGTCCTGTGGTGGCAATACTGATTGTTTATATCTCTCTTGATAAATGGCACTGAATTGATGGTTGTTAGTCTGGTTTGGCTTGTTGGATTATCAAATGAAAGACCTCTTTACTTGCATTCAAATGCGTCTTGTATATTAATTGTATCACATTATTTTTTATCCGGATTACATTCACACATGTTATCAATATGGGTATTTGGTCTCCACTGGTTCCATTGCTATTTAAATGGCTTAGTTGCGTTATGCATTGTATCCCTTTTATACTTTCATCAGATCAAATTCAAGCCAGATACTTGGTCTCCGCTTCACTCCATCCAAGATTGTTTTCAATATCCTTTTAACAATTATTTTTTTTATTGTAGCTTAGGTCAATAACTGGGTGATGGCTAGAGTAAAATGTTGGTCCACTGAAGCATGGAGGGACCGAGCTGGTCTCTCTGTGTTTTATGGACAAGTTTATTCTGCACAAATTATCTTGTCACTGCATCTCACCCCGAGAACCTTTGACTTACCAAAATGACCAATCTAAATGCCAACAAGCTAAAGATGGATGTGCCTTAATCATTCACATGGCCTCTTAATAGCTGTGTAGTGTCTCCGTTCGTTAAAACGCTTCGCTAAAGTAATTGGATAATCTGCAGTGTGTCCAACAGCCTTTTGTGAGACCAAAGGGGGGTTTGGACCTCAGACGTTTTACGGTGTCTCGCTGGTAATTGATGGAGTATTTAATAGGGTGCGTCTGATCACGTTTCAGCGTCTTGTTCATTTCTAAATGTCACTTTAGTTTTATTTGGAAAAACACTGCTGCACAAAGAGCGATACGTTTTGTATTGTGTATAAGTGGTGATGAAAAGTCATAATAGCCAGCAGAGGGCAGACTAGTACGTGAAGAGACATCTGCTGTCAGTGTGCACTGAACCTACAACACACTGAGTTCTACAGAGTGAGTCTTGAGACTGAGTTTACCTGAACCTCTTCACTTGTGCTTTATTTTTTTTAATTTATTTTTTTCCACTTCTCCTGCACTACAGTTAACTTACGCTTGTTACTCTGAAGGTTCCCATTTTACACACCAAACGCATCTGCCTCTGATAAAGTGTGATTTGTTAAAACTATACAGAAGTGTGAAAACATAGCAGCATCAATACGGCATTAATGCTATTCATACAAACATTTTGATTTGATTTATTTTCAATGGAATGAATTGTGTAATCCTATTTCATTATATGAACTGTACACTAGAAGCCTCCGGAGGGAGTCTGCATGAGTAACCACAGGTTCCCAAACACTTGACATACGTCATGTTTGGACCTCGTCCCTCCAGAGCGGCTCAGCTTACAAGTGGACGAGCGCAGCAAAGGAGCAGGGAGGGAGAAAAAGAGATGGAGGGAGAGAGAGAGAGAGAATAAAAACTTCCTGTTAAATGTAGAAATACACTACAAAGTTTTTTCTAAACAGAATCAACCACCCATTTCTTTTTCTCTGAATGGGGGTCTTACAATGTCCCCATATCAAAGGGGGCCGTGACAGAAAATGTCTTATACGGAGGAACACGATACAAAAACTGCAGGTCTGCTGAGACTCTCAGCTGCTTCAAGTTAAGATCAAAACCTTTTTCTGTGTGCTGATTTAATCGAACCAGATTCAAGGATGATGCTTTTTCAAAACCTTTAGTTCTGGGAACCTAAAGAAACATCCAGAGAAGACTGTCAAAAACTTTAGTTAAGCCAACTTGCCTTTAGACTAGACTTTAGATTGAAGGGAAATGACCAACGAACAGAAGCCTCTGTTAACCTGTTTTGATTCTTAGCCTACAAGCTCACTGTTTTAGTTCACTCTCACTTAGTGTTGTTTTTGGCCGCTGTTTTCAGAGTAAGAGCTTTATATAACCCACTGTACTCCACCTGCTCGGCAGCAAAAAGCACGGGAAAGACATGCAACGAACCCCCCCAAAAGGATTTTAACCGGGAACGTAATGTCTTAACCCGAAACCAGAGTTTCTGTCTGCCCTCCGCCTTGCAGCCTTTCCACGCAGGAGTGACATCAGCAGGCGTAAGGGAATACCCGGCTCACGCCTGGACTGAATTATTTACCTGAAGAAAGAAATGATGAGAAACCAAGCACTGGAAATGACATCACTGCCGTCCTCCTAGTCTTTTTCTCTGGATCTGTAGTGTGAAAACCCATTATATTGATGTGAAAAAGTATTTGCCCCCTTCCAGGTTTCTTATTTTGTTGCACCAGATAAAACACATTTAACTATTAGATAAAGATAACCCAAATAAACGCAAAATGCATTTTTTAAATGTTAATATAAGAAAGCTATTATTCACATGTCAACATGTAATAAGAGATCAATGAATTACAATATTGGTCAGGTAGTTTATGGAACAAATTTCCATTCCAAACCAACACTTATGACTCGTTTCTGCTATAAAGGATAAATATCAGACCATTCTTCAATTAGGAATTCACCTTTCTTTTTTTTCACGGAAGGATATATATGACATGATTTTATGTGACAAGATGAACACTTTAAGCTGAATTAAACAACAGTTCAGGGTTGTATAAGCTGATCCGTTACCAAGTTGGCCTGAGTTATGTCCATGTGCACATTAGCACTGTGCATGATAGGATGGAGTTAGAGGTGAGGGGAAGGAAATACAGAGGCCCATGAGGACGAAATATAACAGAGGTGAAAGAAAGACCAACACAACAGTGATCCTTTGTGTTAAATAATTCAACATGTGGTTTCTGATAGTTGGCTGTACTTGCCTCTGTTTGCTCTGTCACAAGCCGTGTGTGTGTGTGTGTGTGTGTGTGTGTGTGTGTGTGTGTGTGTGTGTGTGTGTGTGCACGCATGACAGGTGCTTGGTGGTGTAATGTTCAGGTGGCTCAGTTTGCCAGATGCAGTATTTACTTAATTAAACTGACATGTATGTAACACACTCTCAAAAACCATCCATCACAGTAACACCGGTACACACACAGTGATCAACTCACATCTAATGCTACGCACAGCGAGCATTCTTCCCTTATCAGTCTCTGCTTTCCAAGAGGAATCGAACGAAAAAAAGACAATGACAGGCTAAAGCTAAGTGCTAACAGCAACAGGAGCCCGTTGCTGATAATAGCTAGCATGCAGATGTTACACAGGTATAACGTTAAGCATCTTTGCTGCGTTAGTTTAGCACGTTAGCATACGTTAACAATATATTAGCAGTAAACACAAAGTGCAGCTGAGGCTGAATGTCATTTGTTTTGCAGGTTGTTTTGTCAAACGTACAGATAGACACATCATTTTGATAATTGTCCTGATTAAAAGGTATTTGAGTATTTCTCAGGGGACCCGAATGTGCGAACCAAATTCTGATCTCTACTGAATTCTTCAAATTAAGCCGTTGATGGAAAAGGAAAGGTTGCATGTAAGTATTCCTATAGTCTTTGAGTAGAGGTAAAAGTGGCACGGCGGAATTGCACGTAAGTACTGTAAGCCTATTAAGTAAAAATACAGTAGTTCAAACGCTTCCTGCTGGTGACGCCTGGAAAAAATAGATTCATCCTCTGGGAACCAAACAACAAAGATATTTTTTGACCAAAGGTTTGGACAGACACACGTGGAAGCATCATAAGGCATTTGATGTATTATTACCCTTTGGCTTTAACAAGTGTGAAATCAGCCGACTGTCAGGAACAATGACCAAAAAAAATATCCTAAATATCTTTACAACCGTTAGACATATTTCCATGAAATGTTGTACAGTCATGTACAGGAGAAGGTAATGCAATGTATCTAAACGTTTTATTATATTGGATTAGTAGTATACTAATATTTTTCCTTAATGTTTATCGGTCTGAAAACACAAACATGCCTAACTTGAAGAATTTACCTTTGCATAAGAGTCTGCGTTGGATCTGTACAGAAATCCAACACCGTACTTCGCACACCTGAGGAGGAAGTGACATCTTGTTGCCATGGGGGACAGTGGGGGGGAGGAGAGAGAGAGAGAGAGAGAGAGAGAGAGAGAAATGTTGCTGCAATGGGAAACTTCAGAGTGATCTGACCATCAGCAGGAGACTGGATATTATTAGAAGCTTTTAAATTGATTTTCCTTAGAGTGGACCTGGAATATACTGAGAGAGACGAGGCTGGAGTTCACTCACCAGGATCTTTGACCTTGTTAGACTATCTGACTTTAGATCAGTTTTTCTTTAATATGTGATCAGGCTGTTGAACCATGTCAGATTCATAAATTATACTTGGGTATTTGGAAGTGATCTGACCAACATCAGATCAATTCACACAGCATTCCACCTGTGCTTGTGGATTTTTTTTTTGCACGCCCGTGTTGACAAGAAGTGTGTGGATTTCCGAGTGTGGGAGGTTTAGTTTTTGTGCACGAGATGTACAGGCGGCGGGAATATGTGGAACTTTATGAGAAGGATCTGGCCAAATGGGCCCTGCTACGCAACGTCAACACTGTGATGAAACACAGCACGCTGATGCCGGTACGCAAATGTGTGTATGTGCGTATGTGCGTGAGAGTGTTTACATTTCATGAGTAATAATTGTAGGTCTGCCCTCTGAGGGATTTGTCTTGTGTAGGATACGCGTGTGTGTCCCCTTGTTTCATGCATCAAATATTAATTATGTGTGTGTACGTGTGTGTTTCTGTGTGTGAGAGAAAGAGAGACTCTACTATTGAAGAACTGCCTGAACATAAATATGCATGAATCACAAGAATGTGTTTTTCTGTTTTAAATGTGTCGGAGTTACAAATAATCATACATCTGAAAACGCAAACGTTGTGGCTTTCGAGCAACAAAAGCAAACTATTGCTATTCCCTATGAGGAACAGCCAGACATTTAAGTAAATATGGTTATTAATTCTAAGAGCTATTAGAGATATTGTTTGTCACATTTGCCTTTGGTAATTTGGGTCTGTTTGATGGCGATATATTACTACAGTAACTTAAGTAAGAGTTCTGAGTACGTCTTCCACCAACGCTCACCAGTAAGTGTGGAAACATGGGTCTCCAAAGATGGTATCACAATTCGGCAGGTAGTTACCAGTCAATCCAAACATCCATAGAGAGTAAACAGGACGGCAGTGGAATGAACATTTACTTTAATGATCGCCATGCTTAACCTTTTCCAAACACAAGAACACTTTTTCATGACTTTGTTCAACACGCGTCTGAATGTTAGCGTTGGATGTGAGCGACAGACGGCTCCCTCTGCTACTGATAAACAGAGTTTATGACCACGATTGTGTGTGATGAGAAGTATTGTGTTGGTAAGTGTTCAAGTCATGCACAGTCATAGGGCTCAGCATCCCATATTATGAAAAACTCACTGCGACCTCCACCGTGGCTGTTTTCCAGCACTGAAAGACAAAAAACGTGTGTGCAAAGTGGAATGGGGGTACTTTACCTTTGGCAACACCCTTAAACCAAGTTACCTGAAACTCAATCAAAAGTCAAACCTTGGCAGAGGTAATAATGAACGTCTTTACATCTTTAGAAATCCCAGATGATTGTTCGACAAAACATTCTGCTGTTTTCACATATATTTCCTTAAATTAATCCTAATCTAAATTACAAATATTACAATCCAATAAACAAAACAAAAAAATACAATATATGTTGTTGCAACTGCATCCACCTCCACAAATTCCTGGTATGCGTTGCTTGTTTTTTACTTTGAAAAGCTTCCAGTCTAGATCGGACTGTCTGCCTCCACCAGGAGATCCTGCGGGTTCATTCCACTGTTTTCAGGCTGCACCATTTGTAGCAAATACTAAAATGAATTGACTAGTGGAGATCAGCCACTATTTGTAATACAAGATGAAATCATTTGAAGATGCTCAGACTTTGGTCTTGGTGCAATGTGGAAACGCTTATGATTGAAACAATGAATCGTGGGTCTGATCACATGTCGTACTAAGGGCTCCTTCATTTATGGTCTCCCATCTTTCTCATTGCTCTTATTCTAACCTTGATTTTTTTTCAAACTGTGATTCAACTCATTGGTTTCCTAATCCTCATCCTGCTTTTCGAGCTGCATTTTTAAATATATTCTTCGGCCCAGGGCGACTTTGTCTGGTTGGACTTGAAGACCGGGCGGGAGTTTGAGGTGCCGGTCGGCGCGGTGGTCAAACTCTGTGACTCGGGACAGATCCAGGTGCAGGATGACGAAGGAAACGTAAGTGCTGAAACACACTTTATTTTGTATTATTGGTTTATTTAACGTTAATATGAGACAGTGCACATTATAATTCATTATTATTATAATTAGTTATTTAATGTTTTTTTGGATAGGCTACTGTCATAGCCTGGCTAACTGTGAACTTTATTATCTGTCAGTATTTCATATTCACATTGATACAACATCACTTACAATACAATGCAAGATTAGATGGTCAGACGTCTCTTGGTAAGGTTATCATGAACATACAATAAGGTCCCAATCTTCTTTTGTATAGCAAGCTACTCGACTGATAAGTTAACCTGCTAAACACTAGCCTAGCCTAGCCTAGCCTAGCCCATGTATGTAGCCAGACCCAGACGTAAATTCTGCCTCTGGCTAGTTGACATCTCTCACACTCAGCTAAAATATTTACCTTGACAGACAATGCGTTCAATTTAAAGATCTGAACTTGTGAACTGTTTTTTGAGTATTTTGAATACAAAATTACTCAAGTAGGCTAATAGTAAGTTGTAGTTTCCTAGTGGTAAAGCATTTTATTACAAATTACGTTTGATTTTCTGTCGGCTCTTTCAAATACAAATGACAACTTGAAACTTAAATACATATTTCAAATACAAGTAATAGAAATACTGCCCATCTCTGCCTGTGAACAAAAAATATTGTGGGAAACACCCGTATAAAGCTTCGCTCCTCGGCTCCCTCTGTTGACATGTTTCCAAATGTACACAAAAGCAAAAGCATCCGGCTCTACACTACAAGTTTGATTTGGAAAAGAACATACACACTGTTTTGGATACGTTTAGCTGTAAAAGCGTTGCCTGAACTGTGCATTTACATGAGCCTGTTAGTGAGGTTCATTTACTACGCTGGACGACGCTAAGACGTAACGTGAGGCGCCTTTCCACAACTGGGCACTAGATTGATAGTTCTGTATTTGTACATACTGCAATTTATTTAGCAAATACAAATCCATCCATTTAAGTGTACCAAATGTTGTTGGCCGGATACTCTGTCATTACAGTAAGGGGGATCTCCATCTATGAATACTGGAACAACAGCAGCCAACTTACAAAGACTTAGAAAGATGCTCTGAGAGGATGACTTTGCTGATGGGATTTAATAGTGTTGTGCTTAAGTCTTTGAGTGCAACTGCATCCATACCAAATATATCCTTCGCTTTGGAAGGTTTAAGAGAAGTGAATATTCTTGGGACCTCTGATTGAGTGACGTTTCTCATGCTGAAGGTCAGCTCCAATGAATTTAATGTACAGACGTGTGTATTCTGAGGGGAGAAACATTTAGCAATCGTCGCTACTGAATCAATGATTAAAAGCCTTTTCTACTATAACTGGGCTATTTGACAGCTTTCCATCTATGTTAAGTTAAGTTGGGTTTATTGAAATCTCCCATTAGCTTGTGTAACTGATCACAGATCGTTTTAGTTTGACCTCTTGTCTTTTCTATTATGCTGAGGAAAGAATCTGTCTGAGCTTTTGTTAATTCCACTTTGTTCCTCACCATAGCAACATTTTGTCTCTTATGGCTAGATTCATTTTTAATTGCAGCTTTCAAAACACAATCCCGTTCTTTCATTAGTTTTAAGATATCATAATCTATCCCAAGAGCAGCGTATTCGATATTTTTGTGCCTCTTTTGTGTTCTCTCACTTATTTGTGAATTGTGTGTCTCTCCATCTCTACTGAATACCGAATCAATTTAGTTTTGAATTGGATAAAAGTTTGTTTGTTTTTTATGCCTGTTAATACTGAAATATTCCCTTTATACTACAACTATACTGTGTCCTTGCTATTTTAATTGATCGTCCTTCATGTGTGTCTGAAATGTACATACACACACACACACACACACACATCCCCCCACCAGGAGCACTGGATTTCCCCCCAGAATGCCACCAACATCAAGCCAATGCATCCCACCTCCATCCACGGTGTGGAGGACATGATCCGGCTGGGAGACCTCAACGAAGCCGGTATCCTACGCAACCTGCTCATCAGATACAGAGAGAAGCTCATATATGTGAGTACTACTGCTGCACACTGAATCAGCAACAGAGAAAAAGACACCAGTCCTCTTAAAACATATTTCCTCAAGGTATTGACGTGCCTTATCTGATAAGTGATTGCCGGTGTGTAAAAAAATACGCCTAAATATTTGAATACGACCCATATTCGTGGAGTGGAATCGGTCGAGTTACTGTACTGTAGGCTTCCATGTACTGTCCAATTTGTACAGATTGCCTTTGTGTGTTCACATGGCATTCTGCACACAATCATACCTACACCTTCTCCTCCAGATACAAATTAACTTGTGTAAATCATATAGTTAATTTCAAGAAACAAAGTCCCATAAATGTGGACAACAAATCTGTTATTCAAGGACTGTAATTTAGCGACAGTATTCAAGTTCCACATTAGATATTTCCATTGATGTTAGGCCAACAAAAAAGGTAAACAAATAGGAAATAAACTATTGTAAAGTAAACAGGAATTTGGTTAATGTACTGTATATGCATCATGATTAAAGAAAATATATACATATGAATAAATGTATATGTATATATATATATATATATATATATATATATATATATATACACATATAAACATATATACATTTATTCATATATATATACATATATAAATCAAAATGCTTTATTTACACAGCAACGTAAACCGCTAGTAAACAGTAAGTGTATAAAGGTAAAGTAACAATATGCAGGTAAATGTTGAATCGTTTCTAAAACTACACCTGGGACCTTAGTCTAGTCAAAATGACCATCACATCAATACAGCTGCTAGGTTGTCTCCGTACCTCTCTAAGGACTGCTAGATCCAGGGCTTATACTCTAACATCAGCCTCAGATGTCATGCTCTCATCTCAACCTCCTGCCTCTTTGTCTCGTCTCTGGCCCTCCTCCTTCTCCTCCGTTTGCCCCTTTCCCTCTAAAGACAAACTGCGGTGGCAGGGTAAGTCAGCTCCCACACGTCAGGCATGGCTGGAGACAGGTCCGACCTCAGCTTAAAATAACGCGCCTAACACGTGTATTTAACGCACAGCTGCACGGCCTCAGAAACAGCAGCATGCAGTGTATCTCCTGTGGAACTGTACATGCAAACCGCATGTATGTTGCACGTTTTTAATCTCTAATTTCATCGGTATTTCAGTCTCATAAATTCTTGAAGCCGCCTACAACTCAAAAGTCAATTTATCTGACTTTGCTCTTCACAAACATTGCATGTACATTCATCATCACAGAATAGTTTGTTTTGGCAAAGACTCGAACAGAAACGTGTTTTACGATGCAGGTCCTTTCATCACTGCAGCCACGATGCTGCGTGTTGTTTTTCTCTCCAACATGGCCACCTGCTTTCTTGTCACTGATCCGTCCTCATTGTAGTCCCGTCCCGCCTGAGCTACGCGCCCTTGCATCACCTCCTATAGCCTTCCAGGTCCCATCTGGCTGCTCTCTCCCCCTGTTGTGTGAGCACAAACCCCTGAATCTCATTCGTTTAAGTCGAATTTGATGTTCATCCCAAGAAAAAAAATGTAATTAACTTAATTTAACCGTGCGTAGTAATCCAAGTTGGAAGCCCTCGGAACAGAAAATGCGTCATTTTGTTTTGTCTTGTTCTTGTTTATTTATTTAAAGCAACAAAATGGATTTTGTGCACATTTTGTGCACTGCATTGATATATAGTAGCAGTCAAAAGTTTGGACATATTTTTTCTCATTCATTGAGAAAGTGTGCCAACCTTTGACGGATATTGTGTGTAAATACCATTTTCAATTCAAAATGACTTGGACACATACTGATCTATGATACTTAAACCGGGCTGTTCATCAGCTTCAGGGGTAAAAATAATTCGACATCCACATATTACTGGATATGTGGCGTAAAATAACTACATATGTTTACTGTTCTTAATAACCAACTAGTACTTCCACTTTATCCTTCTAATCCACTCCATTTAAGAAGTAAATGTGGTACATTTTGCTCAACCACATTTATTCGACAGCTGCAGCCACTTTGTATATGTCAAAAAACATCTTTCAAACAAAACACACGATTATCTTCATTCCCCAGTGAAAGGAACATGATTGAGTTATATTTTCACACACAAAGACTGCAGGTGTAGCAGAAATATTTGCAGCCTGTTTTCACTACAAATCAAGTTGTTTGGAGAAACACATCAGAACATTACACTGCACAATATGGTTTTAAGGACTCAATTCAACTACAATCTTTCCGGGTTCATGCATCTGAATGCTGCAACGCTGCTGCTGTCCAGTATGTCCGCCGGCTCATCGGGATGAGACTGTCCACCGTAATCGTCATCATTGGCCGTAGCTCATCCTCTTCCTCTCCGTGTACAGACGTACACCGGCTCCATCCTGGTGGCCGTCAACCCGTACCAGCTGCTGCCCATCTACACGGCCGACCAGATCCGCCTCTACACCAATAAAAAGATCGGAGAAATGCCGCCCCACATCTTCGCCATCGCTGACAACTGTTACTTCAACATGCAGAGGAACAACCGCGACCAGTGCTGCATCATCAGGTAGGAGGGAGTTCAGGCTGCAGCGCAGAAGTGGACCAACTACAAATCGACTTTAGTCGGTCAGTCGGTCCACCACTGGTCCAGAGTGAAATAACTCAACGCATATTCAAAGTTTTATTAACAGTGATCTCCCAAATCTTACTGAAGCTGGAATTTTCAATATTGTATTATATAAAACCTACAACCTCATTACAATAAGTAACATTACAATTCTTCTGTAGTATCAAAACACATTCAGGCGGTGTAGTGAAAGGAAAGATTATTTAGGTAAACCCTGGATCAATCATGTGTGTGTGTGTGTGTGTGTGTGTGTGTGTGTGTGTGTGTGTGTGTGTGTGTGTGTGTGTGTGTGTGTGTGTGTGTGTGTGTGTGTGACTTGGTAGTGGGGAATCTGGAGCCGGTAAGACAGAAAGCACCAAACTGATCCTCCAGTTCTTGGCAGCCATCAGCGGTCAACACTCCTGGATAGAACAACAGGTCCTGGAGGCCAACCCTATACTAGAAGGTAGGAACACACACACACACAGATACAATGCAGCAGAGATGCTCACAAGTCTCTGAGCTAGAGTCCAAGTCAAGTCTCTTGTGGTTATAATAAGTGTTGCCACACGTATATTAGCTTAGGACATTATATGTCCAACAAAGCACATCTGATACCACAAGGTTATGAACGGAAAAATGGTACTCTGGGTATCAAGAAAATATTACAAAATATATAAGCAATGACTATTTTTTGTTCACTTGCAGAGCGTAAAAATTCGTTCCCGTAACGTTGGGTTGTAGCAAGAAGCAAGCTAACGGTAGATGGTCAATGCTTGCTTAGCTAAACATATACTCACCTATCAGGGGGAGTTTTCAGATGCCTGATAAAATTGGAGGTGGTTGAGCCCGAATCTTTTATGGTAATACCGCATAAATTGCATTTCGCGGTTCTTTTGTTGCCGTCTTGTAGGAAAGTTTTGAACCCAAAGCTCACGACAAATGGCGTCTGCGCACGCGCGGCCACACACGCGCCGCAGCAGCCAGCAATAAATGTCAATGTACGTGTTACGTAGGCAGGTATCGGAGGGAAACATCTGATGAGCTCGCTATACCGAGCTCATCAGATGTTTCCTAAAATTAAACATTGTTCACGAGTCCCAAAACTCGAGTCCGAGTCGAGTCTGAAGTCTTTCGAGGACGAGTCTCAAGTCAAGTCTGAAGTCACTGTGTGTGCGACTTAAGTCGCACTCGAGTCCGAGTCTCAAACTCGAGTCCCCATCTCTGCAATGCAGTGCAGTCCACTCGAATGGGTCGATTGCAGGAAAGGATGATAAAGTGTGCTGGTCTACTAGCGATCCGATGTGCATAGAATGTATATTCATATCTGAGCAGTAGATAACTGTTGGCGAGAGACTGATGAAGGCCTTATTTACACTGGCCTTCACACAGCAATCACAGTGCGAAGGTCTCAGCTAAAAGAAAAACAACGTCACTCCACGCTCCGTGCACCGTTTCCCCTTAAACGCTTTAGGTTCTCCATCCTGGAACCTCATGAAAGCACACATGGTGTTTATTTAGTAAATGTATGGTCCATTTAGTCAGACCGTAAGGGAGAGTATGCCCAAGGACGAAGCTACCTGGCGATTGACATAACATTGACTGAACCATGCGTCTCTATGTCACTCCTCCACAGTTTACCCATATAGAAGATGGTGATGGCCAACATGCCGAACTAAAGGCTTTAGCAAAGCAGTCCAGAACTGATGCATAAACTATGTCAATTTTTAATGTTTGTCAGAAAGTAGAGAGGACGTATAAACCTGTATAAACACAAAGTGTCAAGTTATGACACTAAGGTCTGGATATGGTATCAATACTGTGTTTCCTTGAAAATGTTCTAACATGTGTTAGATAATAACACAGAAGAACTCATGCGTCCACATGACATCATCATTACCTGCTTGTCTTCTAGCCTTTGGCAACGCTAAAACCATCCGCAACGACAACTCGTCTCGTTTTGGGAAATACATTGACATCCATTTCAACAAGAGAGGAGCCATAGAGGGAGCCAAGATAGAGCAATACTTGCTGGAGAAATCCAGAGTCTGTCGACAGGTACGGCTCAGCATGATAACACCTGTCCACCTGCTCACACTTTAAACTCCTCAGCATTACAATAACCTGAACCCAACATGGCAGATAAAACAACCCCTTTCTGCAAAATTTTCTGCTTAAATGTCCACTTCGTGTTTATTTCGTGAAAGGATTCCGTTAGATAGTCTCATGCTAACATTAGCACGCTAAAGCAAAGATGCTATGATGAGTGTGCTGATCTTTGCACCCTTTGAAAGACCCACTGTGAGGATTTTTTAATAACCTGTCTGCAGATTATAAAGTAGTGAGGACTACAAAAAAGAATATTATTGTTATTATCAATATTTTTCTAATCAGTGATATCTTAATGCACACAGTGAATAACTATATTTCCGTTGGTCTAATTTATGTTTTGAAAGACTTTAATTTCTTCCATTTGTTCCTTATGTTTTAGTGTTTGTGTATGATACTGACCATAAACTAGCAACATTTGATACTTAAATATGTTATTATATATGCACATATTCATACTTTTACCTCAGAAGCCAAGTTATTTTCACTACAAGTATTGAATTATCGTTATGTTTCTTATCTTTAATTCCATATTTTTATTTCCTTTAAATTTCATTTAAATTTCTTTCAAATAGTTATGATTCCGTTCTCATGTGTCTGTGCTGCTGTTAAATTAAGTCAAAGTTCACTTGGATTTTGGTCTCTCTCTCCCTCTGTAGGCCCTTGATGAGAGAAACTACCATGTCTTCTACTGCATGCTGAAGGGCATGACTGCAGAGGAGAAGAAGAAACTGGGTCTGAGCAAAGCCACTGACTACAACTACCTGACCATAGTAAGTACTGTGTCCTCTCCATCCTCATGTGGGCTCTGCTGGACAAAATACCTTTGTAAACTTTGCTTTTATCTACCCTGGGTTGTGTCAGGACATGGTGCCGCTCAGATAGTGCAAGATATAAACTTTAAAACTGCCTTAAGGGGAAACGTCTTAAACGTTCTTAAACACGCACTAAAACAGATGCTGTGATGATAAGTTGAAATACTTTTACATTACATGTCATTTAGCTGACGCTTTTATCCAAAGCAATAGGTGCAATAGGTGCATTTCAACCATAAGGATACAAACCCAGAAGAACAAGAAAGTGCAAATGATTTAATATTGATTGCCATAAACAGACTCCCTCTCTTGGTCTGTTCACTTCAGGGTAACTGTACAGTGTGTGATGGCCGAGACGACATGAAAGAGTACTCCAACATCCGCTCAGCTATGAAGGTACTGATTCAAACCACCAGCAGAGAGGCATGATCTGCAGGTGTAACTTGGAGTTCTAGTTCTCACATGCTCTGTTCTCCAGGTCCTGATGTTCACAGACAAAGAGAACTGGGAGATTTCCAAACTACTAGCTTCTATATTACACATGGGGAACCTCAGATATGAAGGTACAGTTAAAATTGTTGGTGAATTTTACAACACTGTGTATGAATTTGTTGCTGCTCTGATATGTTCCCCTCTTCAGTATGTATTGATACAACCTCTTTGAGCACATGTTCTAAAGCTCAGCAGTGGAGTGGGGAGTGTCCTCGTGCCCCGCAGGCTACATACATGCGGGTCTACCCCATTGGAAATAACAAAATAAAATGTATTTTGATAGTGTTTGGTTTGGTTGCCACACAGGTTTACAAAGCATTTCTAGTTTTTGTTCTAGCATTCTAGCATTATTATGGTATGGCAGTATAACCCTGCCCAACATCGAGTGAGCCACTTGACAAGCTTCATATTCTTTAAGCTGTTGACCTTTGGCCCTGCAGCTCGTACCTACGACAACCTGGATGCCTGTGAGGTCGTCCGCAGCTCTCACCTCACCACTGCTGCTATGCTGCTGGAGGTGACCCCCCCACACGCACAAATACATGCACACGCACACATTAGTACATTAGTGTTTGCTGTTGAATTGCACCTAATTACAGTAGGCTACTAAATTCCAATAACCTGACCTCCAACTACAAACTAAAATCTACTCATTTACATTGAGGTGGAAATTGAAATGTTGATTAATGTGCACTGTGCCTATTAAATAATAATAATACTACTGTCATACTGAAGGAGATAAAACAGATTTGTATGTGCGTGTGTGTGTTTAGGTAGATGGCAAGGACCTAATGAACTGTCTGACCAGCCGAACTCTGATCACCAGAGGAGAGACCGTCTCCACCCCACTAAGCATGGAACAAGCTCTGGATGTACGGGACGCTTTTGTTAAGGTGCGAAACCTGATTGTTGAAACCAGGGGTCTAAAATCCCCCCACCCCCCTCCCACCCAGTCGACCGTAATGGTCTGGCCCGTGTTCGCTTGCAGTGGCCCGCATATGATTTGAGTTTGAGACCCCTGGTTAAAACCTTTTATTAATCATTTCCCTACATATGACCTTAAATAAAGCCCAAACTAAGATCCACTACAGGAGGTTAAAGTTGTTTTTCAGCGCATATTATATGTGTATTTCCTACCGCAGTGTTTGTGTGTGCAGGGAATTTACGGACGCTTGTTTGTGTGGATCGTGGAGAAGATCAACGCGGCCATTTACAAGCCGACGTCCTCACAGCCCAAAGCTCTGAGACGCTCCATCGGACTGCTGGACATCTTTGGCTTTGAGAACTTCACTGTGAATAGGTACAGCCCGTCTCCAAAGACCTGAACCAGACAGGGCTGTCACAGTGACGTGACCAGCTGATCCAATAAGCATCCTCCTGTCGATGGGAATGAGGGGACCCGCTGTTATATCACGTCTCCCGTGCTGTCTCCTTTCATTTGTATCACCTTGTCCGCTTCAGGTTCCCTTGCTGCCTGTTTGTTGATGCAGTGTGTTTGGTTATTTGGTATTTGTGCTGAATAATATTGTCTCCATTTGCTCATGTGGCTTTTCGCCCTTCCGTCCTCTAGCTTTGAGCAGCTGTGCATCAACTTCGCCAACGAGAACTTGCAGCAGTTCTTTGTCCGGCACGTCTTCAAACTGGAGCAGGAGGAGTACAACCTGGAGAACATCAACTGGCAGCACATCGAGTTCACCGATAACCAGGACGCCCTGGATATGATCGCCATCAAACCCATGAACATCATCTCGCTCATCGACGAGGAGAGCCGCTTCCCCAAGGTACACGCTCACGGGGTCTGATGGTGGGAGGGCCGTGGGTCCTCGAGTGGGGGATTGGGCCAAAAGGTCCCTCTCTAGAGCCAAGGCTTGGTCTGTCCCCTCTGGGCTACTATAGAAACATGGTGGAGGACTCCATGAAGAGTACCTGCTCCCTATGTAGATATCAAGGACTCATTCTCAGTTCCAGGTGATAATACACTAAAAACATAGTTATGAATATTGTGTTTCAGTCTGCCAGTGGATGCCTGGGCGCTACACACTGCATCAAAGTGTCACTCTGCAGCATCAAATCCACTCTGCAGTATTTTTGGTCCATTAAACAGTGCTGTTTTAAAAAAGGTTGTCTTTGAGGGATAATCAGTTGATCAGTATGATCTTGACACTTGCAAAAAAAAAAGAGGATTAGAGGATTGATGTGAATTACCATCACTGGGTTAGCTGCCAAGCAGGCAGGAAGTCTTACATTGGCATTGTGAGCTGGATATTTATTACTATTATTATTATTATTTGGACACTAGCTTGTTAACAAAGGGGAGTATCTTTTGCTAAGGAGTTGGAGACCAAAACCAGAGCTAAAAGAGAATGAACTTCTGACATTCACCACATTGTCATGGTCACCACAACAACTTAAAAGAAGTGACTGGCGAGGACATCATGGCCTTTCATAAAGAAACATGTCATTTGTTTCCGTCCCGCAGGGCACAGACACCACCATGCTGAACAAGCTGAACTTTCAGCACAAGCTCAACACGTACTACATCCCTCCAAAGAACAACCACGAGACCCAGTTTGGCATCCAACACTTTGCTGGAGTGGTCTACTACGAAACGAAGGGTCAGTCACTTCATAAACAACAGGAGGAGATGATAAACATATATATACGATATTTAATTAAGCCAGTTTGATGTATTTCCTTCGGTTCTACTAGTTACAATAATTATCATTGCACATATAACGGTGTGTTTTTTGTCACACAAAATTAGTGAGCTAATGATCCAAAACATTGGTTTTTGATAATTGCATGAGTCTGTGTTTGTTTATTATGTGCACACTCTGACATAGAGAGTGTGTGTGTGTGTGTGTGTGTGTGTGTGTGTCCTGCAGGCTTCCTGGAGAAGAACAGAGACACTTTATACGGTGACATCATCCAGCTGGTTCACTCCTCCAAGAACAAGTTCATTAAACAGATCTTCCAGGCCGATGTTGCTATGGTAACGCCGGGCATTTACACACACACACATACACACACGGACACACTATGAGGGGAAACGAGGGAAGTGGGGGACAAGATGCCCGTGTTAAGCAGAATTTTCATGTACCAATTCTGCAACTTGAGCGTAACCACTGAAGTTGCAGTAAACTTGTGGTTCCTGTTTTCTTGTGGAGGGGTTCATCTGTGATGTGTTGCCCATCTCTGCAAATGTCCAGGCGAGATCATCACGTGGCCTAAACGTGTTGTCATCTCTGTCTTAACAAGTGTGAGCAGGGAAAGTCTTTATCTGACTTTATTGTTGTTTGCGAAATAAATGTTTTTTTTGTAATCATTTGGTTGCGTAACCGACCCCCTATCACTCTTTGTATAATGCACTTTTTTCTTCTTTTCCTGCATGTCTATTCATTGTTTAAACCTGGCATTTCAGAATACTTTACACTTAAGCAATCCATGTTTCCTCTATTTTCATGGGACTGAATCCGACTTGTGTGATCAAAAATCCCCGATAGTTCTGAGATGTCCAGAAGTCAACATTTATTTTAATGAGATGGAAGTAATCATTTTTATATTTAAAGAAACATTTTGCTGCAAGCCACATTATTTAGTGTTATGTTTTTTTAAACAATATTAAGGAGGAAACACTGACAAGTCATAATCAATTGAAAAGTTGATGTCTTTGTTGGTCTGTCTGGACGTTGTTGGTCATTAATCGCTTGGTTGCTGGCAAGATGTTGAGAAACATTGAGAGACAATCAAGGTGCTCCAAATCTCAAATCTTGCACGTTTGAAATAAGGCATAAGGACCTGAGGCTTTCTGCTCAAAAAGCCATTTATGTTAATCAACTATTTTATTTCCAAAATGCACTAATTATTTTTATTTTTATCGAGTTCTTATTCCATTTTATTTGTCAATTCTTTTTAATTGATTTGCTTTGCTTAATTTCTTGAGACGTTATGGTCCTGATTCGCCCATATGAAGTACTGTAGAAGTACCTTAAATAATATTATCAAATGCTATACCAACCAAATACTCAGATACGCTTAACATAAAACACATGTAAGTTATGGTATCAACACTTCAAAAACGTTGAGTTTTCTTTTACTACAGTAGGGTTTTTACTTACTGTATTATCACAGTGGGGTAATTTCACTTTTACTAAAGTAAATGATCTGAATACTACTTACTACTGCACCTAACAAGTATTTCTATTGATCAATAATTAATCATTAATCTGTTTAAATTGCTTGTGTTATTTGAGCCTAATGACATAATAAATAGAATAGAAACATATTATTTTGTCACTAACGATTTTTGGCTTCACTTTTAATCGCTAGTTATCTCTGAGCCTGCGCTGTCAGCCACACATTCAGAGAAGGAAAGAGGAAAGAGGTTATAGTGTCAGAGCACAGGAAGAGAGAAAGAACTCCTCATTGTTTCTACCAATGACACTTTCTGCGCTGTCTCACTGTGTGCGCGCGCGTGTGTGTGTGTGTGTGTGCGCGCGTGTGTGTGTGTGTTTTAGGGGGCAGAGACCAGGAAGCGCTCGCCCACCCTGAGCAGTCAGTTTAAGAGATCTCTGGAGCTGCTAATGAGAACTCTGAGCGTCTGTCAGCCCTTTTTCGTTCGCTGCATCAAACCCAACGAGAACAAGAAACCCATGGTGAGTGTCTGCACATACAGATACACATTCACAATAGAGTACGAGAAGTTCACTTTTTAGGGATTTTAGTTGACACGCAGAGCAAAAGGAGTAAAACCAATTGGTTACAGGTTGTCGGCTCTCCAACACCAGAGTGCAAAACATTTCTCTGCAGTCTCTCAGTCAGAAATGAAGAATGAGTTATGCGGGCTGGTCAATATAATGTAAACTAATTAATAATAATAAAAGTAAAATGAGAGCTCTGCTACACAGTAGGTCGAATGCAGCAGTAATGAAGGAATCAGATTATCTGTCAGTTATCAAGCTAAACAGTCATAACTAAGAAAATGAATATTTACAGTATTTGGATTTCTTTTTTCTTTAATTTAGCTATTTTTGCTGCTGTTTATGATCAGTTATACTCCCCACGTCGTACTTCTTCTTCCAGTTGTTTTGTCCGAACACGCACGGTTTCAAACAGCATTTGCACTCTCATCAGGAACATTTATTGACAACATATGTTGGACATACAAGGAATTTGACATGGCGACATTGTCTATAGTTAATTGAAACCTGATGTCGACCTTTATTCTCCGTCCGACGTAGCGGCGTGTTTTAACTGAACACCTGAGCAGACGTTGGAGGTCAGTGAGCTCACCCCTCCTGTTACAGTCTTTGTGTCTGTAGTTGTTTGACAGGGAGCTGTGCGTGCGTCAGCTGAGGTACTCGGGCATGATGGAGACCATTCGCATCCGCCGCGCCGGATACCCCATCCGCTACACCTTCGTGGAATTTGTCGACCGCTACCGGGTGCTCATGCCTGGAGTCAAACCTGCTTACAAACAGGTAGTTAGTGCAAGTGTGTGTGCTGTGTGTCGATTTATGGTTCTTTAATTAGCACAATAATCAATCAATCAAGTCATTTAAGGAGAAATAAAGTGTCCACTTGAGCACTGTAACATTATCTCCGACAGTGTTGCATCATGGGTTGTTTTTAGCCTCAATGTTGCATAGCCAGCAATTTTCTTCATTCAATTTAACGTAAAGTGCTGCAGCAGCTTCTGTGGCTCCATGTAATGTGTTTTGCTGTCAAAGAGGAAATTAATGAAAACAAGGAGAAATGTTTTCAATGCAGTAACAGACTGTGGAGGAGTAACACTGTTAATGGGAATCAGCATTTAAAGCCATTAGGGACACTGTGTGTGTGTGTGTGTGTGTGTGTGTGTGTGTGTGGAACAGATGACACCACATGTGTGACACTTGTTTTTTCTCTCTGTTTTCCTTGGACATGTTTCCTGCCTCACTTTGCTGCGTGTTTGATGTGTGTGTTTGTGAGGGTGTGTCCCTTAATGAACCTAAAAAAACATGTTTTACAAAAAGAGGAAGAAAAAGGGCGCTTTTTGGGGACTATTTTCAGAATTTCTTGCATTTTAATTAGAAAACCATAAACGTGTTCAACATTATCATTGTGAGCACGTCGGCCTGCTAACTCTAAGCCCCTGAGAGCACACCTTCTCCTATGACGTGTCTCTCGCCCACCAGGAGGACCTGAGGGGAACCTGCCAGAGGATTGCCGAGGCCGTGCTGGGCAGAGACGATGATTGGAAGATGGGAAAGACCAAGATCTTCCTCAAGGTAGGACTCCCATCAAACAGCGGGTCCGCTGAATCCGCTGAATCCGGTGATCTGATGAACAACAAGATGAAACCGCACGATGCCTGTGTGCATCCGGGTGAAAACAGAGTACAAGATCCTTGAATTATCTTGTCCTCAGCTGACAAGTGGTGATTGTATGCATTGAGTCACTGTTATGTACACGATTGGCTGATCATTTACAGGAAAGAAAGGGAGTATGCTTCATTAATCTCCGTGGGGAAATGATTCCCTGCATTTAACACGTCCCACACAGTGGAGCACGGTGCTGCTGTAAAGGCGCCCAGGGAACAGTGAGGTGTTTGGTGTCTTGCTCAGGGACACACCGACACGTAGCAGCCGGGGTTCAACCTCAAATTATTATCTCAGCCAGGTGGGAAAAGATTATTGGGTTTGTAGCTCGTGCTACTGTGTGAGACTGTGAGTGAGGGTGCGTCTGTCCACAGCGTGTCTCGCGTTCTCTTTTAGTAGAAGGAATCGTATTTTGGGTGTATCAACTGTTCTACGCTGCCATTGACCAGCAGTAAAGTGATGACCACTAGTACTCAGTGATGTTCATGATGTTCAACACAATACTTTGCTTAAACTGGTCAGCTGCAACTGACTGGAAATAAACCAGTTCATCGCGTAGCGAGACTCTGCTGATATTGTTTCCAGTTCACATGCCTGATGCCCGGAAAGTGTGTGTTTGGTTTCCTGCTCCATGTGTGTGTTTGTGTGTGTGTCACAGGAGATGTTGAGAAAATTAAAACAGGGTTCTTATGTGTGTGTATTTAATGGTGCTCCCATATGGGGGAAAAACTGAGCCAGAACCAACGTCCAACAGGAAGCAGAGGCAGACAGGCTCGGTCGCCAAGGGGTTAAACCTTACACAAGTAGTGTTACTGCAGATGTATGAATGTGTGTGTGTGTGTGTGTGTGTGTGTGTGTGTGTTTTGGTTTCCCGCCCAGTAAATACAGATGTTGTCCAGAGGTCACTGGTGAGGCACATCCTAAAGCTGGTTGCCACAGTGACACTGTCACTCAAAATATCAGCCGTTGTTGATTTGGACTCAGCGGTTGGTTTCACGGTGTGTGGCTCCTACAGACTGTTTCCTTGAGCTGATTTGGATTCATTCTGATTGAGTGATGGTTTGTTTCCAGCAGTATTCATCAAATCCACACAACGAATCAAACTAACTAACCAATGGAGGCAGCAGTGAACCAGCTTCTGTGTTTTAATTTAAGCTTATAGTTTTTGTCAAAGGAGTCTTGTGGCTTTGGAGAAAACGTAGGTGAATATATCAGTTTCCAGACTAGACAGTTAAGACACAGATTTGTTTTACGGGCCAAATTGGGTAAAGAAGATGGTAAAATAGGGACTATATATTGTTTCAGTACCATTTCACAGTTATCAGTCATCAAAATGATCACTGGCCAGAGATTCAGTATAAGGATGCAGGCCAGAGATTCAGTATAAGGATGCAGCATCAACAAGTGGATGGCCTGGCTTTCCCTGGATAGAAGTATGCGTATGTTGGGTAGGCAAGAAAGTTTAGGATTTGTCATGTTTTTATTCCATTTCCAGTATGCAAATAAAAAAAGGCACACTGATGAATCTGCTGAATCTATGTCACTGAAGTTAGCGGATATTTGAGGGCACCTTTCCCATCAAATCCCTGCATTGTGTTTGAAGCTGATTATTCTTGTCTGTTTGCACACGAATGCCTCGGCTCCTCCCGGATCCAAGGCTGGTCTCTATCGGCTGCTCGGCTGGACAGAAAGAAGAACAGGAAGTAGAAAGTGCAGAGGGGTGGACGGCAGGGCAGAACCCACACTTCCTCAGACAGGCCGGATGGACAAATCACAGGAGGAGGAGGCAGAAGAAGTTAATGTTCTGTTTGCTGTCGTGTCAGCAAACTGGAGAGCTGTCGGTTCAAAGCACGTGGGGGGATTATGGGGCTGGATATATTTAGCTGCTGTTAGTAGAGTTTCTCTATTGGTCATTTTTCATTCTATTTGTCTTTTTGAATGGTGAAAGTGGATATTCGCTGATACTAATTGCTTTGAGTTGTTTTTTTGTCTACTTATTGCCTCGCTCAAATGTTCAAAATTTGAGCCTTTTGTTTTCTGCAAACAGGATTTAAAACTTTTGATTTTGAGTGAATACAATGCAAACTAAAGCCTTTTTCTTTTAGTTAAATACAAGTTGTCTCTCCTGCTTTGTGCTAGGATCACCATGACATGCTGCTGGAGATCGAGAGAGACAAGGCCATCACAGACAAGGTCATCCTCATCCAGAAGGTGGTTCGAGGTTTCAAGGACAGGTACGGCTTAGAAAACCTCGGTCCAGTCTGGTGAACTTGTCGGATAAAACCACCGGTCAGGTTTTGTGGAATGTTTGTTTGTGGAAGGATTCAAACAAATGTGCTATCTTCTACTGATCCATTTCCTGTCATCAGATCGAACTTTCTGAAGATGAGGAAGTCGGCGGTGTTCATCCAGAAGACGTGGAGAGGGTACCACTGTAGAAAGAACTACGGAGCTGTGAGGGCCCACACACATTAATTCAGCATGATTATGATCCGTGATGTAGATCTGATGCATTCATTCAGTATTATCAGAAAAGCTTTAAAACAAATCTTTCTTCTTCCTCTTCTTTTTTGTTTCTGTGCCCCTTGAGATGCGAGCAGGCTTCTCTCGCCTGCAGGCTTTGGTTCGTTCCAGGAAGCTGTGTGCGTCGTACAACGTAGCCCGTCAGCGAATCACGGGCTTCCAGGGCCGCTGTCGGGGCTTCTTGGTGCGCCGGGCGTTCAGACACCGGCTGTGGGCCGTCATCACCGTGCAGGCCTACACCAGAGGCATGATCGCCCGCCGGCTGTACAACCGGCTGAAGGGAGAGGTAAACTCACACACACACACACCCACACACACGTATGCACAGCAGTGGATTTGCGTCAAGCATTTAGTATTAGCAGAAAAGTGCAAGCATGCTATCTGATCGCAGGTACAGGATTCTGTGTGAAATCAACGGGTCGTGCTCTCTGATTGTAGGAGCACACACCCTCTCCTCATTCAGTCACTAGGCCGCTTGAGCACCGCTGCTTTCTCTCTCCCTGCTGGGCTGAATGAGGACGGGTGAACTTTAAACGCTAGTTTTTATTGTCATTATTCCCTTCAGTTAAAGGTAATGCTATCCCAATCAGTCCAGCTGTTCCACCACCGCAACACTCACAGTTTGAATCTGAATTTTACCAGAGACTGTGTGGTTTGTCTAGTGATTCTTTTCTAACAGTGGACCCCCTCGTGCCCCCCCAGTATCGCAGGAGGCTGGAGGCAGAGAAGATGCGTCTGGCTGAAGAGACCAAACTGAGGAATCAGATGTCTGCAAAGCGGGCGAAGGCCGAGGCTGAGCGCAAACACCAGGTGGGAGTTCAGCAGGGAGCTCTGACACAAATCATCACTTTACCAATTATTTCTCCCGTGCAGATTGACCTGGTTACTTCAGTGCATGTGAGCACACTACACAGACTTTAGCGGCCTCCTCTTGCTTTGTGCTGTGAGTGGTTCCTGCAGTGTAAAATAGAGTGCAGATGACTTATTATTACACTATTGTTTTCGCAGGAGCGTCTGGCCCAGCTGGCCAAAGAAGACGCCGAGCGGGAGAAGAAGGAGAAGGAGGAGGTGCGGAGAAAGAAGGAGATGGTGGAGCAGACGGAGAAGGCCCGCTTGGAACCCGTCAACGACTCTGACATGGTGGACAAAATGTTTGGCTTCCTCGGGACGACGGTCTCTTTCCCGGGCCAGGAGGGGCAGGCCCCCACCGGCTTTGAGGTGAGTCAACCAGAGCTCCTCGCTTAGCTGCATAACTTCAGGATCTCTCTCTCGGATGTTAGAGGCACAATTTGTATTGTCGGCATATTACATATTGATAAAAGAGTTTTAAAAGAATCTTACATTTGTTGTTACGTAACGGATTCATTCTAACTGCAAGTCCTTAAACATTTCAGCATCTTTCTTTAGTTATTGTTATTGTCCTCAAGTTGATATAGAATAATACACATACATACAGTTTCTTTTGCTTTACAATATTTAGCAAAGAAGGCGGGTTTTGAACAGCGAAAAGCGCCAATCTTATGTGCTTCCTTAATATGCTTTTAAGTCCGGACTCGCCGTCTTTATGTAGGTCCAAGGTCATAAATACTACCATATTTAAGTGACGGAATGTAATTTTCGGACTTTTTCAGACTGGAAGTTAGTTGTTTAAGCAACATTTCTGGCTTTCAGGCTTGTTGTACTGTATTATCATTGTGCATTGAAACTAAGTGTTTTAATTAAAGGACTTGTGGGGAGACCGTCATTGAAACCAGCAGCAGAACATCAGCATCAAAGCGACTTGATGCTACTTCAAAGGATAATACACGAAGAAAAAAAAAAATCCAAATATGAATTATTGAATATTTATTTGTAAGATCTACATGTTTGGTCTCCGCTATGGGAAAGTGGGTACAAGGTAGTGTGACCATATCGATAACACTATTAAAGAGGAGAGTATTTCGTGAGGCTGTAAATCAGGGTGTCAGTCATTTCAGGTGAGGGGAGTCGGGGGACGTTACGGCCAGACGGGAGGGGCAACTCTTTAGTCCCAGCCCAACTCCAATAAGGAGGACAAATACGCATTGGGCATTGGAAATCCGGACGGTCCGACATAAATCCGGACGTCTGGTCACCGTAATACAAGCGGATGATTTCATATAAGTCTGCGGCGTGAGATGAGCCGACCGCCCGGTGCTGGAGGAGTCAGACGGTCCCCTTAACTAGACCTCACGTCTCCAACATCCTCGGAGCAAATTGTTACGAAGGCTGAATGTTGATAAACCGACCGCAGAAATGTTGCTTAAACAACTAACTTCCAGTTTGAAAAAGTCCTAAAATTACATTCCGTCACTTAAATATGGTAGTATTTATAACCTTGGACCTACATAAAGACGGCGAGTCCGGACTTAAAAGCGCTTTTCGCTGTTCAAAACCCGCCTTCTTTGCTTCCGCCTTCCGATGTAACTGAGATTTCACTCACACACACCAGTGAGATGCGCACGAGTGTTTCATTAGTACGCGTAAGAGTGTCTCAGTAGTTAAGTCCTAAACGGCCCCTCATACTCACCTGAAGCCCCTCTCTCCTCCGCAGGACCTGGAGCGCTCCCACCGGGAGCTGGAAGAGGAGGATCTGGACGAGGCTCTTCCACTGCCGGAGGACGACGAAGAGGAAGATCTCTCGGAGTACAAGTTTGCCAAGTACGCCGCCACCTACTTCCAGGGCACCACAACGCACACGTACGTCCGACGGCCCCTCAAACAGCCGCTGCTGTTCCACGACGACGAGGGGGACCAGCTGGTAGGTCACTTTTAGCTCAGACCCCACAGCAGTCAAACCAGTTTCATTCAGACCAGATTTCCTCTGGTAAACTTGATGAATATGAAAGTCTTCCCGTGTCCTCGGCCCAGGCTGCGCTGGCGGTCTGGATCACGGTGCTGAGGTTCATGGGGGATCTGCCGGAGCCCAAGTACCACACGGCCATCAGCGACGGGAGCGAGAAGATTCCCGTCATGACAAAAATCTACGAGACGCTGGGGAAGAAGACGTACAAGAGAGAGCTGCAGGCGCTGCAGGGGGAGGGGGAGGTAAGGGGGAGGTAAGGGGGAGGAGAGGTGGGAGGGGAGGCTGTTTACACAATTAGAGTTAAAAACTGGAGCTTTTCTGTGATGTGCTGCTGTTAGTTCATCAGGCACGTTTCCTACCTCCTTAAGTTAAGGAACATTTAATATTTCATTATTATGGTCTTGTTTCTAATTGAATGTATTATTTTGAAATACCTTAAACTTTACTCAGCCTGCTAATCTCAGGGAAATATCCTGAAATATTTTATATTTTCTGAAAAAGCTCTTTGTTGTCTTGTGATTACATTTTTTAATATATATTATATTATTACCGTTCCCTCTTTGTTTCTTCACTCACATAAACAATCACCTTCTCTTGGATATTATGGCTTGTAAAAAAAGCTTTTATGAGTTTTGCCTAAAAACAACAAAACAAATTGGAAAAACCTCCCTCATAAACTGAAGGAACCCTTCACGTGCAGATTTGAAAGACAATGTCCTGATCCCATCCCCCACAGCTCCACCAACCTGCTGCAGTCCCCCTCCCCTCCCTCCCCCAGCCCATCAGGTGCTTACGCCTCTTCAACTATATCACCTTCCCCTCCCCCACCAGCAACGACCCTCTCTATTCTGGAGAGAGACGTTAACCGGCTCTTTAGAAGACTAAATCCCCGTAAGGCAGCCGGTCCGGACTCCGTTTCCCCTCACACCCTGAAGCATTGTGCTGACCAGCTGTCTCCGGTGTTCACTGACATCTTCAACACCTCCCTGGAGACATGCCACGTACCAGCCTGCTTCAAGGCCTCCACCATCATCCCTGTTCCCAAGAAGCCCAGGATCACAGGACTCAATGACTACAGGCCCGTCGCCCTGACCTCTGTAGTCATGAAGTCTTTTGAACGGCTAGTCCTGACCCACCTGAAGTCCCTCACCGACCCCCTCCTGGACCCCCTGCAGTTCGCCTAGAGAGCCAACAGGTCTGTGGACGATGCTGTCAACATGGCCCTCCACTACATCCTCCAGCATCTGGACTCCCCAGGAACCTACGCCAGGATCCTGTTTGTGGACTTCAGCTCTGCTTTCAACACCATCATCCCGTCTCTGCTGCAGGACAAACTCTCCCAGCTGCACGTGCCCGACTCCACCTGCAAGTGGATCACAGACTTCCTGTCTGACAGGAAGCAGCACGTGAAGCTGGGGAAACATGTCTCAGCCTCTCGGACCATCAGCACCGGTTCCCCCCAAGGCTGCGTTCTCTCCCCTCTGCTCTTCTCCCTGTACACCAACAGCTGCACCTCCAGCCACCAGTCCGTCAAGCTCCTGAAGTTTGCGGATGACACCACCCACATTGGACTGATCTCTGGTGGTGATGAGTCCGCCTACAGGTGGGAGTCTGACCATCTGGTGTCGTGGTGCAGTCAGAACAACTTGGAGCTCAACGCTCTAAAGACAGTGGAGATGGTTGTAGATTTCCAGCGGAACAGAGCCCCACCCTCCCCCATCACCCTGTGTGACTCCCCCGTCACTATTGTGGATTCCTTCCGTTTCCTGGGCTCCATCATCACCCAGGACCTCAAGTGGGAGCTGAACATCAGCTCCATCACCAAGAAGGCTCAGCAGAGGTTGTTCTTCCTGAGGCAGCTGAAGAAACTCAACCTGCCAAAGACGATGATGGTCCACTTCTACACGGCCATCATCGAGTCCATCCTCTGCTCCTCCATCACCGTCTGGTACGCTGCAGCCACAGCCAAGGACAAGGGCAGGCTGCAGCGGGGTCATCCGCTCTGCAGAGAGGGTGATCGGCTGCAATCTGCCGTCCCTGCAGGACTTGTTAGCTTCTAGGACCCTGAAGCGAGCTAAAAAGATTGCCGACCCCTCTCACCCCGGACAAAAACTGTTTGTGCCCCTTCCATCTGGCAGGAGGCTGAGGTCCATCAGGACTACGACCTCCCGCCACACGAACAGTTTCTTCCCGTCGGCAGTCGGGCTCATCAACAGAGCCCGGTCCCCACTGCCTGACTATAACACTCCACCGGTCACTCCCCTCATACTGCACATGCCACTTTAACTGCAATTCAGCACTTGTTACTGTCACTTTGTCTCTTGTCTGTTACTTGTTTGTTAGTGCACTTTATGCTTAATATTTTTCTTTAACTTTTTAATATTTACATTTTTTTAACTTTATTCCCTTGTTTTATACTAACCCTTAGCCTTATTCTACTAACCCATTGCATTGGCATTTCATTCCACTTTATTTTATTACTTGTGCACTGTTGTCTTGTCTGTCTACTGTCGCGCACTAACCGCCAAGACAAATTCCTTGTATGTTTGACATATTTTGGCTAATAAATGTTTCCTGATTCCTGATTCCTGATTCCTGATGTGAGCTGCCAGCAGGAGCGTCTCTGACACCTGTTTCTTTTTGTTCTTCCCTCAGACGCCTCCCACTGACAACCACAAGAAGAACAGCGTCAGACACAAACTGGTGTCCCTCACCCTGAAAAAGAAATCCAAGATCACTGAAGAGGTGAGAGAGAGCAAGAGAGAGAAGTAACAGAAGTAAAAAATGGTAGAAAAGTCACAGTCTGGTGTGTTTCAGGTCACCAAGCGTCTTAATGATGGTGAACCTGGTCTCCACGGTAACAGCATGCTGGAGGACCGGCCAACATCCAATCTGGAGAAACTTCACTTTATCATCGGCAACGGGATCTTGAGACCAGGACTAAGGTACACGCACAAACTCGTTCACGTCGTTTTGAGGCTGTGGTTTCCTACGTATAATAAAAATCACTAGCATGAATTCATTAAATACATCAATACACCAAAGAATGTTTTGTAGCCTAAAAAATACATTTGTAATATATTTCCTCTTAATATCATGATGTAAAACGATCAAAAAAGAGTCTCCTAAATTATAGCAGCAGTGAAGAAGAGCTGACTGATGATTAGTTTCAACATTTCGATCCATCCAAAAAGATTTGAAAGCCTCGTATTCAGTTAGTAGATTTAAAAGAGAGTTTAGGAGACATTCATTTTGTTCAATGGTTGCAGCGCACAAAGAAAAAAGAGCATGAGGCTTCTGAGACGTGTGGCTGATTTATAATCACTTTCCATCTTCTATTTCTCAACCTGTCAGTTTTTATAAGTATGGTGTTAATCTTACCCCGTGTGTGTGTGTGCGTGTGTGTGTGTGTGTGTGTGTGTGTGTGTGTGTGTGTGTGTGTGTGTGTTAGGGATGAGATCTACTGTCAGATCTGCAAGCAGCTGAGTCAGAACCCGTCCAAGAGTTCTCACGCTCGCGGCTGGATCCTCATCTCCTTGTGTGTCGGCTGCTTCGCCCCTTCAGACAAGTTTGTCAAGGTCAGATCATCCAAAAGTTTAGGATTTCTATTATTCAATTGAAATACACAAGAGGAAAACATCTCAAAGGTCAAATACTGAATGTCCAAGGTGTTGTTTTCTGAATGGGCAGAATATGTAGGGCTGGGCACGTTAACACATTTACTATACATTTACAAATGATACATTTAATAATAGGTTGTGTACTTTCACATCCTCACAAATTAAGGGAATCCATCTCTAATTGGGTCAGACCCGCCATAAGACATTGATGATGCTTCATGGTGAAGGTCGTAAGGATTCATTAGTGCAGCAACGTGGCGGCTGTGTGAGGAAAAAAGTAAATATTTTAACTACTACTGTGTGAGGGGAATACTGTTAGAAATGTGTTTAAAGTGTACATAGAGTAAATACACTATCACAGTACCATTAATTGCACAATTCTCAGCAATTAATGGAACTAATGCCCACCACGAATATTTAGACAGCAAGAGGAGTGTGTTGGTTTATCTGTGCTACCCCATTTAACAATGTTTTCCTACTAACAGTATCTGAGGAACTTCATCAACAGCGGGCCGCCGGGTTACGCTCCGTACTGTGAGGAGAGACTGAGACGCACGTTTGTTAACGGGACGAGAACACAACCTCCATCCTGGCTGGAGCTGCAGGTAGGAACACACACACACACACACACACACGGATGGGATTGATGAACATGGGAAAGTATACATTTTATTGTACTTTGTTTACAATTTTCCAGAATGAATACATGTTATAAATTATTACAGCGTTAACACCCTTCAAATGAATAAATCTATCAGTAAATATGCACAATAATGTGGGAAACAGAGGCCAAATGTGGTTTAAAGAATGAATGTAACCGTTAATGTTACAGTGTGCGCAGACCGCTGTGACCTGCTGGTAACAAACGGTCAGGAGGTCACTGAGTGGACAGTCAGCATGTGAAGGGATTCCAAAGGAACTCTTTGGTTTCTTATCTCTCCAGGCAACCAAGTCAAAGAAGCCCATCATGCTGCCGGTCACATTCATGGACGGCACCACCAAAACACTGCTGACGGACTCCGCCACCACAGCCAAGGAGCTCTGCAACGCCCTGTCCGACAAAATCAACCTGCGGGACCGCTTCGGATTCTCACTCTACATCGCACTGTTTGACAAGGTGGGCGCGCACACACACAAACACACACACTAAGCATTGGCACTCAGATACCCTGACCCTGATTACCCAGAAGAACCAGAAGACATTTTTCTTCTTAGTAGTAGTATTTTACACCAAATTGTTCTTTGCCTTTAACCCATCCCACACAGTGGGAGAACTCAAAATAACAGTTAGATTTTGCGCGACGATTACTACATTTCAATTTTAGCCTGATGGCGATCGCCAAAAAAAGACTGGAAACCGTGCAAATGATTGGTTTGGGCAATGCGAGCTTTCGCAACTGATCTTGTTGCTGTTTGTCTGTTGCATAGCAACTGTTACATTATACATTATACTTACAGCCTTTCATACCTTATTGCTTAATTACATAAGCAGACCATGCAGAACACATTCTAGTAAAAATTGTCTTAAAACCAACATGAAATGTCTTAGTATGTAGTTGGTAGTAAGTGTTGACGTTAGAGTATCTTATTCAGTTTTAATGTATTTATACGTTTCTAATACGCTCTCCTAGCTTAGAAATGGTAACAAATAACAAATACAATGAATAGAGTATATAAATGAGAATACAAAATAAAAATAAATAATAAAAGATACTCCATAACATCTTTAAAAGTAGTGCCAGTACATATTATAGTAGAGCTTGAAATATCTCATTTAAAAAGAAGAGACACATTTTTTTCAAAGTTTATTGAAAGTGTTTGTGGAATGAACCCATGTTTACTAATGTTCTCTTTTTCCTAAAATATCTTCACTCTTAAATTGTAAAATTGAAGCAGTTCCTTTACAATAAATTAGTAACTCTTATACATTTAGATAGTAATACTAACAACAAATAGAGAGAATCCCAGTAATCACTGAAATGGTTGTGTGTAGTAGCAGCAATGAATGGGTCCTCTCCCACAGGTCTCGTCGCTGGGCAGTGGGAACGACCACGTGATGGACGCTGTGTCGCAGTGCGAGCAGTATGCGAAGGAGCAGGGAGCCCAGGAGAGGAACGCCCCCTGGAGGCTGTTCTTCAGGAAGGAGATCTTCACGCCATGGCACTCGCCCACCGAGGACCAGGTCGCCACCAGCCTCATCTACCAACAGACCGTCAGGGGCGTCAAGTTCGGGGAGTACCGCTGCGACAGGGTACGTTTCTTTCGTTATTTACTTTAATTGTATGTATGGACATCTGGAGTTTTTGATGAGTCGCGCCCTGCTGGTCAGTAGAGAGATTGTCCTTTTAAAGACACTTCAGCATCATGAGCTTCACTCAGCCAGCTACACCAGCCGGTGAGCTTCGTGTAGAACAAAGACTAGAAACAGGGCAAGAAACTTGCTTGTGTCTGTTAGTAGTGCAAAGATATGAGAGTGGGCCTCTACTGCCAAACAAATAACATTATTTTCAAAATGTTGTAATATTTCCTTTAAAATGTTGAATCTTCAAAAGGGGGAGGAAGGGGGGGAAAAAGATCAGAAGGGGGCGTATTTGATTAATAGCTAGTGTGAAGCTAAATTATTGACATCAATATAATTATTAATAATAACAAAGATAATTTACAAAATAAGTAAATAACGGGGCACAACCCTGAGCTAACATAGGCTAATAACTATAAATACAGTCTCATAATTGATATTATCAGGTGGGAAGGTTTAAGTTCAAGCACTAGACGATGTATACCAGCGGCCCAACAAGCCACATAACATGAAAATTATAAAACTACAATCTAATTGTCTAATAAATAACTGGTTTGTGTATGTGTATGCGTGTGTGTATTTCAAAAAAAGAAAGGGATACGGTGAGGGATGCTCGAGTAAGAGACAAAACTAAGGAAAATACTATAGGGACGACTGTAGTGACGGCTGTCAAACAGCAGAGGGTGAGAGAGGATGGTGGTACTTCTACACAATACCAGACTAAGAGGGAGATTTCAATGGCAGAGTGTGCAAAGTCAAAGGTCAAGTGGCCTTTGTCCACTGAGAGCTGTCTTTTTTCCACATCTCCCCTTTGTCCTCCGGGGGAGGCTGGTACCCAGCGGGGGGTCCGTAGCTATTGGGGTCTCCTGTTCAAACACGCATGTCTCCACTGCATGTTCATATTCCCCCCTTTGTTTTCAGGTGCTCCGTGGGTGAGGGCTTAACAATAAATATATATCAGCAAAAGTGCTGTAATTCTACCGTGTATTATGGTTTTTAGGTACTAATAATAGTACCTAAAAATCCTTCCTCAGTTCCTCAGTTGCCTCACATCTGTGTCCCCAGGACGACTTGGCAGAACTGGCCTCTCAGCAGTATTACGTGGACTACGGTTCTGAGATCCTTCTGGAGCGCCTGCTGAGCCTCATCCCCTCCTACATCCCCGACAGAGAGATCAGCAGCTCCAGGACGGTGGAGAAGTGGTCTCATTTCATCATGGCTGCACACAAAAAGGTCACAGAAACCAAATGTATTTAGAAGAGAACCTGATGGTCAGTCCAAATCTGTTAGACAGGTTTTTCAGATTTTGATATGGTTTTGGATGGGCTTTAATCTTGTAGAGAGGTGTTGCTTAGTTTGTTTAATTTCATTTTGCTTTCATATTGACAATTACAAAAGTAACTCAGCATCAAACCCCATCTGCCACAGAAAACGCTCACGTCTTTTCTCTCTCTCTCGGACGCCTCAGGGCATCTACGCCCAGAAGAGATTCGACCCTCAGAAGGTGAAGGAGGAAGTGGTGGACTTCGCTCGCCACAAGTGGCCTCTGCTTTTCTCTCGTTTCTACGAAGCCTTCAAGTTCTCAGGTGAGAATTTATGACTTATTTTCGTCGATAGTTATTTATTTGAGCCTCATGGTCATTGAACAAACATTAAGAACAACTGTGAGCAACTTATTCATTATTTCACTTCAATCTCAGGCCTCATCTGTCAACAACAATTATAGAGAGGCTTTAGATTAGATTAATTCTCAGATCTAATTCAGGTCTTCAAATCCAGTCTATCGAATACACAATGTATAGAAAATACAATATAACTCAAGTAAAATTTAAAGACATAAAATATATATTTACGGTAGGTGGATGTATTTATTGCAAAGTTAATAAACTATAATGTCAATGAGAATCAAGTAGATCTTTATGCATAGTCAGAAAATGTACATACTGTAAACTGTATATACAGAGGTGTAAGCAGGAGAAGGCAAGAAAAGTACATCTGCATGATCAGGGAAGAACCGCAACATTGTTTATCCTATATTAAAATATTGTGTAGTTCTTTTCATTCAGCTGACCTGCTTAGCCTGGTTACTTTACTAAAAAAAGTTACTTTGGTAAATGAAACTAAGTTGGATTCAAACAAAAATGACAGTTAGAAATGGGACCCATTTGATAGAGAATATTTGATGGTGCCTTGTTGGTCCTTCAAGCGTGGACCCTCTAGGTGGGAAAGCTTCCTCCTCTCCTCTCTGCCTCTCAGGTCCCAGTCTGCCTAAAAATGACCTGATCGTTGCCGTCAACTGGACCGGGGTTTACTTTGTGGACGAGCAGGAGCAGGTCCTCCTCGAGCTCTCCTTCCCAGAGATCACTGCTGTTTCCAGCAGCAGGTGAGGCATGCTGGGAGCTGTAGTCACTTAACTGCCCTTTCTTGCATTCCTTCTTCATCCACTTCCTTTTATCTCTTCCAATGTCAACCACTACTAAGTACAACTCTATTTACCCTGTTCAGCCAGGCTCCTTAGAAGAGTTTTGTAAACGGCCGGTAGAGTCTTGTTCTCACGATATCCTTATTTTCTCGATTGGATTGTTTTGCATCGAGGGTCACTGTGTGATGTGTGGTTTCACATTTCACACCTCAGTTGCAGTATTACTAATAGTTGTAGTCACAGTAGTATTTGTAGTAAGCATCATAGTAGTAGTTTTAGCATTAATAGTGTTATAAATACTAGAAGTAGTGTTAATAATATAAGTATTCATATATAATATAAGTATTAGTAGTAATATCAGTTGTAGTAGTACGCCTACTAGTAGGAATAGTAGTATTTTTTTGTACTATTACTACTCCTAATAATACTATACCTAACATTAGCTATTACAACTAATACCACCACTATACTACTATCACAATTATAAAAGGTATTTCTATGAATCCTAACACTGCTATTACTACTCCCACCAATACTACTATTACTACTACAACTAATGCTATAAGTACTACTGGTATTGCTGCTACTGCAAATACTTCTATGACTACTACTACTTATTTCTCAAATAACTATTGTTATTTCACCTAATACAACGACCACAACAGCATTGCCAAGACTACCACTACTAACGCTTTTACTAATGATTTCATCTACTACTACTGCTAATATTACTACTACTAATAGTTCCACTGCTGCCATTACCTCGGCTACTCGGACCACAACTTCTACTATTCTTTTCTTTTACTATTCTTTTTTCAGCTCTTAACAAAAGATGCGCCACTATTACAAAATGCTAATCTGTGTTGCAATCCGGTTATTTTGTCATCTGATTCAGACGACTTGTTGTGCTTTCAGAGGAGGAAAGTTACAGAGTCAGAGTTTCACTTTGGCGACCATCAAAGGAGACGAGTACACCTTCACCTCCAACAACGCGGAGGACATCCGCGACCTGGTGGTGACCTTCCTGGAAGGCCTGAGGAAGAGGTCGAAGTTTGTGGTCGCGCTGCAGGACAACCCCAACCCCAGTATGTCCTGAATGGGAGGGGGCATTTCTCCTTTTGTCTCTCCTTTTATTTGCTTTCCTGACGTGCAAAGTCCATTTGTATCAATATTTATTTCAATATATTGTGTATCTGAACACACTAACTGAAAATGTATCTGGGAAATCTACTCAAAACCTACTGAAAACAAGTTAGGGTTTTAAAAATGAATTGTCAAATAATGTATAAAATATGTTCAAATTAATAAGCAAACGCACACATTTAAAAAGCTGCCGCTAAATGCATTCAAAAAGTGTGCAGAATAGATTTTTCAGATAAATATAGATAAGGTGAAACGTCTGTTTGAGTACATCTTTGTAATTTTCTGTGGATTAAATAAGTTAAGTAGTTATGGAAGAAATGCCAGTTAGTTATCTCACCTCCAATCTTTTCTTTTTCCACAGCTGGGGAGGAGTCGACGTTCCTGAGCTTCATGAAGGGAGACCTGATCCTGTTGGACCAGGACACCGGCGAGCAGGTGCTCAACTCCGGCTGGGCGCACGGTATCAACGAGCGGACCAATCAGAGGGGGGATTTCCCCGCTGACTGCGTCTATGTCCTGCCCTCAGTGACTCGACCTCAGCAAGAAATACTGGTGAGAGAAAAAGCCTTTCACGATGTGCACGTACTTGTGTGAAGGAGACTCGTCCTTACAGCGCTGGCTTCCTGCTGAGCTTGTTACTTTTTTAATGGTGAGAAGCTGCTCTGTGTTATTGCCACAACTTATTTTTTACCAAACTGGAAGTTCATTTAAGCATTTTTCATTCCAAAGATATTTTTAAAATGAGTAAAATGTGCCACAGTTTAACCAGAAGCTCAGTATGTGAAAAACCAAACACCTGATTAGTATTGAGATTTGTATTCACCTGTATTATCAAGGGACTAGTAGTAGTAGGTTTGTGCAAACAAAGATGTTTGAACCAGACCGCCTTCTAGAATCTATATTTTATTACATAGAAAAGCCCGTTTGAACAGCTTTTTGTTTTTGTTTTTCTCTGTTGTTTGTAATGTGACGTTTTCACGCTGCTGTTGCAAACTTGGTTATTCAGCTTCCAGCTGCTGCGTCGATGTCAGCTGACATACGTGATGTTTGGTATTATATATCTAAATAAAACGCTGTGTCAGACGAATGTAATCTGATATGAAGCAACCAATCAGGCGCTGGTTACCATGACGCCTGACCAGCGGCAGGAGTCTGTTCGTGTTTCGCAACTCGTCCTGCCGGAGAGTGACGACAGGATGAAAGCCTACACGCTGGAGGAGTTCTCCTACGACTACTTCAGGTACACACATACACAGATAGTGGGATGAAAATAAAGCAAACGCATCTGTGAAATATCCGACAATTCTAGGTTTCCGTTTTACACAAGCAGCAGTAGTGGAGCAGCTCAGTCCCTTAGAACAGAATTACCCTTTGAATAGAATCATTCAGGCATTATATGTGTTGACTCAGAGTTAATGATTTTAACAATAGCGCACAATTAAGTTAGATTGTGATTCCTAAGTTTAAATTCCATTTATCGTACGTCTGGTTTTAACCAGAAAAATGTTATTATGACAACACACAGTCGAGTCAACATGTCCTCCTCTTCCAGGCCTCCTCCCAAACACACCCTGAGCAGAGTGATGGTCACTAAGAATCGTGGGAAGGACAAGATGTGGAGCTGCACCAGAGAGCCGCTGAAGCAGCCGCTGCTTAAGAAGGTCGTCAACCACGAGGAGCTGGCTCAGGACGCCTGCATGTCCTTTATAGATATCTTTTGAGAGGCCGCTGACGTGACGCAGTTTAAGACCACGTCAATGTCCTCTGGCCAACCAACCAAAACCGCTCTAATGATCACCAGCACAAAGATGGGTTCCAAATGTACTCGGTCGACGAGCTCATGCGGGTGAAGGAGGCTGGTTTAAGATTCATTTACAAATGGTTACATTATTTAATGATGCAGTGTTATATTTTACTTTATTTTAATGTTTTTTTTAAGGGCGGCTGATGGATTTTGTTTTTGGTAGGGCCAGCCAGTTTCAGTAAACATCCCAGTATGATTCAATGCAAAAAAGGGTATCAAACACGCATTATTACTACTACAGTTAAATATTTAACATGTATTCCAACAGTTTAACATAATAAGGACATCTTATTCAAACAATTCAATATTCAGAATATGATTGGACTGCCAATGATGATGAAATTCAAGGTGCGTGTCGCATTCAAATATCCATCAGTTGCCTTTGAGCTCGTCAGGTTGTTCTGTTCCTTGACATTGGTTCCACCTATGATGAAGTACATGGGCGACTACCCGTCCAAGCGAACGCGCTCCGTCAACGAGTTGACAGACCAGATCTTTGAAGGAGCGCTGAAGGCGGAGCCTCTGAAAGACGAGATCTACTGTCAGACCATCAAGCAGCTCACTGACAACCACGTCAAGTGTGTAAACCCACATCTTCATCAGTATAATCAGTAAAGCATATGAATGATGGTGGTCATCGTAAGGTTCACAGTTCACCAAGCAGAAGCCTCTTGTGCTGCAGGTACAGTGAGGAGAAAGGCTGGGAGCTGCTGTGGTTGTGCACCGGTCTGTTTCCTCCCAGTAACGTGCTTCTGCCACACATCCAGCGCTTCCTCCAGTCCAAGAAACACCACCCCCTCTCTGGAGACTGCATGCAGAGGCTGCACAAGGCGCTGCGGTAAAAAGAGACGCTTTCAATTGATTCAACTGGTTATTCTTCAATTAATGTTTATTAATGTTCATAACTTCAGTTTCAACCGTTGTGTTGTTATTAAAACATGCGCCACACACACCCCACACATCAGATTATTGCTGGTTTAATCCCTCGTTCCTGTGTGTGTTTCTTTATTGTTGTGATGTAACAGTAACGGATCCAGGAAGTACCCCCCTCATCTGGTGGAAGTAGAAGCGATCCAACACAAGACAACACAGATCTTCCACAAAGTATATTTCCCCGACGATACAGACGAGGTCAGACACACACGCACACGTACACACATTTTTTACAGGAGTAAACATTTCCTTTGATCAACAAGAGCGTGCTTGTGCCTGAAAACCTGCAGGCGTTTGAGGTGGAGTCCGGCACCAAAGCGAAGGATTTCTGCCAGAACATCTCAACCAGACTGCTGCTCAAATCCCCTGAAGGCTTCAGCCTCTTCGTTAAGATCTCAGACAAGGTCGGAAGTCAACAAGTGTTCATCAGAAAGTGCTAATTTAATATCAATGTAGTTTCATGAGGCTATTTAGGTTTTTGGCAAAGTGGAGATATGAAAATGTGTGTGTGTGTGTGTGTGTGTGTGTGTGTGTGTGTGTGTGTGTGTGTGTGTGTGAGCGTCTGAGTTTGTATATATGTTTAAGCGGGGACTGAAGACTGCAGACAGAGATCTCTGCTGGCAGGTCGTTGAACTTTTTTACAACTAAATATGCACGTCTCTAGAAGTCCTCAACAGTGGACCGCCTCTCTTCACAAAATGACTCTTTATGTGAGTGCTTCACATATAAAATATGTATGGCTTGTGGGGAGAAGACGAGACGCCCTGGATAGCGCTGCGGGTACCGTGGATGTGCGCGCGCGTATATTTTCACCCTCTTAAACGTGTGTGCAATGTGTCACTCTCAGACACTTCAGGAGTTTCGTTGACAATAGTTGACGGAAAAAAATTCCTTGTAGGTACAGACTCCGTCGCCGATTCACGATATACTCACTACCATGATGGCTGCACTCGGCGGGAAATAATTTAACAGGCTGCAACTCTCTGCTTGTTTTCTGCTTGGATCGTCTCATCCAAGGTTCTTCTGTTCAAATTGTTACTGACTGCTATATGTGATTCAGTCCTTTTAGCTAATGATGACATCACCTCTTCCTTGTCACTCTCTTCTTTGAATTAGGAGCTACCCAAATACTTGCGTGGCTACCATAAGTGTTCACGGGAAGAGGTTTTCCAACTCGCAGCGCTCATCTACCGCGTCAAGTTTGAGGATGACAAATCCCACTTTCCTACAATTCCCAAGATGCTTCGGGAGCTGGTTCCCCAGGATCTCATTCGTCAGATGTCACCAGATGACTGGAAAAGGGTAAACTCCAGATGACAAAACATCTGTTTTGAAGCAATAGTCATGATTATTAAGGTCAACCTTTTTAGATAGATAGATAAAAACTTTATTAATCCCCAAGGGGAAATTTGTGTGCAATAGCAGCAGTACAATGTTATTGTATTATCCAATTTTACCTGTGTGTATCCTGGAGATGTGTCATTTTGTAAATATGTTATACTTCACAATACTTGTGTAATGATTTAGTGCCATATATAGTAAGTAAGTATAGCGATTGAAGAAGCCTAATCGTTGACGTCTGTCACTTCAAATAAAACATTTTGAATTGAATAGCTCAAAAAATGTATATAACGTATAACAGATAATAATAATAATATATACTCTAATAACACGCAAAGGAGCAGCGGCTCTATTCCGAGCTCCTCACGGATGGCAGAGCTTCTCACCCTGTCTCCAGCCCCCCTCCTGAGGAATCCTATTTTGGCCGCTTGTCCCTGTGACCCAGTTCTTTCAGTCGTGACCACAGGTGAGGGCAGGAACACAGATTGACCGGACGTACAGGGATCGGATGGCCCCCAAGTAGGGACGCCGTACTCCTGCAGCACCTCCCACATTTACTCTCAGGGGACCCGGTCATACGCTTTCTCATACTTCCAGGCCTCCTCCATGATCCATCCAAGAATAAACAGCTGGTTCCTCTACAATCCCTGGTTCCACTCAGCCGAACCCTTAGTCATGTTTGAGACGAATAATTGTAGTGACCAATTGTCTCTCTTGCTCTGTGTGTGTGTGTGTGTGTGTGTGTGTGTGTGTGTGTGTGTGTGTGTGGTGATGGCAGTCGGTGGTTGCATACTTCAACAAGCAGGCCGGTAAAACAAGAGAAGAAGCCAAACTGATGTTCCTAAAGACCATCTACAAATGGCCGACCTTTGGCTCTGCTTTTTTCGAGGTCAAGGTAAACCCACCTGGAGACCGTCGGTTTCTGTATGTAACTCTCACTGAGTGCTTATAGTTCTACTAATAATCACATTGTTCAGTAAAGATTCAATCCTTCCAAGGCATCAACTTTTCATAGTGAGCCTTTCACTCCTCATAGAGTCCAATTTAAAACTATTTTTGACTACTCATCAGGCCAACAAGCGTAAATGGTGTGGATTCAACTATCTGGAATGTCGGTTATAGTTAGTCCCTCCTACATAGCAGGAAGAGATTCAGGGAAAAGGGGGAAATATAGGATGAAAGGAAACGAGGACTCGCCTTATAAGTGGAACGAGACGTCCTTAGATTTAAGAAAAACTTTACTTAACAAATTAACAAGAAATAGCAGATGCTCAATGGATATCTAGATGTGATCACAACATAAATCTGTCTTTTGTCCGTAGCAAACCACAGAGCCCAATTTTCCGGAGATCCTGCTGATCGCCATCAACAAGCATGGAGTCAGTCTCATCGACCCGAAGACGAAGGTTTGTCTTCGTAGGAATAATTAGTGTTCTACTCGGCACCTGTCTGAGGTTAAAGGATTTACTTTAATGGTCAGTTTGACTTGTGCACACGGTAAACCACTCTCCTGCAGCCTGTGGATGGATTTTCCTTAAGTTCCCCTTTGACGCCACACTCACTCACTATGCATCGTGGATCAGAGGACCTGAGGCTGACCCCTCTGTGTTTGTGCAGGACATCCTCACCACTCACCCCTTTACCAAGATCTCCAACTGGAGCAGTGGGAACACCTACTTCCACATCACCATCGGCAACTTGGTCAGAGGAAGCAAACTGCTGTGTGAGACCTCGCTGGTGGGTCACACTCAAGGCTCGGGTGCTCAAATCAGTTATTCGTTTAGTCTCTATTAGTGCTATAACATTCATGTCATACTAGCCTGTTTTTCTTTAAACATACCCTTTAATTCCAGTTGCTTCTACTTTGCAGTATTTCTTGATTGAAACCACCACCAATGAAACTCAGCCTTTCCCATAGATTTTCACACTAAAAGCCTCCAAAGAATTAGTCACAGTTTGATTTTGCGGAGGATTAACATTAAGAAAAACAACAAAGTGGAACGACGGATTTATTCTGTTGGAAAAGGGAAACCATGGTGACTGATGACACGAAGCAGCACCGTTGAAACGTGTCCTTTACTTAATTCATCAAAGCAGGGTCATTGGAAAACAAATGAAGAATCTGCAGCTAAATTGACAATATGCAGCCCTACAAATGAGAACGGATGTGAAACACATCCCTGTTGACATGATTTATCAAAAAAGAAGAAGCTTAAAAAAAGTTCACTTACGTCAATGAACTGAAGATATCCGCTTTGTATTTTGAATGTGTATGTTCCATTTCACCTGCAGGGCTACAAGATGGATGATCTGCTGACCTCCTACATCAGCCAGATGCTGACCACCATGAACAAGCAGCGCTCCGGGCCGCGCCTCAGCAAGTGAACTTCTTACTGGCAGGAGGCCGCTGAGCTCGTTCGGCTCTTGCGACCTATTGGCCAGCCCTGCAGCTGGGGGCGGACCTTTGCCAACCAGCTGTGGACGATGAGCCGCAGTCCTTCTGGTAGCTCGGGTGGGTCAAATCTGACCGGGGGGAGTTCGGCTGCCGGCAGCAGCGACCCCGGCGAAGGCCCCAGCAACTATCACCACTACAGTCCCGGTGAGGGTGAGGATGAGCTGTCCAGTGAGGACGACTACCTCTAGACCTGCAAACCCTCTCCCAAAAAGGCTTCAGGATGCAACACTCATGACCTCCTTGGACATAACGTGATACATCTAGGAACTAAAGGGGAGACTGGTGGACTGCAGTAACTAGGAAGCTCATTGACTCACAATGAACCAGTGTTGGGTTAATCAAACCATTTCCTGCCTTTTTTATTTAATGAAATTACTAGGAATTATTCATATACACTAAGACGCTGGAAAGTACTGATGAAAATGTAATATTATTGTCAATAATCGTAGGCCTTATTGCCGCCACCTTATCACCAGCGATAAGGATCTAAAAGAGTGAAAAATGTCACCCATCTTTTCGTTAGCTTTAGTACATCAGTTCTCTATACGCCTGCTGGATCGCCGTGGTCACTTAAAGTCATGTGTTTAAGTTTAATATGGGTTTTGTTTCTTTAAAACCCCATTTATGATTTATTCTCAATCATCTTTTGTTAAATGTTGGTGATTATTAGCAGTCGTTTCTGTTTAGTTTTACATTTGATGCCGTGATTGTCTCCATATTTGTGTTGTGCGACTGCATTGTGTAGCATTGCTGTGGCTTGCGGCTGCTGATTTTATGGGGCTTTTGTAACATTCCTGTTGTTGTACAAAATAATCTTGACTCTTAAGAGTTGCCGACATTCAAATCGGCCACAAATAGTCCATCCCTTCATTATGCGCCCAAAAAGCAGTCAGTGAATTGACCTTTGGCTAAGTCTGACTTGTCATCCACGAGTCCTGTAGTTTTTAGTGTTACCACCAATGAAATGTATCTGAGTAAGTCCGTACGTTTGCGGATGCATTCATGCGACTGGCACTCTGGTGCATTCCAACAACTCATAATAGCATCAAAAGAATAAAAGACCTCCACAACGAGGAAATGTTACTATAGTCAAGTGCATCACAGATGGACTCAAAAAAAGTATTCTTCTGTACTAAATATGTTTTTCTCAAAGTTCAGGATCATTGATTGATCAATACAATCACTGTGACATCAAAGTCCTTCAGCAAAGATGAACATCTTATTCTGAAATGTTCTCAATAAATGTTTTGTTGAATCATTATAACAAAAGTCCAATCTGAGAAGAAGCACAAACCCTTTTATTTAATGCATTTGTTGTGTTGTCAGAGTGATATCTACCGTCATCATGCATGTGTGTTTTTTAGTTTTAAAGCAAGCCCTTCATCCAGTACACATCTTTGGTTTGTATGATTAACAAATACTTTGGTATTTTAACAGTGCCAACCATTTATTTTCATGGTAGTTTTTCTTTGTTGACTAACAGCAAAAAGGAGTCTCTGCCTGTTGTGTATTGTCTTTGTAACCAGACGTCTTGATTTCCTGTAGTGTCAGTTAATTGCAACGTGTGCTCTCACTTTTACATAAAATATTGAATGCATTTGTTTTGACTTGATTGGTTTCTAAATTAATAATTAATATTGTTCACAACATATTCAACACTGATCTAGTGGTTTCCACATTATTTATACTTTGACTGCCGCTAATGTCCAGCTCACCAAGTTAGTGCAACATGTTATACAAGAATGATTGAATATGAGGCAGTTGCCTGGTTACCCTGATACAGGAGTGAATTGATGCAGACAATCAGAAATGAATGACCCCGGAAACGAAACCGCCGCTAACTGCCGTCAGTTAATTAACAGAGAGAGCAAGTCGGTGGTTGAAGATGGAGAGATCTTTTTGCATTGGAAGTAAAACAAACTGAGGCGCGACACACCGCGGAGAACTGTGCAGAGGAATTACTCCACGTGTCAAACGGAAGGGGGGTGAGTGTCAAACGGACCACCACAGGCACTGCTAGGCTAAGCTAAGCTAGCTGCTAAGCTACTTTCATTTCAACATCTCCTCTGCGTGGCACGCAGTCTGCAGAGGACCCAGAACACTGTGTCCCTAAAAGACCGGGGTTTGAAAACCTGCTGACTAAATGTGGGGAGATTGTTGGCACTTTAAATGATGGAGAGTTGAGAGCAAAGTGCACGAGGACAACACGAAGAGTCGCTAGTTCATCATGTCCCACCTGGTGGAATTCTGCCTCAAAGATTATCACGTGTGTGTAGTTTTGTGTTTAAAAATAACATTTGACAATTAAACAAGTGTCTACAATAGACGCTTTCTAAAGTGATTACTCATTACTTGAAAAATAATTAATTGCAATTAATGAATTTCAAAATGTGCGATTAAGTAATTAATCTATTGACAGCCCTGTGTGAGAGCGCACAGACTTTCTGTCGTCTAAGTAACGCTGATGTAAGGTGAAACATTTCCAACAACAACACACAGGCCTTGTTCCCTGTATGATAATGCTGTGCATCTTTCAAATAACTGCAAAGAATCAATTAACGTTAGATATGTCGTAAAATAATTTATTGAACAGCCTTTAACAAGGTCTTTTTTATTTTATCATAGAAAAGAAACATTTAGCGTACAAATGTATCGTGTGTGTACAAATCAAAAGAGGTGTTTTATCATTAAGACAATAAGTCCGATGAATTCGTTTAAATGTTTACCAGTTGAGACGTTGATTTTATAAAATTGCCATAAAAATGTTTTGCTGAATAACTTATCACTGACATGTTGGTTTGTTAAATAATACACAGTGCTACCAACAACCAAACATTTCTTCTATTTCTTTTAATACCAGATGACAGTAGCATTTACAATCAGAGAAAAGTTACATTAAAAAAGAAAGATAAAAATCTAAAAGATCTTTAAAATAATATTTTTAAGAAGGCTTTCAGTATAGCACACATTTAAATGGTACAGAGATTTCACAATTGTAATGGCAATGGAGAATAATAAAACCCATGTTCTAATTTTATTCTATTATACCATAGTGGTATTTTTCCTAACCCAAGTACTACAGTTCTCTATTTAAAGACAATGTTGAGTGTTGGTCACGCAGGTCTCATTTGAGTGAGATTTTCTAGTTCAGGAGATCAGATTTTTGTTTTACGGAGCCAACGCGTCTTGCATCTACCTTCTTCCCATGACTCGTTTTGTAAAAAACACGCATGTCACCTAATGTCTCAATGTGCAAACCACTCGTATGGAAGCCAAGACCACAGCTTCCACTCTGGTATCAAATATCAAACCACAAGTCCTAAATCAGACCACTGACGGAGCACAATGTAAAACACTGTTTGATATGGGAAAAAAGCACACTGATCCTTATAAAAAATACACAGATCATCAAACAAAGTTTTACCAAGAAACAAGAAACTATTTTCATGTTTGTTCACTAGTCTGGAGGGAAGGAGGCTGCTAGTATGTAACCATCTAATTGACTTCAGAGAGGAATACGGTGCGTCAAAACACGACACGCACATCCCCAATGTAACGTTCATGGTTGTTGGGATTCATCTGCAGCCAGTTGGGACACTGAAGGAGTATATTATACTGCATTGATAAGACACATTTCTATGAATGTATAAGAGGAAACGGGTCCTTCACTGAACTACTGTTCTATCCTAAAGGAAATGTCGGTACTTTCCCCAAATTGAAGTCAGAAAGTCAGCACTCGAGGCGTCAAACCAGCACAATAATGACCTCATACAGTGACAAAGCTTTTATTAAGCCTCCAACCGCCTGAATGCCACCTTTTTACCGGACACCGTTTTGGGACACCGTTTGAGAGTCCTACAGTAAAAAGATAGATGGTAGGTTTAATATAAAGCATCTACAAAAGTTGGACAAATCCAACACATGCGAAGCTTAAAAGTCATCTCCAAAAGTAAAATCCAGCCCGGTGCTGCGTTGTCACCAGACTCACTCACTAAAAAAGCTCCAGCGGTGGGAAACATCATATTCAATAGAATAAATACAGCTGTGCAGCTATTATGATTGCAGCTAAAATGCTTAGCCTATTATATTCTAAACAGAAACACAAATACAAAGTGCTAACCACTTATTCATACAAGCTGAGTACACCATGTAATCAGACGATACCATACAATATATATATATATACACATTAAGATGTGATTCTGCACTGTGATGACTTCACTTAATCTACAATTCCCAAACTTAAAAAGTCTAACAATGCTGTGTGAGAGTGAAAGGCTCGTTGGGTAACGTGGTGGGCGCATGGGTTCTGACTGCCGGTTGGATGTGATGCGTGTGGCGCACAGCTGTGTTTTTATAATGGCACTTACTGCTTCACTGTGCAGCATATCGTCACTAACTTTCATAAGTCATTTTACCCGAGAAACGTTGAGACAAGACACTGGATTTCAGATCTAAAACCAGCTGAGGTTAAGACACCAGAGCACACGGGGACTCACGGAAAGCAGCTGCACTCGCTGTCTCGTGAAAGAGAGAAGTCTCAAAAGCATCTTTATGTAGAGCGGCTCACCAATCATTTGGCTTTAAGCGCCAAAGAATTCCTCGTATGCTTTTAAGAAACACGGCCCCACTTGAGAATACATTCACTAGTACAAAGCAGAAATAGTACTTGACAACGGCTTCTCGAGCCCTTTGGTACACATTCATTCCAACAGGGTTCAGTTCACACACCGCATCCAACAAGTCAAAGACAGAGCCACGCGTAACACGTGGGCAACGGTTGGGCCCAATGCGCCTGATATCTGTACAGCTGAAACAAGAAATAAAAAGTGCTCCTGGTCCATTTCATCATCGTCTCCAGCTTCTCTGCCGCTCTTCGTCGGACAGGCGTTTGTCTTGATCAGCTAGAAGCGCGAAGCGGGCAGAATGAAAGCGGCTGGGAGTTACTGCAGCAGTGTGTGTTCAGGGGTTTCTCGGTTCTTTTGGGAGGTTTGGTGTTCTTGCGTCGTTGAGCACAGCTGGTGGTGTTAAATGATGAAAATGTTCTCAAGCATGCCAGCGTCTTTCTTCCAAATGCGTCTATAAGACTACAGTATAGTATGAAAATGGCCTCTCAGAGGCTCTGCGCTCCGTCTCGGGTTGAAGATCAGCGAATGAGGTTTGTTTCTGCACTTCAGTTCCTCCCTCAGACAGAGAGACCAGGGGGAGAGAGACCAGGGGGAGAGAGACAGAGAGACCAGGGGGAGAGAGACAGAGAGACCAGGGGGAGAGAGACAGAGAGACCAGGGGGAGAGAGACCAGGGGGAGAGAGACAGAGAGACCAGGGGGAGAGAGACCAGGGGGAGAGAGACAGAGAGACCAGGGGGAGAGAGACAGAGAGACCAGGGGGAGAGAGACAGAGAGACCAGGGGGAGAGAGACAGAGAGACCAGGGGGAGAGAGACCAGGGGGAGAGAGACAGAGAGACCAGGGGGAGAGAGACCAGGGGGAGAGAGACCAGTCGAATTGTTCAAGTCACAAAAAGCTGCTGCCTGCGTTGTACCTCTGAAGTTCAGCAAGTGTCAGCAGATGAAAATAAATGTGATTTCTAAATGCCGTTTTTTGAAGCCTCATCTTTCACACATTTATCCAAACACATTTGATCAATTTAGCTTCTTAATATGTGTGATAATTTCACTCTACGAACTGTCAAAGACAGACGTTTTGGTTATTTGCACATTTCTGAGCTTTTATCACCACAAAGGCTTTATTGTTAAGTGGTGTCATAGATCTAAACTATTAAAGAACGCTCCTATTCAATTGGATCTGTTGCTTATTTTGTCACAAATATTGACCAAAACTTAAAAATTTCATAAAGTAAAGTTTCCAACACTCTTCCTCCACTCATCATTCTCTCTCTCTCTCTCTCTCTCTCTCTCTGCCCCCCGTCACTCCTCTGTGATGGGGGGCAGGTGGGGGTTGCTGGTTGAACTGGGCATGCTCCGTACGTCGGTCCGGATGTTGGCGCTGGAAATGGACCACACGTCACTCAGCTCTGCAAGGGGGTGGGGGGGGAAGGAGAGGGGGGGCAAAGGTCAATTTAGAGTTTATACCTTCACCTGTTAATGAGTGGCATTGTGGGTAATACGGAGACAACATTGGAGGAGAGGCAAAGATCCACAAGGAACCAATACCAGGGGCTTAGTACGGGCAGGCGATGTGAGTATATTACTACTTTAATGATTACTAGCTGCAGCCAAATGTAAAGATGAAGGTGCATGATGCAAGGACACTAGCAAAGGATGACATCACAGCTGTTTAAATCCCACACATCTCTCTCGCTCGTTCTCTACAGGGGGGTCGCACAGGTCATACAGGGCTTCTCGCAGGGCAGACATGCAGGGCTGAACGTGCACGGGGGTCATGGGCTGAAGACCGAGGGGAGGGAGAAGATGAGGGCTCCGGCAGGGGGGGTCGGAGTGGAGGGGGCTCCAGCGAACACAGATGACCTCTGAGGAGTCTGACACACACACACACACACACAACAACACACAGCAGGAGATCAAAACATGCAAAGACGGAAATGATAAAGTAACGCCTCCGCCTTCTTTTGGAATACGATCATTCGTTGCTGTCGATATGAAGGAAACCTCTGTGTTCAGTGTGGAGGGTTAGCTTGAGCGGTCAGTCAGCATCCCAGAACATGAACTCGTACACGGGACTGAGATGCTTCGGTGTGTGTTGGCAGTCAGCTCTTGTAACCGGTTGGAAAGTGTCAACTAGACGGTCATTAGCCAAACCCTCCGAGAGACGGACATAGATGTCCTCACCTAACGCACATACAATGTGCCACACAACAGTATTTTCCAAAAGTGGACAAGAAGCTGGCGAGACACTTGCCCTAAAATATGAAATGTTTCGGACACAAAAGCAGCCTCAGAATTCAGTGTTAGGAAGAATGGCGGAGGTCTTTAAATCTGTTGTCCTCACATTTGTCCACAATGTCACGGTTAGAAAAAAGACATCCATACCCGTCCTGAACTTGCTGTACGGTCCGTTCTCGTGAGTCTGGCGGCTGCCGGACCAGAAGGGCAGACCTCTCTCCCTCCACCTGGGACACACACACACACACACACACACACACAGATCACATAGGCAGTGAATAACCAGCTGGGTGTCTGTGTTTTAAAGTGCTTTGCAGGCTGCCACAGTAACTACTTTCATGGTGCATGAGGATGTGTGAAGGTGTCCAGGTGGGAGAGGACCAAGGCCCGTGTATGAAAGGGAGGTGAAAGCTACCGATGAAAGAGCGACGCGCTAACAATAGATGAAGAAAAAAATAAATCCACAAAGGAGGCCATAAAAAAATGAGCATCCTGCCCTTTGTGGTGAAGGGCCTCATCTGGCTGACAGGAGGGACGAAGCACAATGACATTTACACACACGCACACTTTGTTTTACAAGCCCTGGTTGTGCGGTGACATTTTGAATATGGCATCTTTCCCGGAGGACATTCATAGTGGTGCCCTGGTGTTCCACACGCTATAAGTGAAAGAAGTAACTATGTAGCTTCTATATATAGCTATAGCTATATAGTCCCCTTATAGAGACTGAACACAGTCCCCTTCTTTCTGACATTCAAAGCAGTCTGACCTCATCACTTCAGTGGAATATTGTTTTCTTTGGTTCACTTCTCTGATTGCGCATGTTGTGATTATATCGAACACAAAGCTGTCTAGTGGTCCTTCAGTATGTCTGACCACAATTAAGCTTTTTAATGGCAAATATTGTAATATTCCTATGATATAAGTGATGGGTAAAAAGATAAATGAGAATGCTGCAGCTGGGATTTCTCTCCGTTCTGACATTGATGAAGCACATGTCTCTTCAAACAACCACTGTGACATTCCAGATGACATATGGATGCATTTATGAAAACTAATCAGCAGCCAGGATGACGCAGCCCTGCACGGCTTCACCTCCTCAATACCAGACGTTACAATTAGCAGGGAAGGAAAATTGTGTGTGTGTGTGTGTGTGTGTGTGTTAGTTTGTCTACGCACCAGTGGAATATGAAAACTGCAATGATGAGGAAGGCCGACACAGCATCTGTCAAAATCCACATCAAGCTATATTCCTCTGGAGTCTGAGAGACAGAGACAGAGAGAATGAGGGTTGAGTGCATTTTGTGGCTTTGAATGTCATTATTTCCTCTAGTGGCCATTGGGTACCGGGCTTGCACTTCGACACTCGTAATAAAAGCATAATCAAACTCATTTGAAGTTTTGCAGACACGTGGGTGGTGAGAGATACCTGGGAGGGTTTACGTAAGCAACAGGTCAGAGACCAAATCTTCAAAACACCCACGATACCTGCTGAAGAGGTGCTCAGACTGATGCAGGAGCTCCTACCAGACTACACATGGACTATCGCCTCCGATTCCTCCCCCCCCCTCCCTCTCTGTCCGACTCCTCTCTCAGGACTGGTAGTTTCAGCCAGTTTAGCATATTTGTATAAATGTTGCTGAAGGAAGGAAGTTAGCTGTTAGCTGATGTTAGTATGTTTTTCATTTTAAATTAACTTACAAATGTTACTCATTTTATTAAATTATGTTTAATATTAAATATTACACCATTGCATTTTTCGTCATATCTATGTAATATCAACAGTAAGTCTAGGAACAATTCACCAACCATTTTAGTACTAAAGTAGCTTCTATGTCTGAGAGATCTAGTCACAGTTAATCTTTGAGCTGCATTATGGGAAATATAGGAAGCATAGTTTCCATACCAGGGACCTACGCAGCCTTTTTAATCCGTCTTCTGAGGGGACACCTACTTCATGGAAATGCAATGCTAAATATTATTACCCCCTTAATGCTGACTTCTACCCCCCAGTGCGTTGCTCTGTGAATGGGAACAAAGGGTTAAGCCTTGAAGTAATACTGTTATAATACTGTAATACTGTTTATATTTACATATACATTTATATTTAAACCTAAAGTATGTCCCGGGGGGAAAAAAATAGGTTTCAATTCAGTAGTGCTAACATTCCAGGTAACAGCAGGGAGGACGGCGAGGACTTGAATGTGCTCACCATGAGGAAGAGCGGCTTGTTGACGTTGGACAGGATGTGGACGGAGTTGGTGGTTACAGACTGAGCTCCGGCACACCAGGCCAGCGTGTAGAGCCACGGCTGGCTGATCACATACAGGTTGGTGCTGATGTTCACCGACTGGTACTTGCTGGAGAGAAAGACAAAGGACACATTCAACACTCTCCTTTACCGCCTGGTCCCAAGAGACTAAGGGGCATCGCACATCACGTGCACAGGACACGCGAGCAGAAGCAACACCAGCTGTGCTACAGCAACCCTGTATCTCACCGCTGAAGATCACGAAGGCCTACAGACTTGTAGTTGAGGAGTTTCCTCAACAACAACTATTTTAGCAGAAAAGAAAGAAAAATTCAGACTTTGAATGCATTATATAACTCATTTTCACCCCAACAAAAAAAAGAGTGAAATGATTGAAAGTTACATTTAGCGGACGTCTTACACGACAACTGCTGGACTTGGATGTTGAAGTTATTTCCAGTGACACTCCATCATTATTAAACTGGCCTCTAAACATTGTTGGTTGGTTTGTCTTTGCCATCTACTCAGTGATTAGCAATTCAAACTGGGATTTGTATGTGCACAGCATGTTATGCAGATATTTATAAAGTACTATTGGGATTATTATGGGGATTGTTGTTTTCTTAAAGAAGTACAATTTCTTAGGTGTACATAATTTTCCACCATTAGAATTAGTAGGACAGGAGGAAGAAAGTGGTATTCATCACAATGAGGGCATTAAATTCCACTCAGTCTGAAACACACACACACACACACACACACACACACACACACACACACACACACACAGGTATCTCCCCCTGTATGCCTGGCAGGTTGTCAGGATGAAAGCGTCCTTTGAAATTCTAATGACCATATGTTGAGGCGAATATAAATTGTTCTTTGCCAAGCCTGGAGTTGCATAATCCCCTGGAGGTATATAAACTGGTCATAATTATTTCTGGAGGCTCCGTTCAAAACAGTTTGTTTCAAATGGAGCAATTTCATCTTCCTCAAAAGCTGTTGACGCACCAGAATTCTGTTTTGCACTGAAATCGATGTCTGAAATCAGCTGAGCATTGGTCACCTGCATGACCGTTCTCATGAAGTCCACTCTGGGTTTGTTTTTATGATGTGTATTATGACAGAGCGTATGACGCTGATACTGAGGGTGTTTTAGATATATTCTATTTCACTCAAACATCTTTCTCTCCAGATTTTTCTCCCACATATTTGGGTTGTGCACCCAGTGCTAAACCTCCCACTTGTTTCTCTTGTGCCTGCTACTCATGAGCCTTGAGTACGCTCCTCTCTTCTGAAACACCTCCATCATTTGAACCTCCTCCACGACTTCTCCTCACTCCGACCGACTGAAGGCCCTCTGTAGCCAGGTTTTATCTGGCCACAGAGGGAACACTCAGGTGATGCTGCATCCAGCGCTTCGATAGTAAAAGTAAATTGTATATATAATATAAAGCTTACTAACTAGTAGTAACTGGTAAAACTGGAAGCGTGGCGTCACAAAATAAAGAGCCATTTACAGGACGCCTCTATGGAGCCAAACCTAGCCAAACGTTTAAGATCCTTTGAAAAACAAATGTGAACCTGAAAGTTTAAGTTTTGGACTTAAACATTGAAGAACCCTCTTTTTTCACTTTCAGGTCATATTTTTTCAAATTCAGACTTTTGGCCCTTATCTGGTGTAGAGGGCGTGGAATCAACTGAGTGACAGCTTAATAACTGCGAAAGCAACGCAGCATCCGTGCGCCTGAGTTCGGTACAGTTGGCGAGATATTGACAGATTCGGACTTCCCGGTTCGACAGAGGCATCGTAGGCTCCATACGCCTACACACCTGCGCAATGCCCAATTGTGTGAGAACGCAGTGAGACGAAGTGACCGTGGTGGCCATCTGTACCTTATGTTACATAACTACACACATGGGAATCCACCCACACAGCTCTATATCAGCGCACAGTGAAGGGGCACCGTCCCCCTCGCCAGTATCCTATAATGAGGTAAATACAAGTGCAGCATTCAGTCACTTCTATGTTTGCCATGCTTGCATTTGAGGGAAATTATTTAATTGATTTAAATCCACCAATGTGGGTGTTTTTCAGCTCAAACTGTTTTGCTGAATATTGCGAATGAATCATTACATACACTAACTTTTTGCCTAAAATATCTATTTCTTTCAAAGCGTTTATTTCTCTATTGAATTGCGTGTTTACCTGAACTGTTGCTGTGACATGGTGCTGTAGTGCAGGTTCAGTCTGGTGATGTGGCCGTCTGTCAGGTCCTGAAGAGACGCTCCTTCTCCGGAGGTCTGCTGAAGCTCCGGGTCCACAGCCTGGACCAGCTCCCTGTCTTCAGATGTCAGCCACAGCACCTACACACACACAATTATAAACAAATGGTCATCTGTGTAGGCTCAAATACACTTTTACCACTTACAACAGCAAATGGTACATTCATAAAAACTGCTCTTCAGGCCCCCATAATAAATGTTACAACAAAAATGGCTATTGTTAGCAGTAAAGCGGTAAAGATGAAACCTCATGGATGTTAGTGATCCATGCGCACAGTAAATAATGCCTGGGAAAAGCACGTTATTGAGAGAGAATCTGGTCATTTTTCAAATTAAATGATTATTTTAGAAAAAAGTCAAATAAAAAAGTAAGTGGTACCGTGTGGGCCGGTTGTTGGGGACCACTGCCTCAGCAGATTGCTTAGTGACAATTTCCAGATTCGAGAATGTCCCATTTAAAATGATTTAAAATGAACTGAATTGTGCTGAAACAAGAACTGTAGTATTAAAATGGAGAAGCTGGGGAAGATTTGCTAAATATAGTATATGCCAGACACATCCTTAAAGAACACTGCACATTTTTCTGCTTTGGACATTTGAAAAAAACGTTGAAAAGTATTGAATAGACTCGCTATCAGCGGATTGAGGACTGAGAAAAAAACGTGACATTGTTTGTTTGCTAGAGTTTTACACACATCCACCTGGAAATACCTGTGAGGAGTTGATGTGGGCCTGAACCACCTGCAGAGTGGTGTTAATGTATGACTCATAGTAGGGATGTCCAAACGGTGGCCTGTGCAGGTCAAACAGCACAAATTTATTGCTAATGGCCGCCAACTCCAGAAACTGGGCCAGTGAGGGAACAGACTGGTTCTGGGCCATGGAGCAGTCCGCCTCGGACAGGGACGACACCGTCCCAAAGGGATCCCTCTGGAAAATACAGGTTAGTCCGTCAATCTTCCAAGCTCGAGGTCTTATGAAATGAAATGAACTCAAATTCAACCTAAAGCCAAGCTTTGAATAGTTTGTCAGAGGTAATTTGAAGTTTGCATATGTTTGCATATGCAGCAACAATACAGTAATTTAGTGTTAAAAATTAGTTGGTTTTACTTTACAGTTACATGTGAAAGTGTCATATCCTGTGCAATGACAATAAAGTTGAATCTAATCGAATCTAATCTACTCTAATCCTAACATAACCCCATAATTATTTAAGGTTACAATGTGTATCATTTTCCCTCCGGTGTGAATTACACTTCGGTTGTATTGCATATTTTTAAGCAAACCAAGCCGCGTACTACAAGCCTCACCGATAAGAACCAGTCACCAGCATTCAGCAGCTGCAGCTCAGCCCAGGTGAACATGGAGGCGTCGACGTGTGTTCGATTTGGGAAAACATCAGCGACATTGGTGGTTCTCCTTAGGGTGGAGTCGTGCATCAGGAAGGGAACCCCATCATAACTGCAGACAGAGGACGCGTAAAGTAACCAGTAAGCATTTAACTCTGTTTCCCCCTCAAAACACCCAATATCAAATTAAAGCCATCTCTCACACACACACACACACACACACACACACACACACACACACACACACACACACACACACACACACACACACACACTATCAACTAACAATATCAGTTGTTGTTCAAAGTATTACATGCATGCATTACAGTTGCAGAATTACAGTGGTTTTACAATATTGTCATTTCTTTATTGATTACACAGTTCCAGAATCATGGCTGTATTCTGGTGTACACTATATGCATTTTATGAACCGGGTTGTCAATTTGTTTCTAATATCCTACAACTGCTGCAACACACACACACAGACACACAGTATTGCCCGGGTCACTAGCTGGGATTAAGCTAACCAGCTCACGCTGACTCATGCCATGCTGCTAATCCTCCCTGTTTTCAGCCTGTGTGCTAACCCAGCTGCTGTGGGCTAATGGGCGGGCTAAAAGCTAACTGGATTAGCATGGCAGTAATCACCTTAGCGTCCATTAGCACGCTAGCATGCTAGTGTCTCATTTGTACAATTGGCACCAGACTGACTGCTCTGCTGATAATTGTGCACATTGCAATCTCTTGTGTTCTTTAGTCACAGTTGTGCCTCCTTGTGTCATTTCTTGGAAGAACTGGACATTCTCCTGTCCAACTTCCCTGAAAATGGCCCTCCGCTCATCCTCCTGGGTGACTTCAACATCCAGACAGAGAAGTCATCTGACCTCTTACACCTACTTTCTTCTTTTGCTCTGTCACTCAGTCCCTCTCCTCCTACTCACAAAGCCGGCAATCACCTTGACTACATCTTCATTAGAAACTGCTCTACCACTAACCTCTCTGTTACTCCACTTCATGTGTCTGACAATCTCTCCTCTCCTCTTTTTCTGCTTCTATCTCTGCTTCCAAAAGCTCTTTCTACCAATCCAGAATCGAATCTTCATTTTCTAACCCCAAAAAACTATTTTCGATCTTATCCAACCTCCTCGAACCCCCTAGTCCTCCTCCACCCTTCTTCCGGGAGACTTTGTCAACTACTTTACCTTTAAGAAAATAGCTGACATACGCTCCTCTGTCTCAAACCCACCTCCTACTTCTTGCGTCCCACTGACTTCAGCTTTATCGCCCTCACTCTCCTCTTTCACCCCCGTCTCCTAACCAAATTCTTACGCTAGTAACCTCTGCCCGTCCGACCACCAGCCCTCTTGACCCCATTCCATCCCGACTTCTACAATCTATCGCACCTGACCTTCTTCCTTTCCTCACCCGTCTCATCAACAATGCTCTGTTATCTGTCTGTTTTCCCAATTCTCTGAAGGAGGTAAGAGTTAACCCTCTCCAGAAAAAAACTACCCTCAACCCTTCTGAAGAAAACAACTACAGGCCGGTCTCTCTTCTTCCCTTTTTGTCCAAAACTCTTGAACGTGCGATCTTTAACCATCTCTCCTCCTATCTCCACCGTAACGACCTCCTTGACCCCCACCAGTCAGGCTTCAAGGCAGGCCACTCCACAGAGACTGCTCTCCTTGCTGTCTCAGAGCAACTCCACCCTGCTAGAGCCGCCTCTCTCTCTCCTCTGTCCTCATCCTTCTGGACCTCTCTGCTGCATTTGACACAGTCAACTACCAGATCCTTATTTCCTCCCTTCAGGAACTTGGTGTCTCAGGCTCTGCTCTCTACCTACCTACCTCGATGGCCGCACCTACCAGGTAACCTGGCGAGGATCTGTGTCGGAACCTTGTCCTCTTACTACTGGAGTTCCTCAGGGTTCCGTCCTGGGTCCCCTTCTCTTCTCGCTCTACACCAACTCTCTCAGTGCTGTCATTCGCTCGCATGGCTTCTCCTACCACAGCTATGCCAATGACACATAACTAATTCTCTCCTTCCCTCCCTCGGACACTCAGATGGCGGCGCGTATCTCTGCCTGTCTAACTGACATCTCTCAGTGGATGTCCGCCCACCATCTGAAAATCAACCCCGACAAGACTGAACTACTTATCTTTCCAGGAAAAGACTCTCCGACCCAGGACCTGACGGTCAACTTTGGCAACTCCGTGTTAACGCCCACTTCAACCGCAAGGAAACCTCGGTGTCACACTCGACAGCCAACTCTCCCTGACTCCCAACATTACTGCGACAACACGCTCTACAACATCAGGCGAATACGTCCTCTTCTCACTCAGAAGGCAGCGCAGGTACTGATTCAGGCTCTTGTCATCTCACGCCTGGACTACTGCAACTTCCTCCTGGCAGGTCTCCAGGACCTAGCAACCTTCCGAAATTCTCCCACACTACTCCACTCCTCCACTCTCTTCACTGGCTACCGGTGGCTGCCCGCATCCAGTTCAACAGACAGTGCTCACGTACCATGCTGTGAATGGATCGGGTCCAGCTTACATCCAGGACATGGTCAAACCCTACACCCCGACCCGCACTCTCGGCTCTGCATCTGCAAAACTACTCGTCCCTCCCTCACTGAGAGCAAAACACTCGACTAGATCACGACTCTTTGCTGTCCTTGCTCCGAAATGGTGGAACGAGCTCTCTGAAGACACCAGGACCACAGAGAGCCTTCACATCTTCCGCCGCAAACTAAACCTCTTCAGACTCTACCTCGACTAAAGACTAACAAATTGTAGCACTTAAATTGTACTTATAACGCCACTTATCTATAGCAAATTGTAAATTGGCTTATTTGAGGAAATTGCACTTTCTTGTTCTTCTGAGTTTGTACCTTATGGTTGAATGCACTTATTATAAGTCGCTTTGGATAAAAGTGTCAGCTAAATGACATGTAATGTAATGTAATGGTGAAACTTTGTTTTATTTTAAAGATACATTTTTACCTTCCTGTCACAAGATATGTTGAGGTTTAATGGTTTGTGAAAAACTGAGGAATGAAGTTCATTAATGAGTTGAGAAAATCATTCAATACTTTAAGCTCCCATTATAAACTCAAACGCCTCATCAATCAGCTGTAAAAAGCATTGTCACAAAGCTGAAAACAGGACTGTTTTTCTTTTCAGTGAAGACTGATTCTCACAGTGAGATGCCGCACACATGTGATGATCTTATAGAATATGATCCATTGTATATGCATAACCAACAAAATGTAGTCAGAAAAATCGACATGCAAATGTAAGACACTCATTAAAGTCCAGAATCACTAAATACCAGTAAAAAGACAAAAACTAAAAAAACATTAAACAGCACAATGATAATGTACTTTATAGAGTAGAGGAGTAGAGGAGTATTTTCCCATTTTAACAGAAGTAAATCATTGACTACATCATTGTTTGTGAAAAATAGAAGACTGATTCAGACCGGATGCACACCAACTTTTTTCTATTTACTATATTTATCACTATAGTTTTATAAGGTCATGTTCTAGAGGCAGAGTTGTTAATACCTGATGGTGACGTCAGTCTCCAGTCCTTCCCCTCCAGCTTCCACTGCTCTCTCAAAGGACATCACAGTATTCTCTGGAGCAAGCTGCACGTAAAAAACATTCCCAGAATGAGAAATAATAACAACCATAACCAATAAGACAGGCCCACCGTCTCTTTCAGTCTCACCATCGGAGCTCCTCTGTGTCCAATGAGTGTGGGGGCGGGACCCAGCCGTCCTGCCTCTAAAATACAGGGCGAGTACATCCCGAGCGGGACCAGGTAGAGGGAGGAGAGCACGGACAGGTAGAGACCCAGGATGGCCACCTGACGCACTGAAGAACACACAACACTCACTGAATTTTTAAAAACTTTCTAATTCCAAGATGTTTGGCGTTAGAGGAGCAGTATGTTGGATTCAGGGGGCTTTAATGGAAAAAATGAATTACACAATTCATAACTGTGTTGTAATTAATCCTTCATATCTGCATCGGCAGTGGGTGCGTGTCATGTTTTTACAGCAGCCATGATCGAATGAGAGTCTTTACGTTCCCTGAAGGACATTGTAGTTCTGTGACACGGGTAGGAAAGGCAGGGGGGAGCAAAGGGGCGACCTCGTACCTGCAATCTCATCACTAGATGCCACTGAATCCTGCACCCTGCTCCTTTAACTGTCTGCTTTCCCCTTATTGATGATGAATGCAAATAGAACTATATAGAACAGCGGGCTCTAAAGTGGGGCCTTGGTGGTGGGTTGAGGATGCCATCATTGTTCATTTACTTCATTTTTGTAATGTTTACCACATTAAAACAACATTTACATTAAGTAGGTTTAAAAGGAAACATATCAAAACTGAAGTATCAAACCATGTACATTTGCAGTTATGCACCTGCTAAGGTCATGACAAGTCAGAGTTATACGAGTATATGAATACTGACTATATTCATTTGTATTTAAATTGAATTGATTACTCTAATTAATTTGGGGTCATGACCCAGTTTTTAGCAGCTAACTTTATCTATATAAGTGGATTATTATAAGGTGTATCAACGTATGGTTTAATTTCAGAACCAGAACACACATCATTCTCCAACTGTGATTGGCACAAAAGAAAAGACACAAAAAAAATACACACACACGCACTGACTCACAAGTCCATCTGCAATACACTGACTGCCACACATGCACAAAAAAAGCAACTGATAAATCTTCGAGCCTCTAAATATGGCCGGGTTTAGGGTTGAGGGAGTGCGGTGGCTGAAGTAGAATTTGATCTCTCAGTAATCAGGATGAGGTACAGTAAATCCCTCCTGATAGGATGAACATGGTGGTCTGGAGCATAACAGCAGCCATATGTCTGGTTTGGAAATCAATCCCCTTTGGAAGCCACCTTAAACTACGTACTAAAATGAAGATTTCCTGACAACCTCTCTGGAGCTTTGACTAAAATACTGTCCTATTTAGCTGACTATAGTATATAGGTTTAAATAGCTACTAATATCACTAACAAGTGTTGAAAGGGTAAGAAGGGCCCAGGGCTGGTTGTTGTCATGAAATAAATCAGTGACAGTGTGAAAACTGGTACTGCTTATTAATCCAAAAACAATGTAGTTGTATTGATTGCCTGAGCACAGCAGTGTACTGCTGCCAACGGGAGCAGCTCCAAAGCGTAGAGACCTTTAAACAAAAATTCATAATAGTTTAAGTGTAAGATATATTTAGAATATTTTCCCTGATTCAACTTACAGTCAGTCAGCCCCGGAGCCATCAGTGCTCTCTCCAAAGCCACACACAAAAACTAAAACTCCCAGAATTAAACACGGAGCATGTGCCGATCTACTGACTAACCTAACTGACCAAACTAACCCTTTGAAACACCAGAGAAATAAAACATAACACAAGCAAAGTGAGGCAGTAGACCAGTAACTGTGATTTTGACAGAAGAGTCCGGTACTCCGGAATCAGGAACCTGTTGGTTTCTTGGACCTGGAGGCTCGGTACTTTATACAAAACCTACTTGAAAAGCTCCAAATCATCCACAAAACTACAAGCTTTGGGTGGGCGTTCATGTCAATGCAGCAGAACGAGGGAGACAATACGACCTCTTGTGTAAACATCTCTTTCCCTTATCTCCTGCTAAGCGAGACCCCAGACATGACTCAGCATCACTCTACCCTGCTGAATATCCATGGCAACCAAGGACAGTAGCCATGGAGAAGAGAGAGAGAAGGGTCAAAGACGATGCAGTGGAGAGGGAGGAGGAAGTGAAAAGACACACATCGGTCGGATTGCAAAACAACGTAGTGAGTGAAAGAGGACAGAAAGCGGGGAGACACGAAAGAAACCGACTGATTGATTTTGTGTTGAGAGGGAGTGGGAGAAAGAAGGCGTTTGATTCTAGAAAAGCTCTGAGCCTGGTGGGCGGGTCAGCTCACAGACACTACGTTAGGGTCAAAACCCTTCACTGTCACATATGTCATTACAACCATCTCCTTCAGGAATCAGGATCAGGAATGAGGAAACATTTATTTCCATAATATGTCCGACATACAAGGAATTGGTTGGTGCGTAACAGCAGACAGTACGACAATGGACGACAACAGTGCACGAGGAATAAAATAAAAGATAATGCTATGGGTTAGTAGTATAAGGCTATGGGTTAGTTTAAAATAAAGGAATGGAAGTTAAAGTTAAAAATATTTAAAAATTAAAAATTAAAAAATAAAGTGCACCAGCGAACAGAAAGTGACAAATGAAAAGCTCTTTGTTCACACCAGTTACTAATTACAGTCAACTAATGGTTTCAGCGGTTAAGCTGATATAATAAACACATCTGTAAAACTGAGTTTCACAAAAAAACAACAGAAACGCACTATTTTACATCTTGGCCAGAGGCGTGCGAACTTGATGATGAGTCGTTCAGCTTGAAAAAAAGGAAAAAATCACTATCGCATTCCTCCCAGAAGATAAACGTGCGGCGGGGGGCTTACCTCTCTTGCTCATGCGGAAGAAGTGTAACGCTATAGGCCAGGAGAGTACAACCATTAGAGAGACGGCGGCCACGTGGAGGAAAGGCGCCGTCACCTGATGACAAAGAAGAGGAAGCTTGTGACAAGCGATTGGCCAGAACAACTAACCACAATGCACAAATTAGTTTGTGTTAAAAAAGCAAAAATGGGATATTCTCTCCTGTGATTGGCCGGTGTGTCCAGACTGACTCACCTGCAGCGATAGAAGCAGAGTCTTCCATTCTTTGCTCCACAGGTCCGACAAGATGGCGGTCGCTATGACAGAGAAGGCCAACACCACAACGATGCCAGTCTGACAGAAACACAGGAGGAAAACAACCTGCTGTGATCTTTATCTCGCAGTGTTTGTGTTTATTAACAAGGATTATATTTATCATTACCTTGTGGCTCCAGTGAAGATAAAGCCTCTGCCCCTCAGATAGCAGACACACGGCCAGAACCTGAATGATATTTACATATTATCAACATTTTTTTACAGACAGTTGATTTAAGTAATTTTCTGCATGTATATTTTAAATGTTCTCCTTACTGTTAACCCGTTTACACTATTGGCATTTTGTATATTTGTTGATTATTGACAATCTTTATTGTTTATATTCTATTATTTCACTCTCTAAATTATTTTAATGCATTTACAGATGGGTGACCTTTGTTTCTTATTTTCCGATTACACGTTTAGACACGGATTATCTAACTATTCAAATCAATTATAGTGAGACCGATCTTTCTCCAAATAAAGTGCTGACAGGGTTAATATGATAGTGTTGCGCCAAATTAAAAACAACTCTAATTAGGCTAATTAGGGTTCTTGGCAAGACACAGACATTTTATTTTCTGTAAAGAGAGGACAAAGGTTTACTCAGCACACGGTCTCTGAAAGGTTTGAATCAGTGTCCATACCAGCAGAAGGGCGATGTATGTGAAGAGAGCAGCAGCGACCACCAGCAGCACCAGAGACCAGGGAAACCAGAAGCCCAGAGTCCCAAAGTTAAACCTGAGGAGGCACGAGAGCGACAGCTCGCACAACTACCACGCTTCATGTTGCAATGACGGCTCGCTCACTTCATGCATTCATGTATTCATTATTAGGAAGACTAAATTGAATAACGAATAAATTAAATAAGCTCGGTTGCAAGCAAACGTTTATGATTCTATTAATACGTTTCATTCAGCGAGATCATCTTCTGGAATCAATACCACTTTCATTATTCCTGAATCATAAAAAGCAAATGTAAGGCCATAAACAAACAACAGCATGGTCACATGACTTCAACGCCACCACCATTAAGCTTCCGACTTTGATTGATCACAAACCTAAAGTCCCATCTAGATAACAATCACCAACTGCCTTTTTTTTTCCTGAAGGGGTTTTATACTGATGCCACTTATATCAAAGAGGGAAACGCTAAATTCTCTGAGACACAACAGAACTTATTTCAGATAACCGTAAAACCAATTTAAGAAACCCAGAGACAAGCATAACGGAATGCTATAAATTTAACTTATTTATGTACATGATCATAAACATCTGTATTAAGCATGCACTCCAACAACACTACCTCAGGTCTGATACTGCTGATACGCTACATGTAACCACTCTATAGTTTATGACATAACAATACGGTCTGTTATCTTATTCTTTTTTATATATGTTGACTCTTTGCACAACAACAACCTCTGGAAAGCAATTCCCCTCAGGGAAAAGTACCTTATTGTATTCCCATCACAATGACTTTAACGTGCGTCTGTTGTTGTTACCCACCAGTCAAAGTCGATGTAGTCGTTTTGAGCCTCACTCCAGAAGTAGAGGAATAGAAAACTGAAGAAGAAAGTGAGGATCAGGAGGCCAAAACTGCCACACTCCACCTGTAACACACACACACACACACACACACACACACACACACACACACACACACACACACACACACACACACACACACACACACACACACACACACACACACACACACACACACACGTGAAGTCATGTGATACGTTTATTTTAACCAAACCACTCACTTCTAACCAGAGGAATGTTAATTTAGTTTTTTACTTTGTAAGTAATTTAGTGAAATAAGGTTGTCTTATGTTAAGTCATGATTCAACATCTGGCAGTTACAGAGGAGATCAATCCTGTTACCAAGTGCATATGGAGGCAGTATATCTGGACAACGCTGACAGAGTGAATAAGTGCTCATATTTTCAGGGAAAAGCAGTAACTGACTGTTGGAGTCACCACGTCCGTCTGGGGAATCAATACAATACATCAATACTGCTTGATCAGCAAACCAACCGAACTCAACCATTTCTTACAGATGGTGCTGTGTGTGTGTGTGTGTGTGTGTGTGTGTTAGTGTGTACCTTGCTGCAGCAGCACTCTCCCGGCTGGGCACGGGCTCTTTGGTACCGTCTCCATTGGCAACCATAGAGGCCGGCCAGGCAGGAGACAAACGGCTGGTGTTCATACCTGATAGAGTCAATGAGGAATTCATATTAATGAAAACAAAGAATGAAGACTAGGTCGCCCTTTTATTATTTTAAAAAACGTTAGTCCATATACTAACAGACAAAATAATAACTTTTTAGAGAGCAGTTTCCAAAACATTGAGGTAGCAGCTTTTGGTAAGAATATGTTTGAGCAGGATCTGACTGTCAGGTGTCACATGGGAGGGATCTGAAATGTGCAGGAGCTACTCTAGAAAACCTACTGAGCCGCCTGTCCGATTCAGATCTTTGAATTTTGCTTTCGTTGAAAGCAAAATTCAAGCTTATCAACCTAAAAAATCTGCTGCTCCGAAGACACAAGTGCCAACAAGTGTGTTGCTCTGTACCTCTGCAGCAGCTGCCGCCGCACCACCTTTAGCTTCCCCAGCTTCAGTCTGGTCACAGGAATACACTCATCCACAGCCGGGCATCACAGAGAGAGAGAGGAGGAAGAGGAAGGAGGAGGACGACGATGAAGAGGGGACAGAAAAAAAAGGTACCACCTTCACCTGGAGGGAGAAAAGAAGGCATTTATAATAATGAAATGCATTTATAGGAAGACTAGACTCAGCAGGACTCAGTTGAGACAAAACAAAACCCTCTCATTTTACGGTTAAGTTTTTCACAAGGGTCTGGAAAACTTCTGAAGTAAGAAATGGGCGACACAGGAACATCATCTCGAAGCATATTTGATCGGACGGTTCCAAATTCAAAAGGTTTGATTGGAGATAGCAAGCTCCACAAGCAGGAGCGGCGCCACAGACTTCTTGCCTCAGATTGGTTGTTTTTCTTTGGGCTCTGTGAAATCTTGAAAATGTCATCAGGAGCACTAAAAAGGACCCAATGGTTTTTATAGACCATCTAGTTTTCTTCTGAGCGTTTGAGCAAAAATGATAAAATGTTTTGATAAAGAAATCGGTTATAATATTGGTTGAAAAACATTTCTGGACATTTTCACAATTATTGAAAAGCCCTTCATAGAACAATAGTTGCTTCCTTTGAAACATACCTGGCAGCCCAAATCCCCGCAAAAAACGTATATTCTAAGACCGTATGTCATTCATATTTTTCCCGAAAAGGGACTTGTTACGCTGTTTTACTTTGAGGTGCCTCATGAACACATTAATACCTTAACAACAACGCGAGCAGCAGTGTGGGGCATTAAGAGCAGTTATGTAACAGCTCTGCATCCTCTGCTCCACTGAACCAAATGGCAGCGCCACTCCGCTCCTCAACAGAGCAGCAGGCCGTCAGTCAGCCAATGGCCGCAGCCTTGAGCGGCTGACACAGAATATCTATCACTTTAATGGCTGTCACACTGCGACTCATCGACACGATCAGTTGTTGAACTCCTACGAAAAACATTAAAATTCAAAATGAATTAGGTCTCCTCCCATGCTAAACCCTAACACAGTTCATGAGGATCAGGCCAATAGTCTTTGGCTCAATCCTACGGACAAACAAACAAAAGGAGAAGACATTACCTCCTTGATGGAAGTGCTCATCTCAAGAAGTAGCATTTGGGAAGCTGGAGCGAGACCATTTTGGAACAATTCAAAATTGTCGCCGACTTTCAAACTATGAATCGTTTCAGCTTTAAAAAGATTGCAGATCCCTGATCAGACTTTGCTAAACCATTGAGCCTCTCCTTTCTGGAGTTGTGCTCACAGTGAATCTGATGTAGAACAGACCCACATAGGTGCCCTAAATCTGATTAACGTAGGTCCAACAAAAGCTTTTAAACCGTGTGCCGGAGTTAAGAACAAAGAGGTCAGCTCAGCGGCTTAACACACACTCTCCACCACAAACACTGTGCTGACCAGAGGGTGAACTGGTTCAGCGCTAACACGCTGGATATACGATCGCAATACAAAGAGGCAGATTAGTGGTGATGCCGCAATGGTTTACCAACATCGACGTTACCTGAATACGTGTGTGTGTGTGTGTGTGTGACAGGATACACTTGTAGTGCTAACAGATGGTTAGCGCCCTGTTGTGTTCATCAAACACTCGACTATGTTTCTTTTGTACTTCAAGACTGAACAACAGACAGTTGTTCAATCACCAACAACACAATATGCTACTAAATACCAAGGTTATGAGGTTGGAACACCAAGAGAACCAAATATTTTTAAAATAAAACCTCCATCTGTGATACTCATTGTGTTATTATATGTATCAGCGTTGCACATTTGTAATAGCTCGCCCTCTTATCAAAGTATTCCCTACACACAACATCATTAAAGTACTCTTTAAAGGCCATGTTATCTTTGAGATAACATGTGAGACAGAGAGAGAGGAAAGAAAAGGCAGCCACATACTGATATTAAGGTGAAAAGGTAAATGTTACTGCGGTTATGCCCATTTTCATTCGTGATGCACAGGACTGCTAGCTGCTAACGTTACTAGCTCTGCTCCTGTCAATTGAAACACAGACTGCAACCTTAAGATTGGCTAAGATGAGACTAGGTTGAGGATCAACACCTCACATTTAAGGAGCTGGAAATAGATCCATCTAATTGAATCAATAAGCACTTTACACATTTTCTAAAATAAGGTGCCGCCACTTCAGATGCAAGTCATTTTGCAGTGGTGTGATTCATATTGATCAGTTTTTTATTAATTGATTTGTCCAAGTCCTCCACCCCCCTTGGGCATGCAGATAACCTTGTGGTGTGGATTAGACTCATAACATGCCTGTATTCATTTAATGGAAGTCTAATTTCATACAATGTCCGTAAGTTTTATTTTTGGTTTTCAGTGCTTATATTCTATGATGTCTATATGCAATATTATACCAGCGGCCCGAGCTACTTCTCTAGGTGTGTGTGTGTGTGTGTCGTACGGGTTTTGGGAGAGGAAGTCGGGCGCGTTTGCGGATGACACCACCCTCATTGGACTCTGGTGGGGATGAGTCTAAACGCTCTAAAGACAGTGGAGATGGTTGTAGACTTTAGGAAGAATGCAGTCCCACCTTCTCCCATCACCCTGTGTGACTCCCCCATCACCACTGTGGATTCCTTCTGAAGACAGCTGAAGAAATTCAACCTGCCAAAGACGATGATGGTCCACTTCTACACGGCCATCATCGAGTCCATCCTCTGCTCCTCCATCACCGTCTGGTACGCTGCAGCCACAGCCAAGGACAAGGGCAGGCTGCAGCGGGTCATCCGCTCTGCAGAGAGGGTGATCGGCTGCAATCTGCCGTCCCTGCAGGACTTGTTAGCTTCTAGGACCCTGAAGCGAGCTAAAAAGATTGCCGACCCCTCTCACCCCGGACAAAAACTGTTTGTGCCCCTTCCATCTGGCAGGAGGCTGAGGTCCATCAGGACTAAGACCTCCCGTCATACGAACAGTTTCTTCCCGTCGGCAGTCGGGCTCATCAACAGAGCCGGTCCCCCACTGACTGACTCTGACATCCCTTTTCCAACAAGCCATTCCCTGCACACCCCTTTATATAAGTAAATACACTGCAAATATTACTGCAGTGAACTATACTAAATACGTTGTTTCACAGACATTGAAAAGAGTCCCTTTTAAAAAAATACAATGTCTAGCAGAGGAGAAAAGTTGAAACCATGCATTGAAGTTCCTCTGTCTTAGTTTTTTTACATCAACAACCTCCGTTCTCTATCTGTCCCTTCAGCTCTCTAAACTAATTGACTTTATCTCGGGTTGGTCTTCCACCCCCATCTCCATCTGTCGGTGCTCCTCTTCCTCTCTGGAAGGTTGCCAGTGCTCGAGCAGCTCGACATCAACCTTCATGAGTGGACAGCACTTCAGTCAGGTCTTCACAGGTGGAGAGCCAAAGTGGGCCGAGGTCAGCCGCCGGCACACTTTTCTATTTACACAGGTATGTATTTATAGGGGACTCTTCATTCATCAACAATGAAAACAGGCCATTTCCAAATGAAGACCTAAACCTTCTGAACAGCTCAGGAAAGGGCAACACACACTAATAGAATCATTTATAGGATTTCTGGATTCTAACTATGCGGACAGTGTTTCATGGTGGATCCTGAATAATGTTGTCATTGAAGAATCCTGCAAACCCTGGGAGACGAATAGTGTCAATGCTTCTGTGTTAGCATAGCATTACAAATGCACAATGCTAATGCTGAGATAAGCTTGGTTGGGTTGTGGCAACAAGTTTATAAAACACGTTAACATTTGCGTAAAGATAACAATGTAAGAACGAAATGTACAAAGCGCAACTACATCAATAAACTGCCCTTACTCAACATTTAGCGACAGCAGTAACAACAAAGTTACGTTTCCTTTTGGTCTCACTTGGGACACGAACACCAACCGCCTGGGTGAAAGTCCTGCGTTTCTTTGGCCTGTCGCTTGTTACACTTGTTATAATACAACCTGACTTCCACACAACGCAAGCTTCCATGACGGCCGCCTGCTGTGCTGCAACTCTGAGTCTGACTGCAGAAACGTATAATGGCGACTGGGCCGTTCATGATGTGCAGCGTTGTATTAATGCCCTGGACAACAAAACATATGAGCAATAACTGTGAAACAATAAGTTGCGACTGGTTAGTCCAAACCTCAGCCTGGTGTCAGACTGACAGCTTGTGCTCCTCTGCTCCTCCTACGCCTTCTTTCCCTCACACCCTCCCACCTGATTGAGACCTCTACTTCTACAGAGTCAGAATGTCTTCTTGCTCCAAATATCGAACATTTGCTGTAAGCGGGCTACGCGCAGATCCCGGAGCAGCTCACCTTCCTGCTAGATGACGCTTTGCCTCACTGTTTAAATACCTGTTTTTCCCCTGAAGGGAGCTGTTAGATTTCATCCGCGTTAAAAAAGGGTAGTGGAGTCTTTATTTCAGGACAGGCAATTTGCCCCTGCTGTAACACGCAGAGATAAACTCTGCGTAATCACTAAAACACACACACACACGTAAAATACTGCAGAGCCTCCCGTCCTTGAGGCTGTGAGCCAACAGATGTAACCACTGAACCAACGCGGCGCCACGCGAGCTTCGTGACGCAGGTTAGAGTCTGTGTCCGAAGCAGAGTCAGACGGACAGCTGAGTGCATCTCTGCACAGGGCCGCGCACACAATCAAGTACATTTCACAGTCACCTGACATACACAAGACACAGACGTCCACTTCTAGGCGGGTGTGATGTGAACATCGAAGTGTCTGAGCATCGCGGGGAGCCCGTGGTAGAACGAGGGGCCAGTCGGGTTAAAGGCTCCTCCAGGTTAGACGGAGCCGCGAGGCCGGATGGTCTGTGCAGCCTGATTGCAGCAGTTAAGCACCATTCATCATGAAGGAAACAGTCAGGCTGATCATCTCAGTCTGTTTTTTTTTGTTTTTTTTGGAAAGCGGATCACAGGTTAAATATTTTACTTAAATATTTTACTATTGCGGCATTGCAAACTGCATTGACAACGGCAGCAGGGGCTCAACTGTCTCACATCTCATTCTCCGCGTGATGCGGAGAACCGACAGAGGCCGGCAGGTCGAGAACAGGTGAGACATCTGTCATGTTTTGTTTCCATTACGTCGGACGGGATTGCCGCCCGTCAAGTGGCGGCGCCAAAGAATTCAATTAATTCCAACCTGGCGGGGCCGAGCACAGCTGGACATATTGCACCTATTGACGCAGAGCCGAGAGGCTGATGCCAGGTACGACTATTAGAACAGTAAAGCTCGTAAAAATATGACTATACATGGTAAAAGCTCAGAGCTTTTGGGAATGCCCTTTATAGCAGCCACTTAATTCCTGCTGCTCCTGTGGAGCTGCACCGCTGTGGTTCCAGGATGTGATTATGCACATGCGATTAGATTAATCTTTAATGATCCCTTGGGGTATGACTGTTGGATGAGAAGCAGGTCAGCGCTGAAAATGAAGGAAATAAGAGAATTAAGAGAATATTTGAAAAATAGTGTGTAAAGGTTAATCTAAAAGAACCACAGTGGATGAATACGCATTGGATTAAATATGATATAAAGATTAGATATATTTTGAGAGCATTAAGCAGATTAGTAGTATAAGAGTGTAAAGATTAGAGCATACAAAATCCTCTGAGGAAAATTAGTAATTTGCGATGGGCTATACAAAATAAAATGAATTAAAAAATACTTATTTATTAGACAATATATGAATATGAGTATAAAGAGTAGAGTAGTATAAAGAAATTATAATAATTAGAGTGGCATAAAGACTATAAAGATTAAAGTACGGTAGTATAAAGATAAAGATTGTATAAACAATGTGAATATTATATTAAGACAGATGGAGTACAAATAATTATAGTAACAGAAAGCATAAAGATAAAGATAACAATGATAGCAAGAGTATAAGGATTAAAGTAATAAAAAGAAAACAAATATGTGATGGAAACTAGAGTGGATAAATAACTGTCACAGACTACATGTAAATACACTAATGAGCTCCTGTGGTCCAAACACAAAGCTCTGTTAGCAGACCAGCCAGCAGCAGATCCTGGATCTGGTCCCAGGCCGAGAGGGGGCCGGTGGTGACGACATAATGCAATCACATAGCGCCGGAGGCCGCCTGTACAATGTCAGGGTGCGTTCAGTGTGCTGGACCACCATGCAGAGAAACACCCAACCCTGGAGGGGGAGATATACGCTCCCACTGAACGTGCAGACAACGTGGAGGAAAAAGATACCGATGGATGAAAAGAGACGGACAGCTGTTAGCCAGAGAGAGGGACAGCGAGGAGACAGCTCCATGAGACAACGCAGCCCTCTGTCTCCTCTGTTCACTCACAGCACAGCACAACAACACTCACCACAAGCTCCTGGGATAAACTATACGTGAGCTCAGAGTAATACAAGACACTGCTCAACGCACTGCGTATCTTACTATCAGATGGATGTCAGATAGCAGGAGGGGGAACGTGCACTGGGACGATCTTTGCCCACCAAAGCTATTTGCAAAGCCACCTAAGAAATAAAAGTAGACTAAACCTGTGGAAAAGAGTTTACAACTTTTGAGTGGGAGGATAAAAACAGTCTGATACTGTCGAACAGAGTCTGCATGAGACGCACCAGGCGTTTAACGAAGCCCAGCGTACCTCCACCTACGTCACTAGTAGACCGGAGTGGTCTGTCGCCCAAAATCTTTTAATTTTATTAATATTAGCTTACTTTCTTTTCTCATTCTCATTTTACTCATTTTCTTGCGAAGGAAACAAAAGAACACACAATGCCTTTGGGCGAGACGATCGATCGGCTGCAGACGTGAGGGACAAAGCTCTCTCTTCAGCGTGTGTTTGATGAGGTTTTAGTTATCGCAACTGTTAAGACCGTAACAATGCGCTTTTTGGGAGGATTTAAAGCAGAGTCATCTCTAATAATAGCAGGATTCACCAGCGTTGTGTATAAAGGCTCTAAAGTCACTTTGTACCCGTTGCTAAGCTACATCCATTCGTCCAATATCGAGAAACTATCTTGATAAACGATTCATCGACAAAGTCATTTTTTATGCAAAAAGTGGCAAACAAAAAAAAAAAATTTCAGGGTTTTGGATGGACAAAATAAGAAATTTAAAAACCACACAATCTCTTGAGACTTTTGGGATGGTCATCTATAAACCTTGACGATAACTTGATCAGCTAAATAACATTTAATTAAAATGAACTGGGCTTGGAGACCCCCTATTAATACTTTAACTTTTCCAGCCACCAAGCTGCAACTTGACTTTGAAAATGAAGATCCGTTCCTGTATAAAATCTGCAATTGTTCTTCTGATTTTTGGTGTTGAAGAGAAGGATAATGGAGCAACACTGACGTCATCCAGAACCACACAGGGGGGCCGCGCAGAGACCCACCGCTGGTTGCTGTGACGGGGCTGGTTGAGCTTTAGTGTCAGTCAGGGCTGGAGACCAGCTGCTGCATCATGACGCTCCCTCCCGACCCTGTGAGCGTTACCATGACGCCTGCTTCAGGCCAGTGTCTCCCGGGTACCGGTATACAGGCCAAATGCAAACTCTCTCTCTCTCTCACACACACACACACACACACACACACACACACACACACACACACACACACACACACACACAGACATACACAGAGACACACACAGACCTGCACAGACACACACACACACAGACACACACACACAGACTTATGTGATGTAAACCACAATAATGTGCGTATCCATATAAAGGTGTAGCTGGGACATGCTACGCTTGGGAAGATTACTCTATCTGTTAAACCGATTGTCTTAATGTATCATATAATAGAAGGGGAAATATAGAGTAGCATATTCTCCTCTCTCACATATAGTGAGTTCGTACTTAGATATAAAGTTACTATCTGGAAATGCTCCGGTTTTAGCTGCTGGTAGTTTAGGCATCACGTCTGGTATTTGGCCCTCAAAAAACGGTGACTCAACTTCAGGATGTCCCACTTCCTCCTGACACTGCTGATTCCGTGTCGCTGCTCTGAGCCACGCATCAACAAGCCGCCACTCGTTGTGCACTGGCAGATTAAACCAGCGGGAGAAGGACAAAAAAGTGCCCTTTATCAGCCACTTCCAAGTCTGACGTGTGATGACGTGTTATCACTTGGCCCGTGTGATTGATTAACTAAACGTGCACACCTGAAGGATAAACGGGCGCCTTCGTCCAGGCAACAAAGAACCAGACCTCGCCACCCACGTGCGTTATCCCTCAAGCGGCTGTAACTCCGTGAACTGACCTTGGGCCCCCGAAGGGCGACCAACGCACATAAATCAAACGCTCCCTGTTGAATTGGCAGCAGGCTTTCCGTCAGGTGTGCGGCCGCCTATTGGCTCGTATTGACCTACAGGTTAACAATGAGGAGGGCTGACAGAAGCAGGGAACGCAATCAATCACAGCGCTGTCACTGAATCAGCTGTGGAGAATTACCAGCGTGTGACAGCAGCTGAGCCACTTACTGCGGCCTCGGCTGCTGATGGAGGAAGAGGAAACACTCAAAGTGACGTCAGCGGGAGCACCGCTAGAACAGACCGAGTGCTTGAAAGCTGAAAAACTGCGATCCTCAGGAGACAGACAGCACAGTAATATTGCCAGTGACTATCATTTTTCTTGAAATACTCCAATAGCCACTTACTCATTTTTAATATCCAACTGAACATTTCCCACAAGTTTAAGTCTGCTATCGGCAACATGAGATAAACAAGAGATTAAGAAACATTAACACGAGATATAAAAGCAGTGGTAAGAGACTTCATGCGCCCTTATTTTGGAGGGTAATCAATGAGCTGCCCTGCCAGATGTGTGCAAAAAAACCTTCTTTCTCAATAGTTTGACTGATCCTCCCTGCTCCACGCCAGCTGGAAGAGATTGAGAACTTAAACCAGGGCGGTACTACAGTCAAAGCATGAATATGAATTAGCAAACAACAATTTTCTTAACCAATGAACAAAAGTTGGCACATTTTGAATGTGGGGAAGCAGCGTAGAGATGGCGTATACGTCTCTGGTAGCAGCAGAAACCTCAGTCACAGTGATTTCAGTCATTTATTCAATGAACATCATGTCGTATTGAATAAGAATGGAAAGTAAAGATTGAGACAATAAACTCATGTTTAAATAGTTTACTGGGGGAATAAACTTCCTCATAGAACTCTATACGAGCAGATGTTCTCCCCCTGCTGGTCAGTACAGAGAATGATCATATCTCACTCGGACATGGCAGCCTTTATGTACACTGCTCTCATATATACAGTCCGGATTATGGGAGAAATGTTTCTTAAATATTGCTATGCAAGTTTCCTACATGAATGGAATAAAATGACAGATCCGCTTGGTAGTTACATTTCCAACATAACACGAACCTTAATGTTGATATAGCACGCTGATTAACGGGAAAACAAGAAGGAAAAAGACACTTCAAATGAAAAAAGACTCCCTTTCATAACAGCTAATGTTGACGATATCTTTGAGAGAAATGACCAACTGTACAGCGAGGGAGAGAAGTCATGCGCCAGATGGAACTGCTCAACGAAGTGCCGCCGCCGTACGGACACGTTTCTGGTGTCTACTGATGCCGTTTCACTTTAAAACGACTATCCAAATGACCGCGGACCGACAGACCGCGAGGAGACCCGTCGTCTTACCCGAGGCTGCGCTCCGCTGCTCGCTGTCCGCTCACGAGCCGTGCTGTGCTGTGCTGTGCCGTGCTGTTCTGTTCTGTGCTGAGCTGCTGCAGCGTGTCGCCTCGCGCGGCAGGGCAGCCTCTCGAGCTCCGCGCGCGCGACGACAGTACGAGCACGCGCTCCGGCTGAAGGGAGGGGGCGGGGGGGCATGCGCGAGGGGCTTCAACTCACCTGTTGCTGACGTCACCACGACGCTTCTCTCCCTCTCTGGTGATTTAAATCAAAACATTGTGTACAATTCGAAGAAAAGAAATATGTGAATGTTGTGGACTTCCCAATTTTGGAACATAAAGCAACGGAAATAGAGCCTGATATGTAACTGATTCATTGAGTATTTTACTAATATCACTTAAATATCACTTATATTTACTACATGCTTAATATTCTATATTAGTAATCATGCTTATATTGAGAGGATACATTACTTTGGACTACATGGAAAAACAAATCTGAAAACATGGTTAGCAACAACCTCTGGTTAGCAAAAAGTGAATTTATTTACTTCCTAATTTGCCTTGTACATAAATTCTATTGTAAACTTGACTTTCTCACTTCTGCATCAGTTCCATGATGTCACGGTAAACTCACACACCAGTGGTGGGCCGTGCATTTTTCCACTTGGACCTTCCTTACGTCTTTGTTCAGCGTAGCACAGCGTTCATGTAGCACGGCGTTCATGTAGCTCAGCGTTCATGTAGCACAGCGTTCATGTAGCACGGCGTTCATGTAGCTCAGCGTTCATGTAGCACAGCGTTCATGTAGCTGTTCATCGTCACAAAGCTGAAAAATAGAGCAGTTTTCTTTTTAGAGATACGAGTTTCTCACAGGACAGAGACACTGCGAATGTATTATGATGTTAGAAAAAACGGTGCATTGATGCACACTGAACAAACTAAACAAGGGCATCTACAAATATAGAAATGGAAGACATACATTAATGCATCCCATTGTTGTAGCTGAGAAAATGGAAAGCAGGGCGTTGTTGAGAAATGAACAATGCACTTAAATTCCCCATGGTGAATAAAAAGGTTAAAAGAATGACAGAAAGCAAGTCATCACGTATTCCTCAAGAGATACAAAATGTCAAACTCTTTTAGTTTGAGGTCACCGATCTGCAACACAAACACAAACCTACACGCACACACACACACACAACACATACAGAGTGACTGGGGCCTGCTCCATCTGATACGCAGAGCGTTGCCATAGAAACTCGGTGCACCTTTAATCATAACACGTTGAATCTGGTCAATAAGGCATGAGTCGCCACAGTAATGGAAGCCCCCGGTAACCTGTGCAACACACACACACACACACACAGGTAACAGCTTTATTACACTGCATGAGTGATGACAGCCAGTAAAAAATGCTGTTGTTCACAGACAAACAATAAGGGATGACGCCATACACACGTACACAACACACACTGTTTTCAGACTCTTTAAAACATTTAAAGATAGGAGACATTAAACTAGCAAGGACAGGAGCTCGCTGCAGTTCTCCTTTTAATTCTTCTTTTGTTGTAAATAAAGTGACGATGTTCCCTTCACCTCGTGGCTCTGCAGAGCCCGCAGGCTAAAAGCTATCAGCGTCATGCTAAAGTACTCAGTGATAACGCCAACGGGCTGATGTTCATTAACCCTGCCCCATGTTTAGCGTGTTAATATGCCTTCGCCTCAATTGCGTCAAACTGAAAGCACATCCGAAAGTGATATTCTTCTTATGCAGTTACAAACCAATTCCGAGCAACATCTAATTTCAGATATTACGCTTACTACGGATATATAAAAACTTCCCACCGATGTGATTTTCATAAGAAAGCATGAAACAGATGCACATGCTGTGTACTACATTTTCCCAGCAGCATAAAACATATTTCCTGGGATTAATCAAATCTGACACACATGTCACATGTTAAATGGCCTTAACTGGAAGATTTGGGGTCCTGAGCTTCTAATTCCAGTATTTTGTCCCGAGCTGTACGAAGGAATTGGAGCCATCATGTCCTTCGAGTTACTTTCAGAGTCAGTATGATTCAAATCACAATAAGAAATCCACAAATTCAAAGTTTCCCTTACCTTTAAAGAATAATTCAGATTTTCCAATATGCAACTTCACTCAGCTGCATTTATGAACTGATAGACTTGAAGACATTGTGTAAACAAAAGTTCAACCATTAAAAAAAGCTACATTGTCATCGATTGTGGATTCTTCATTTTGTATAGTATGTCTTCATAACCATCACCAGTTACAAGTGATCATAGCCTTGTTTTCCAATCCGGGAATGTTTCATTTGCCATCCATTTACCTGGTGAGGTAAATGTTACACTTCATCAAAAGGATATCTGACCAAAATGATAAAAATAAGAGGTAGAAAAAAAACAGAATGCTCTGATATCCGTTGATTCTGGTCTTTGTAACGATGAAATACAACGAGGTAAACTGATACAAACGGTAAACGCTTACCCAAGCGGAGATTGTACATAGTAAGATTTATGTGTTGTGGCCAGAGTCCTCTGCAGTGCTCTTCCTCTGCAGCGGAGGCTGTTATGTAATAGTGGGGAGAAGGTGGGGGCTCCACTGCAACACTAAAGGACATCAATCAACACACACACACACACACACACACACAGTTGATTACATGACACAAAGACGTGTGTGCTTTTTTCCTTCAGCAATACATTATACAGTCGTAAGTGGACACTTTTGTCTCTTAATTGCAAAGCTAAGGATAATATACAGTGATGCTTTAGGAAATATTGTGCCTCCAACTTTGTGGTTAAAGGTAAGTAGGATCTTTGTGAGGAGCTGAGAGCCGTCCTGCTGGACCTCATCAAGCGTGACTGAACTATTTCATCATTTGTTTGTTCTTTTGGGGCATTGTCTACTTTCTGCACCATATTCGAACTTAATTGTTTCTAGCATCTTATTATTTGTCCTATTTTACACATGAACTCCTGTTTTTCTTGTGCGACAGGGTTGACGAAAAAAAGAGAGAAGTCTTTTTTTCTGTGACAGCATCTGGTGTCGTTTCACCTCACGAGTCAAAGTGTGAAAAACAGCTCCTGGAGCAGGAACTTCCACAAAGGCAGTTTAGATTTCTTTAAAACGAGGTGTTTCTGTCTGTCTGGAAACCTTACAGATGTCTCGTGTAGATAAGCAGGCTGTGAAGATGGTCTGAGCAAAGGGAGATAGAATTGGGGAAGTGTCTGTGGGCCCCTGGTACACCTTGTGGCCCCTGGTTCTATGGTAACCAGCGTGATCCCATCTCAAGCTTCTCTCCAGAGATACGTCACACTCCGTCGCTCCTCCTCCTTCCTGCCACCTCAGCAGAAACGGGCCTCACAGCTCTCCACACTGCACCAGCCGAGGAAGAGACACTGGCGTGCGCGTGTGAGAGAGAGAATGTTTAGGACAGATAAAGGAGGCGGAGAGAGGTGGATACGGAGAATCTGAGAGAGAGACTTTCTTTGCTGAAACGGAGCAGAAAAATCCTGCGTCACTGTTTCTGTCCCTGCAGGACGATTAGAGGTTGTTAACAAGACCTCAGTTTCCATGGTAACAGGAGGCTTTTGCCGGCAAGACTAAGCCGTATTTCTTAATCCCCCAAAAAATGGAAGCCAGAAATGACGTACAGCACCTCCATGCACAATATGAATGCAAACATATACTATTATATCTAGAACACCTGATTTTGCTCGCTATTTATTAAAATAAATAAATATTTTGTTTTCCCTTGTTTCTCTATAATGTTTATTGTCTTGTATCGTACACTGTGTAATGAAGACAAAAACTCACCAGTGTGGAGAATGCAGTTCTTGTGCTTTGAGCTCATTCTGCATCCTCATAGTGCTCCGGTTGGATGATAGCATGAGAGTAGTGCAATCTAAGCAGCTTTTTGAGGTTTCCTTTTCATAGCATGGTGAAGATAAACGTCTGATCTTTGCAAATAATATCCGTTTGCTTCAATAAGCGTTATAAGCAGTGCAATAAATGCACCTTATTTACAATGAGACACTTCACTGGCGGGGTCAGGGTGCATATGACTACCGACTTTTGACCTGCTAAAAAGGATGCAGATACAAGGAAAGAGGATGAGAAATTGTGTAAAGCTTCCTACTCTGCCCCTGCTATACAAGTCCTACAAGGCCAGAGGGCCTCAGCCACATAACCCACTCCTGGTCAGCCGGCAGATGAAAGCGCGTATGTTGGAAGCAGGTGATTCGTATTCAGCACTTTTTATTAGAAGGAGCTTGAACGAGAAGAGGGATCCAATTTCACGGATTGGGGGGGTCGCCCTCAGCCGGCCGTCATAGCCAGACGGATGTAAGCTCATTTCTTTTTATGTAAGTGACCCACATAAAGGCTTCAGGAGTATTATTAGGAAATCCTCATTTTCCAGCGGTCACTCGGTCCATTGTGCTCCCAACACGAAGGTCCGAAACGAGGACAAATATACTAGGACGTAGTGAATGTGTACTAGTGCACCAGGACGTCTCTACTTAAAGCTCCTTATTGGGAAAAGTCCTTGTACTTAAAAACCTTCTTGGCAATGAATCGGATTGTGACTCACTGTGATACTGAAAATGCGAGGTTATCTGAATGGACGCTGGTGCTTCTTGTAGTGACTTTAATGCATTGAAAATTCACAGAAAAAACTGATCCCGTTTGGTGAAATGCAGTGTCAGGGATGACAGGGAGCATGTGGGAATGCATTCTGCAACAAGCTGTTAACAAAACCAACATATTACCATGTTTTACAGTTAATTTGATGTGCTTCTACTTGAGTATTTTCACCTCACACCACTTTATACTATAATGTTGAGGTTGACTGTTGGCTAGACGAAGCACAATTTGGGCTCTGAGCAAAGCTATTTCTTACAAACCAAATAATAGATTTATCAAAACAAACGTTTACTTACACAGCAACAGAACAGATGAGCGCCATTATTATTCAATATAATTGTGTCTACCTTTTCAACGTAGGTACAATATTTACTCTTTTTCTTAGGCTGGTTGTCCCAGAGAACTATTTGGCTGGTAAATGCTAGAAAATAACATAAAAAATGGACAGATCCCCAGTTTTTGCAGTTTTATTTGTTAAATTTTCCAGTTCCAAATCATCAAAACAACTTATAAACAGATAAATTATGGCTCTGATACACATCTCACCATCTCATCATGTCCCCATTACCGAACTCTGAGTGTACCAAATGTGACCCCCCACCCCCCCCACCCCACCCCCTTGAAGCTGCTAAGAGAACTTATTGATGGTCACATCATCCAGTCAAATCATTATTTGGTCATAGTATTTATAAGGCCAATGGTCACCAGAGTTTTGTTGGAATTTTTAGAAACAGGAAAAGAAGAAAAGCCATATATGATGATCATGGATGGATCGGGAGACAGTGGACCCCCTTCCTCATTAGAGCAACCTCCTCGTTTGTCTCCTTCAGGGACATTTTACAACTAAAACTGAAGTGAAATATCCTAAATCTGATGATCTATCTTGCGTTATTTGTTTCTTATTGATCCAAAATAATATGGTGGGGGGGGGTCAGTCCAGACCAGGACTCACAAACACACGTGGGAAACAGTCACCGTTTCAGAGTTCAGATGTGGTTTACTCTGCAGATTAGATGATCTGAGGATTCATCTGCCAATAGCTGGATAATATTAAGAAAACACAACCATCATTTTGCTGTTACTATTTTACATGAAGACAAAGTGAGTTTGTGGCGTTGGTCGCCATTTGAAAACATCACCTTGAACTCTGAGATTTTAACCGTTTGTCACAAATCAATTAACACAACAATAAGCAGATGAATGAATAATCTAAATAATCCCTAGTTGCCTCAAATTGTTTTTCAGGTAGTGTTTCACCTTTGAAACAGATTAAGGCCAGAGGTACATAATCAGCAGAAAGGGAACTGACAGCTTTGAATAGATGTTTTGGAAATCTTCTATTTGGATTGCAGCATTTTTTAAATGCAGAGCGAACTGTCGATGGAAGCTTTGGCTCTTTCCTGGATTTTAACCTGTGACTTTTTTAGCCAGAAAGAAAAAGTCTTTCAGCAGGAAATATGAAACCCAAAACAAATATTCAAACCTGGTATCCAAATTTAAAAAAAAAGTAATTTTACAACATTGATTCTAAAAAAAACAGTGGTTTGTAAACGGAGGCTGAAAGCGTTGTTTCTTATCAGCGATTTTTTTTCTCTTTTTTTTCATGGAAAATATACACCGTATCTTCAGAGGCCTCCCGGAGGTCCACACGGGCCACCGGGCAGAATATAACAACGCACCATCGCAGCAGTGATTCGTCTCATCTTCTTCACAATTGGATGAAGATTCAATCTCTTCTGTCGTCCACAAGCACCTTCGTACCGCTTCACTTGGCGCTTCAGCACTGACGCCATTAAACGTACCGTATTTAAAAAAGGGTTGTTATCATGCACATTCTCGCCTTCAACACCCTCAGACAGTGACGTCCCAGAGCTGCAGATGGAGCGAGTTTGGCCGAGTGGATTATGGGTAAAAAAGCCCATTTCATCAGCTATTTAGCCGTCGCCATCTTGGATTACCGCAAACTCGCCATGTTATTATTTCCCAACCGTGACGAAGAGACGGCGTGTACGTCTCTGGTAGCGAACTGTCAATCACTGTCGGCATGCAGTAAGCAGAAGCAAATTGTTTTGCTGCTGTGTGCATCGGTCATTTCAAGACAATGTGACAATAAAGCTTCTCTCTCCTGGAAAATACTTAATTTATTTTTGCTACCGTCATGCGATTGTAATTGCTTTTTTTTTTAATTAAAGAAAAAAGTGAAATAAGAACGAGGTTTGAGTCCATCGGTTTCCTTTTTTCTTTTCTTTTGTTCTTTTCTAGCTGAAGACAGACACCATCAAAGGGGTGTATTTCTACATCTATTATTCATTTAGCAAGTGTGAATTATTTACACAAGCTAATAAGCGATAGAAAACGTTTCATTCTACTGGGAAGAAATGGCTCCAAACCTCCAAAGCGTCCAAACTCGGTCCGTCGACGGCTGTGGGCCGACATGCCTCTACTTATTTATAACTCCTATTAACATCCTCCTACTAACAGCGCAGACGCCACAAAGTACCTCGCCTGCTCCGTGCCAAAAAACTATTGAAGGCGATGTTAACATGAACTTAATCAGGTTGACAAAACTCACTAACACACAGAACTACTGATTTAAAAAAAGACAGATAAAGATAAAAAGAAAATCAACAAATGCACTTTAGAAGGAAATAACTCAGACTGAAAGCCATAGACGGGTGACAGGAAGCTGAAACCTTAGTTAACACACACACACACACACACACACACACACACACACCCCGTCTGCAGCTGAGGGTGCTGGTTGGCTGTCATGGTCTTTTAAAAAAAAACGACAGACAAATGTTTTTTTTTAAACTCCTAAGAGTCTTTGGGCTCTTTTGAAGCACTCTCTCTCTCTCTCTCTCTCTCTCTTTCTTTCTCCCTCTCTCGCTCCTTCTGGGTTGTTCATACCGGCTCCGGGGGCTATGATGTAAGCTATGACATCACTTGATCAAAGATACTGTCTTGTCCTCGTGATCGAGTCCAGCAGACAGAGAGTCACAGGAACAAATCTCCCATCTTCCTCTCTGTGAGTTCAAGCTCCAACGGTCAAAGGTCACACGGGGGGAAAGAGCAGTCGGTGCAGGTGGTAAAAGAAAAAAAGAATGGCGCGGAGGCCTTGCTGCCCCCCTGTCTGCAGTTGGATAGATGAGAATAAGGAGGAAGGAGGTGGGAGGAGTGGCAGACAGAGGGGGCGGGCTCTCTAGCGGTTGTTCTTGGCCGCCTCCTTAGCGGCCACGATGAGAGGAGTCAGACTGGAGAGGGGCTTCGCCATCTTCAGAAACTGGTGCTGAGAGGAAGAGGAGAAGGTGAAGGAGAGGACGAGGAGGGAGGGGGAGAGCAGAACGAGGGGGAGAGAGGAGAGATTAGAGGAACGGGAGAAGGAAAGAGAGGGAACGGGGGAGGCAGGAGGAGAGAAGAGAGAAATATTTCAGTTCACTGCAGCGCTGCCTGACCTCTTATTTAATGCTTACGTGCACACAAATAAATCAACTTGTACACGATTACTTCAGAGCACAAGGACTCATACAAAGGAGCCTTTGAATCGGATTACTTCTATAACAGACCTCCTTCTGAAAGTACCACGTCACCGTTTCCCCCTCAGCTCTGAGTCATCGTAGAGTTCTATGGCCCCAGACACCTACACTTTTACACACCCACACATCTTCACACCTACACACCCGCACACCCACACATCTTCACACCCGCCTGTCTCCCTGTTTTACCTCATTAAAAGAGGACGTAATTTATATTTGTCAAACCACCTAAAGGCGGCTCTGGAAAGACGATTATCTATTACTCACACACACACACACACACACACACACACACACACACACACACACACACACACACACAGAGCTGTTGTACCTGCAGCAGCTCTTTTGCTGACCCCCTCTTCTCAACGTCCATCTCCAGACATCGGTTCAGGAAGTCCCTGAACGTCGTCGACAGCGTCTCTGGGTTCTGCAGCTCTCGCGTCCCGTTGGTTGCTATGAGATACAGTGCCTAGGAGAGAGGGGGGGGGGGGGGGGGGGGCAGAACACATGGTGTGACCAACACGGTAGTCCTCATCCCATGAAGATAAACAACAACAGCAAATGGTGTAAATTCATTCTTCTGGCGCCATCGTGTGGCGGTTTCCAGAACAGCAGCAATAACAACTGTATGTGCAGAGGACCATGAGTCCGGTTTTCTTTCTTTCTTTCTAGGTACGTTAAGTGCATTTGAAAATATTAGCATGTGTTAATATTTATGTCTAAGTTGGCTTTACAGTCTGTGAATTATACAAAACCCTCAGTCTTCATAATATTAAGACAAAATGCGTCTTTCATAGCAAACACTGTCTCACCCTCAGCGGGTTCTCATTCAAGTACGGCGGCTCCCCCTCCACCATCTCTATGGCCATGATGCCCAGGGACCAGATGTCCACTTTAGGGCCGTAGGCCTTGCGGGTCACGACTTCGGGTGCCATCCAGTATGGCGTCCCCACCATGGTGCTGCGCTTACTCTGCTCCGGAGTGATCTGGGCGCAGAACCCGAAATCCGCTGTGAGGTAGACAAGAGGACGACGTGAGCTTATTTACAATCAATCTGTAAAACATTCGGACCTGTTTTCAGCACATTGAGGACCAAACCGAAGGAATCGGGGTGCGTGACAGGGGGAGGGGGAGCTGCCCGTGGTCCCGTTTGAACATGAACATAACTGTGACTGTGACATAACGGTGACTATGTAACAGCTCGGCAGATGTGTCTCTCCCATCTTCTTCTAATTAATGAGTCAAACAGAAAGGTAGCGCTGATAACGCATCACTGTGCTCTTGTACAGTGTGGTCCCACACACTGAGCTTTAACACTGGTCCCAATAGAATCACAGCTCCCCAAGGCGGTCAATACCAATAATAATAATTAACAATAGTTAGGATAAATAAAAGTGACAAGATGTCTTGTGTGGACTGACTGAGTTTGACGGAGCCGTCCATGCCCAGCAGGATGTTGTCGCTTTTAATGTCTCGATGGATGACCTGGTTCGAGTGGAGGAACTCCAACGCTTGGAGACACTGGGAGTCAGGGAGAGGGACAGAGCAAGATAGATTAAAAAAAAGTCAGACAGAGGGACAAAGACAGACAGAGACAGACAAAAAGTCAGACAGAGGAACAAAGAGACACACAGACAAATCAAGGGAAGAAAAAAAGGAGAGAGATGATGTCATACCGGGATTTTTTAATTAGTTTCCAACAAAGATGACGTCCCCTGTCTCCTTGTCTCTTACCTCTCTGCACACAGCAGCTATCTGGGCTTCATCCATGCAGGTCTCCGTGACGACGTCAGTCAACGAACCTCCCGCCAGGTACTCCATCACCACCCACAGCTCATCACCCACCAGGTAGCTATGGAAACCATCAATACACACAGATATTAAGCTCCATCTCTAGGCACTAAACCCTGACATCGGAGCGGAAGCTTCAGATGAAATGAACGTTTCGGTTCAGGGGGTCAGAGAATTACTACATATTTGACCTTGGATTTTTCAAATGTAAATAACCATTTCAAAGGTTAATTAAGATTTTCACATATCTAGGAGTCTCGCCACACCAGGCATCGACACGGCGGGTCCTCGAGTGACTGTCCGTCAGATGGAATCCACTAATTTAAAAATATATATTATATATTTACTGTCAAGAACTAGCTGTGTTTTTTTACTGCAGTCAGAATATTCCATTGTCAGAGGATGAATCTCAGCTCAGTGTGAACCTGCCAAAACTAAAAATAATCCTCCAACTTTTAAAGCCACAGCTACCTGTGTGTGAGTGGGGGGACGGAGGGGGGGTCTAACCTGTCCAGGTAGTTGACTATGTTTGGGTTCTTATTTTCCCTCATCACCAGAATCTCATTGATGATCAGCTCCTTCTTGGGCTGCTGCTGCAGGTTCATCTGTTTGATGGCAACCTGAGGAAGCAAAAAAAAAGTTGCACATGCTAAATTTTGTTCTATTTTTCTCATTTACATGCAAATAAATCACACTGATGTGAGATGAAACAGAGCACAGAGCCATGAGAAATAGAAGTGATCTTTCATTAAAAGGGAAAGATAGCATGAGAGGGAAAAAAATGAGGACGAGAGGGGACAGACATGGAGCGGGAGGGACGTGTCTCCACCCAATGGCAGTAAAGGGTCGTCAGGCAGAACACATCTAAAAGTGAGCACACAGAGGAAAACCGGGAAGGATTATTCCCACAGTCTTCAAAACTTGAACGTGGGCGTTGCTGCTGTTGAGGGAACACTTTAATCCAGCCAGTAACACAATGTTCTCAGTGTGCTCATAACTGCTCTACGTCTGACTGGATGAACCCACCTCAGCCTCCCGGTACCTCTTAGAACATCTAGCAAATGAAAACAAGTCAGCTTTGCTTCTCTGTGAATTTGCATTCATAGCTGTCAGTCTGGGATATTAATTAGAAATTACTTCAGCACTAGGATTTGACTTCATTTAAGGTAATTTCTGTAACCAGTCAAATTATATTTGAGACAATAGTTGCTTTCCTGTTGTGGTGAACTAATTTTAAGGCCATTTAAATAAGCAGCATAGCTTACTGGCAATCATCGGAGGGATTGCCTTAGAAATGACAGGACACTGTCCTCCCGTTTTACCAACATGTGGCATTCTCTCTGTGATGGCGGAGCCTGGCTATAAGCTGGAAGAGCAGAGGGAATGGAACCCACCTCCTGTCCCGTGGCGATGTCTATAGCCGTGTACACCGTCCCGGACGCCCTGAAAACACACAGCAGAGAACCTCCTCATCAGCTCCGCGTCATCCGGTGCTGCTGGCAGAAGACAGAGCTTTCCACAGAAAGTGGATGGCTTCAGGGAAGCCGGCTCGGGGTCCGTCCACTGCTGGAGCCCCACCCGGTGGCACCGATGATGATCATTAAGAACAACAATATGGAAACAGCCAATGTTCCCACTGATGGTCTCTTTATCACTTTTTCCATATTTAGGATTGAGTTGTTAAAAGTTTAAATCGAATGAATATTCGATGAAATACCTTGTGTATCAGGGGCTTTAGCTTAAACAGATATTAACCACAAATCAGCTAATATTACCTGCTGTTCTTACCCACGAGAGGATGGTTAAGGGGTATTTACTGTGAGTTGGGATGCTGTGCTAATATTATTGACATTGTGGTCAAAAACCCTTCAACTGAAAGCTTTGTTGTCAGATGAGACTCCGGCTTTAGTAGAACTAGAGGATGAAAGGAACCCTCAGGGTCAGTGATGCCGTTTCACACGCATGGACTCTCACTTCTCTTCTCTTTGCTTTGAGTAAGGGAAACACCGGAAATCCTTCACTGTGATGATTGTTGAGCCCGGCTATAAATGATTGGACCAATCCCAGCCGACCCAACGTATCCACGCAGCCACAGTGGATCGGTGACGCTTACCCCTGTCCGATCTTCTCGAAGCGCGTATATTTCTTCTTGGGGTCGCCCACACTCACGATCGTGCCTGAGTGAAAGAAAAACAGAGACAGGAGAGGTCACATGGGGGATCAAAACGAACGGAACGAGTTAGAGAAATGAACTAGGCCCAACAATAGGATGTATACATTATTTTTAATGTTCCACAGAATCTGAATAGATAGAAGAGTCAGGAATCTTCTTATCCATCCGAATTCTACCCTATTTTCAGCACACTGAAGTCAATGCAGCATGCTGACCAGGAGAGAGAAGCTAAGAGGAAGAGGAGGAACGAGAGACTAAACAGGTCGGAAACTAAACTGAAATGTAAAGAATGCGTGAAAGAGTTTGAAAAAAAAAGACAATTAAGAAAGTAAAAACTGGCACACAGCTGGAACATTAAGGAAAGAAATTACATGAGACAGACAAAAGGAAAATATCAAGAAAGACAAAAACACAAAAAAGACCCAACAATAGAAAGGAAGGAGGCAAAGGCAGAAAGCAATGAAGTAACAGTTGCTAGAAGTGCAAACGAGGAAAAACTGAAGAAAGACGTAGTGGGACAGAAATTAAGGACAAAGGAAAGAAATAAAAGAGGAAAAAAAAACAAGAAAAATGCAGAACGACATAAGGACAGGGAGACAGAAGCATCTGGAGCAGCTCCGTCTGCAGTTCATTAATCAAAGTCCACAGAAGGAAAGTGATTAGAGGACAAAACTTGGAGTCTGTAACCGCTGGAGATGATGGATAGAGAGAGGACGACCAATCGGACGTGAGGATTGGACAGTGGGGGGCGGAGACAGTGGATATCATGTCTGTCAGTCAGAGAGACACACAGACAGGCAGTATCCTGGTCTTACCAGCAGAGGGAGATCTGAGCACATCTGGACAGGCGTGGGGCATGATTTAAAAAATATACAGTCTTTTATTACAAATACACAACAACACATTCCAACACGGGGGGAGGTTGTTTTATTATGTGCTTTTATTCTGAACGCTTGTGGCCTGAATTAGTCACAGTGCATTAAGCAGCTCATTAAGGGCCATTGGAGGATTTATTTACCCTAAAGGTTGGAAATAATGAACAATCATAACCAAAATAAACATTGTAAAGATATACTTGTTTTCTTTACTAACGGTTATGGTTTAAATATATTAAATACTGTGATGTATAGGATTTTTTTATAATGAAAACAGTTTTTTTATACAAATTTAAAGTTTGGGACTTTGACAGCTTTACCACGTAATGTAAACATCATAGGTGTCAGGATAGGATTTATACTGTTATTAACAAGGTATTGCTATAAAATCATCTGCGGTATAAGTACTAGAGCTCGGCAGGTGACCTCGCAGCGTCTGATCAAAATAAGATCTCATTCTAACAACTGTTGTTTAATGTGGACAATCTGAGACTTTATTTGGGTTTGAAATGAGGAGCGTTGCCCAGACGATCTCCAAGCTTTAAGTCAGGGCGGACTGATGAACCTTGAGAAACAAAAGCTTTAAGCGTTAATGTCCCGACAACCGCTACAGTAACGGGAAGGGGGCATTGGGGGGTGGGGGTGGAGAGGCTCGGTGAGCTACGGGCGAAATAAGTAGTTTAAAGGTTGCAGTGAGCACTGCAACACAAAGTACACTACAAAGTGTTTAACACTTGAATAACGAAAACTTCTCAACAGGGTTTGAGACACGGCAGCTGGTTTATATTGAAGTGAGAACGTTATGTAACCTCTCACGTCCCACACTACTCAGCTCCGTGAACCTGTATTTGAAATGAATATTCGCACCATATATATGTATTATTATCAGAAATTCCAATTGTTAAAAATAAAACACAATATTTGCAGCACCAAACTTGCCTCGAGGCTAAAATAAAACCCAGTCTCCTCTGTGTGGGTGCGGAGAGACAATTATTAAACGCAAAGAGTACAAATGGGCTAAAATGAGCTGTCAGAGACTCGCTGAACTGCAGCAGAGGATATTCTCTTTCTACCGCACCGCCTTGCTGCTACAAACCGCGTCAGACTAAAGACCCCCGTGGTCACGGCTGTGAAGGCGTCCCGGTGTCCTAACACTTCTCCCTCTACTGGTTTCACACCGCCAGCCTTTCGGGACCCGTGGCTTAGTGTCTCCCATGTGTGGTGATGAGGTTTAGCTGTGATCTTGCTGAGATCAGGTCTCTGAGCACACTAGTTCAATTTCTCCCACCACACTGCAAGAACGTAGTTGTATGGAGACGGCTTTGTGCAGGTGCTGTAATGCTTGTAGCGTGAATACGGGGCTGGGAGCATTTCCATTCCCCCTTGAGGTGGTCCCCACATGGCGTAGCCTGAGGTGGGGGCTTGCAGCTAATGCTGCTAATAGCGCTAACAGGGTTAATCTCAGAGGGAGCCAGTGGGGGGGCGTTGAAGTTTGAGTGTATGAATGAGCCTTACGTAGTTTCTCTAGGATCTCCTCGTCCGACATCTTCTTCTTCCTGGTTTTATCCAGGGGGCGGGGCACTGAGGGCCCGGGGGCGGGGCTCGCACTGGGAGGGCTGCTGGGAGCTCCCTCCAAGGGAGGGGCGGGGGGGATGGCAGCGGCGGCGCAGGCTGATGGCGGCGGGGAGATGGGCGAGGTTGCGGCATCTTTGGTGGGAGGAGCGGGGGGGAGGGGCTCGATCACCGAGCGAGTGTATATCTGAAAGAACAATCGAAACCATGTGACCCAATTCTAAACAAGAGAGGGTACTGAAGGTACCTATAATAGTGCATCCTTCTTACTTTGTCAGACATTCCAGGGCCACCTATATGTGACAGGGACAGCTTGTAGCAAGTAGTACTACAAATAGTACTAGACTGCATTATTTTAGTTTTTACATCATGTTCCCTGAACAGTAACTATAGCACAATGTGAAAACATTAGCTCGCCTACACTTGTGACAATAAGTATTAGAATTATTCTTGAACTATTTATTGGTAGCAATTTATTTATCATTGAACATTAATATCCAGGATTTACATTACATGTCATTTAGCTGACGCTTCTATCCAAAGCGGCTTACAATAAGTGCATTTCAACCAAAAGGACACAAACTCAAAACTCAACTAGAGAAATTTCTATCGTCTCAAACTTCAGATTTAAACAAAACTGTGTCCGTACATTCTGTTACACATTACACTGTATTTATCTACATTGTGTCATTGTTTTTAGAGTTTACTATATTATACTATACTAATTTGTTTATATTTGAAATAATTCTATTATTATCTCTTACATATTGATGTACTATACTACTTGAATCTACCGTTACATTATATTAATAAATTACTACCGTTCACTTTATATTATTATATCCTATCCAACAGTGTAACATAATTTTCCATAAACTGTTGATTTATACTCCTATACATGTCATACTCTATTTATATTACACCGCTGTATCAATACCTACAAACACTAAGTGCTGTTACTTAATCATTTCATATATAATTTATATTATTCTGCTGTTAACTTAAGCTTCCTGAATGGCTTTTAGCCGTTTTTAAAATCTGCCGTGTCATAGAAATTCGGATTTGCTCCCACAACTGCAGCAGGCCTCGGCCGTGCCACATTATTTTCTGCAGAAAAAAATGAATCAATCAGCAGGTTCCTGAAAGCTGCTTTAGTAAAGTGATCCATCACAATAAACAGAAATCAGCTCTGCATTACTTGTTGTCAAAGTTGCTTTATAGTTATGAGGGACTGATGACTTTTCAAAGTGTTGAGCATTTATTCTCTTTCAGAAGAAATATGGCAATGACAATGGAAATTGTAAGAATATATATACATGTCTTTTCAATAATATTCTAATTCTGGATTAAATTAAAGTTTGGGATAACTGTGTGACCAGTAAGTGATCTATGTTGCAACTTAGCTATGTGCTCTGTGTGTGTGTGTGTGTGTGTGTGTGTGTGTGTGTGTGTGTGTGTGTGTGTGTGTGTGTGTGCGCTACAGCAATGGCTCCAGTCAGGTGCACCAGACCAGTCGCCGTGGAAACTATGGTGGCGCCATGGAAGCAGCCTCTCAACCGCCACCTTGTCTGACAGAGGGGCAACAATGTCTGTGTGTGTGTGAGAATTTCCTCACAGGACCACACAGACATAACAAAGAAGACGTTGGTTGCTAATGTGTGTGTTGTATGTGTGTTTTACCTGATTATGATATAAAGAAAATATCCAGTATATTTAACATCTTATTTAACTTATGGATAAGCATTTTTGTTTAAACATTTAATGGTAGTTCTTTAATATTTTCCATCCACACACACACACACATAGTTTTTCCAACTCTTTGGTTGTAGATATTTTAGGTCTTTAGTTGTAGTTTTCTAGGACTTTAAGGTTTCTCCTTCTTTAGTTCTATCAATAAACAAATCACCTGTAGGACTTTAGTTTCTCAACAATTCTAAAGCAATTCCCCAGGAATATTTTCCATGACTCCCGTTCCCATAATGCACTATCACTATACATAATCAGCTCATAGTAGTGTATTACATGTTTATGTATTATATTCTTGCATAGAATAAACATTCATTTTGCCTTGGCTGGCCTTCATGGCTGTTTGAAGCTATGCTAACAGCGTATGTGTGTGCGTGTGTGTCCTTACGGATTTGGTGTGCTCTGGTCGGGGGGCGATCACCGGCGGGGGCTCGGCCTCATCTTCGTCGTCGTCCTCGGATACGGTCGATATGGCGGGCGTCTCTGACACAGCCTTGGAGCTCTGCGTGACATTGCACGGGGGGAGAAGGCGGAGCCTTAGTGACATCATTGTCACATGAGAAAACATCAGACCCAGCATTGCTTCATACAGTACGCGTCTCTTCTTCTACTACTGCTGCTGCTTCATCCTCTCATCCGCCAGAGAAACCCTCCAGCTCTCCTTCTCTGCTCGTCTTGCTCTCTGAATCGGACTTCCACTTTTCCTGTCTCCCTCTGTCCTGCCACCCTCTTATCTCTCGCCCCCCTCTAGTCATCACTGTTGATGTCTGAAAGCTGTCGACATGTCTTGCTGCTGATGCCACAAGTCACACATCCTCCCCTCCATCATCCTGCTCTCCGTCCTCTCTGCTCGGTCTCTGACGGTCTGATGCTCGGCCAGTGGCCAACCTGCATAGACGAGGGAACGGCGAGAGGAGGAAAAGATGCTGATTCACAATGCAGAGAGAGAGAGAGAGAGAGAGAGAGAGAGAGCGCCTCTACGTGTGACATCATCATCATCACTATCTGCTATCGCTTTATTCTCACTTTCATAGTTTGGGCCTCAAAGGCGCATTTCACACATTTGCACAGCGTGATCATTTTTTATTTCAATAAGAACCATGGAGTTTGAGAATGTGTGTGTCACCAGCGATAACAGGTGGTACTGTATTGGAAAGGCCATCGGCAGTTTAAAATATCGTCTCATCTTAATCCTTTCGTTGCTCATCACCCTGACAGATGTAACTCACTCTCTTTTCCAATTTACCTTCCTTCCCGCTCAAACTACCCGGTAAATCTTAAAACAAAATCAGAATTCTATACAACCCGAGGAGTCGCCCCCTGCTGGCCGGTAGAAAGAAAAATGAATGTGTGGAACTATGGTCAGTTGTCATTGGCTGCAGCGAGTCTTATCACACATGCTGAAGACGTCTTACCGTCGTGGTGGAGGAGCTGTAGGCATCTGCGTTTTTATCTGCAGGGAAAAACACAATGAGAAATAAGGAAGAGGAAAATCAGGGGGGAAGATAAAGGCGTGCGCGTGGGAATGTGTGTACGTGTGTGTGTTTATGTACCTGTGAAGCTCATGTACTTCTGGCTGTTGGCTGTTTCTTTCGAGTCGTAGAACTTTAGAACATCGAGGACCGCCTGAGGATTCTTCTTCTGCTCCAGTTTGGTGATGTTGGACGTCTGCAGGAGCCGTGCCCACTGCTCAGGCATGCCCTACACACACACGCACACACACACACACACACACACAAACGGTTTTACTTATGTTTTTTTATTCCATTTGGTGTGTATCGTTTGTAGTTATCAATGAGCTTTGTCACAAATCCCTATCAACTTATAATGCACACTACGTTTCAAACAGTTCAACAGGATATCATATGAGGAGGACACGCACACACACACACACACACACACACACACACACACACTACTATCCTAACAAGGCAGTCTTGTCATATTTGTACTTCAGTCACATAACTGGGTCACATGTTTTCTCTCCCTCTCTCTCCTCGTCTGTCTGGGTCAGTCCCTCACTCTCGTTCTCCCACTCCATGCTTCATCTCTCTGTCTCTCCACCCTGCTCAGGTCTCATCTGTCCCTACTGTTCACCGTTCACACCTCCACCCCTGCCTCCATCCGTCTGACGCCTCTGTACACGGCTCTGCTCTACTCCAATCAACACAAGCTAAATATGTTCCTGGAGTAAAAATGTTTCAGTGCAATTTGGTGTGTGTATGAGTGAGAAGAATGTCCCAGATTACAGAAACGGTAGCATGCACACACACACACACACACACACACACACACACAATCCCAGCTAAAAGAGCTTGGTCAGGCGGATCAAGTGAGTGAGCTAAACAAGGCTTCTTTGTCTATTGTGGCTATTTAAAAAAGTTCATTTGACAAATTAGTTTGTTTTGAACACACACATACACACAGAAGCTCACGCATCAGTGAACATGGGTCCTTTTGTAAGCAATTAAAAAGTAAAGCGTATACACACAAATGAGGACGAACACACACTTACAGTAAATTCCCCGGTAACGGCATCGAAGCCAACATGGATGGTGTGTTCAAAATCAGACGGCAGGGAAATCTCGGGACGCTCCTTCTTCTTATAGGCTGGAGGAAGAAAAAAAAACAACATAATAATTGTTAAATGTATGTATTTCAGGACGCGCAGTGGTCCAAGTATTCTTTTCCCTTTGGAATACAAAGAAACCCAGTTCATTAGAATTTCCGGAAAGGTCTTAAATCCGGAGAGAATCAAAAAGAAACTGAGAGAAGCATAACAGAAGAAATTAGGAAACAAAAAATGAGGTTATTACGAAGCGTTCCCAAGTAGATATTTGGGGTATCAATGGATGAATAATTATTAATTAATCGCACATTTTGAAATTCATTAATCGCATATAAAAGTTTGTTGTTCTTCTAAAGAAGAATCTTTTAAGGAACAAGTAATCACCTACACACGTGTATTTTAGACACTGTTTAATTGTATTTTAAACACAAAACTACGCACATGGCAACAATCTCCGCACATTTAGCCAGGAGGTTTTACCCACTACTGTCAGGGACACAGTGGTGCAGACTGTGTGCCGCGCAGGGTAGATGTAGATTAGCAGCGAGCTTAGCCTGGCAGCGAGCTTAGCCTAGCAGCTAGTTTAGCCTAGCAGCTAGCTTAGCCTGGCAGCTAGCTTAGCCTAGCAGTGTGTTAAGTGGTCCGTTTGCCACCCACCCCCCTTCTGTTTGACACGTGGAGTAATCCCTCTGCAGTTATCTGCTGCATGTCGCGCCTCTGCTTGTTTTACTTCCAATGCAAAAAGCTCTCTCCATCTTTAACTATCATCTCAGTCTCTCCGATCTGACGGACTGCAGCACGCGGCACGTTACGTGTTCCGGTTCAACGCACACCGGAAGTAAGCACAGTTGCGTTAACAGCGTTAAATTATTTTATCGCATTAATCTCGGCAGTCATATAGATAATGGCCTTAATTTTGACCTTAGTAGATATTAGAATTGAGTTAAGAGCTTTTAAACATCTAAGCAGCTCTCTGCACGCCATTTAAAGTACTAATGACTAGATCAAGAACAATAACATTTAAAATGTGTGTTTTTATAAAAAATGAAATACTAAGGATGACAATGATACAATTTAGTGTTTTTGATAGTGGATCATTATTGAATGGAAATTAGTGTCAGTGGCCAGGAAATATAACCAGGGATATATTTAGTTCCTTTCTTCTTTTGTACTTATAAATCCAGAATCCGATTTGTGATATTGAGGTTGTGCACCACAACTGAAGAACAAAAACTGAAATAATAAAATAGTTTATTTGCCTCCTGGCAGAGAGTCAATTGAGAAGATGAGATCCGTCTGTGCTTTGCTCAAGGGCTGCACGAGTAGCTGTGCAATCCCCCCGCTCCCCGCAGTCCCACCACAGCCATCTCGGTACTCACTCTTGTCGCCGCCCCCCGTCAGGATGAACCGGATTGAGCGGTCCTTTTTCTTCTCCGGGTTGGGTGGGAGGGGCTTGGAGCCGTGGTTGAGCGGCGCGGGGTCCTTGTTGCAGGAGCCAATCATGGTGCTGGTGTTCCTCATGGGCGGAGCAGGGGGCTTGTCCTCGACCTCCCCATTATCAGACATCTTCAGCTAGGCTGCAGCCGGCCGCTCCTGCACAGAGACGGGACGGGAACAGAGGGGAGAGTCATCACCCAATCAGAGGTGAGCATTCACGACACGGCTACTCTTTGAATTTATTTATGCAAAAATGCTCAATTTACAATGACGGAAAACTTTACATTTAAACCTTATTCAAAAAAGAATTCTGCATCTCAAAGTCCAATTCAGAGAAAGAAAGAAATGCATTTTCCATTTGCTCACTGAGCGGTCTGTTTGATCAGTAAACACTGACTAACCATAGTGTGTGTGTGTGTGTGTGTCTACTGACTCACATTTAAATGCTAAGAGAAGGAAAGTAAAAACTCTCTTCCTGGTCAAGACACGACACACGCACACACGCAGCTGATAAGTAGGGACATTTTAATGAATGCTTTTGCCACACTGCCTAACCTGCTCAGCTGAAAGTCCCACAAGGAGAGTCTATTTTAGGCACTACCACACACACACACACACACACACACACACACACACGTGCGAAGAGGATGTTGATGACTTGTCAGTGATCTGTTGATCCCCAAAAGAGATTTGACTTTTAATAAACATTAAAGTCTACTTCCTTCTGTGATGTCTCGCCTTCACACATTCATCAATAAAGTTGAGCGACTACAATTAAAAAAAGAAATCAATCATGGGTTAAAACTATACTTTGCATGCTGGGATCCCAGCAGCGAGCCAGGGACCTGGACCAGGATATGCGTTGGATTGCTTTTTAATATTTGAGAATCGGGTTGTGGGCAATATATAGTATTTGCGTTTCAATTTTGGTATCTGCGTATTTTAAAAGGGTTTAAAATTTGTCCAAAGATCTCAGAGTTTTACACTGTATCCTACACTTCCCATAATGCATATCTTTAATGAGGCTTCCCAGGCTGAGGTGACATCATTGGGTTTATGCAGCATTGGGTTTACGTGTCGTCACCGTTTCCACGAGCCGAGCGCTGTTCAACACAACCAGCGGCTCTTTAATATTAGATCTAATACTTGAGCTGGGATGAAGCAGAAGAGCATTGATTAATCAATGAAAAAGGGCTGTTTTATCATCACACAGCTCTTTTCAGTTATGGCCTCCACAACAACGAGGCGATGCTGTCGATCGCTATCAGGCAGATGCAAATCCGCTCTTCTACCAATCTTCAGTCGGCCGTATTCCAATGACCAAACTCACTTTCACTCTCGTTTTTTCAAACAAGACCTTAGAACTGGGATCAGTTTACAGCACCAATGGTACAAAGTCCCGCTGAGCTGCTCTCTGGTCAGCTACCACTGTCTACAGGGCCTGAGCACATGACGCGGTTTCATCACATATCTAAAAAAATATAACAATTTCTTCATCACTTTTTTTTTTCAAATGCGTACACAATGAGCAGAAAACAAACAAACAACAGTTCTAAGCATAGAAACGAGCAGCACAGTACAACAACATGTGTGTTACTTTTCTTTTGTAAGATCAGATTTAAAATAAACATAAGAACAATGAAGCAAGTTTAAAAAAGTAACACCCGCCTGTGCTTAAATCTAAAAAACACCTCAAAGAATCCCTCACAACAAAATGATACACATTGTCGTCGCTTTAATGAGGTAAAAGGGGATGACTTCCCCCTATCTTACCTTAGCAGAGGCAGACAAACATGTTAACAACTAAAAATTGACCCAAAAGGAAACAAACAACAGCAAGGAGAAAACGTCGAATCCACCGACTTAAATCCAAGGACAGAGAGAGAGACGCTCCGTCGGCCTTTTGACCAAAGCCGCCCCCCCCGCAGACGGTGATGTCACGGCATGATGCCACAAGGTGAGTCACACAGGAAGTGGGGAAACACAGCGGCCGACACTACCACACACACACACACACACACACACACACACACACACACACACACACACACACACACACACACACACACACACACTCTTAGCAAGCAACAGGAACACTACAGCCAGTCACTCAACATGTATGCTGCATGTGCACACACAAACAAACTTTATAAATATCTTTATACACTCAAATTAAACAGAATCACAGCCCAAAAATCACCTATGAATATTAAAATAATTTCTTCAAACACACTACACACACACAGACGCACACACAGGGTACAAGACAGCAGTGGCCTCGTATTTCAGACGCTGTTGGTTTCAGATGAGCACTGATATCAAACAAACCCACACACATGTGCTATGTGACATTTGACCGACAAATGGAAAAAAAAAACATGATAATGCAAGAAGACAAAATGAGGCCAAACAATGCAACAACAAAATCACACAGAACAATATTACGCCACCTTCACGTCACCGCAAAACAAAAGATTAATTTAGAGTTCAACAAGAGTTCTCAAAAACATCAAAACTACTGACCGGTAGCATATAAAAGGAAATGAAAGAAGAAAAAAACCTTTCATTACCTGTTGGAATATTGTGAGAATGGTCAACAACAACTACAAGGTTTCAGAAACACAAACGTGTTTGAACCGCAGCACGGGAAGAAAGAAAAAAGGTTTGTTTACGGTCTCATACCACACAGCGTATCTGCTGACTCCGCGTGTGTGTGTGTGTGTGTGTGTGTGTGTGTGTGTGTTTGACAAAAAATATCTCCTCCCGCTGAGCCACAAATTTTCATCCTTCTCTCCCTTACTGGCGTTTTAAAATCTGTTAGCCTGAATCTCTCAGCTCAGACGCCATAAGTTACCTGATGATAACAAAGTGTACCTCATAGCGTTTCCTTGTTATTCTGCCACTCGGGAAGCAGCTGACTCCATCTGATGAAGGGGAAGTTGAGATATTCTCTCGGTTTTTGGACTCCATTCAAACGGTTGCTTAAGCTGCTAAATTATTGGGGTTCACGTGCAGTCTTGAACCCGGCCCGTCCTTTAATATCGGGTAGTGTCCGAGCCTGTTACAGGCAGTGACCCATCCATCCACCCATCCATCCACCCATCCATCCATCCATCCATCCATCCACCCATCCATCTTCAAAGCCGCTTACCCTTCATACTGGGTCGCGGGGGGCTTTAGTCAATCCCAGCAACTTTGGGCGAGAGACGGGGTACACCCTGGATTTGCAGGGCTGACACAAAGACAAACAACCATTCACACTCACATCCACACACCGACAACAACCTGATCCCCAGAGCATGTCTATGGACTGTGGGAGGACGGGCGGAGGTGGGGATCCACACTGTGGCAGAGCGGATGTGCCTGCATCGGCCCGATCGACAGGATCGCCTCGTTGATGTGGAGGCCAAAATAACTGAAAAGAGCTGTGTGATGATAAAACACCCCTGATTCATTTTAACGATACACGTATTCACCACCAAAAGGTGATATCAATGCAAAAGAGGCGAAGCCCCGCCCCTTATTGGGTCCCCTGTGGGAAGTTGTTTTTCGAAAATCAATTTGGACATCCAACCCATTTAGTTTTAACCAATTAGCAAACTGCAACTGCCAACACAGCTGGCTAACTTATCTATGACAACATCATGGGACTTTCTTGATGTCAAAATTACTTTTTAGATTAAAACATATTATATGAGTGTAGCATATTCAGTTCAAAAGGATCTGTGGGAGCTATTATTTAGTTATTTATTCTTAAATATAGTTTGCTAAATTGTTTGGATAATTGGATCACTAATTGGGTAATGCTGTGGGCACCTGGAGGTTACTTGGGGGCATAGTCAGGTGGGACCAGCATGCACCTGGGTGACGAACACCTTTTACCGGAGAGACACCGAGTTAGAGCGACGGAGCACTGCATAGAAAGGCAGACAAGTTGTATCGTATGTGTTGTGTATTCTGTGGAATAAAGGCGAAACAAAGGAAACGATCGCCAGGACAATCCGCTTTCTTACTGCGTGAAAGAAAACAACAAACTAGGTGCAGCAGTGGCCCTTAGATTCAAAGATGTGTTGGTAACAAGGGCAAATGGTCACTACAGAATCAAATAACCACTAGTCTTTTTCCATGTATACTGTTCACTGTAACGTACCTGCAGTCCATAACAACACGGGGGCAGTACGTATAGAAGAATGTGTGTTTGTTGTACAGTGATCCCTCGCCACTTCGCGGTTCACTTATCGCGGATTCGCTATTTCGCGGATTTTCATATTGCATTTTTTTTTTTTTTGGTGCATTGTGCTCTGCATTCTGATTCGCTAAAAACTCACTCCCGAGCCGTTCATTACAGTTCTCCAACGTAATCGATGGTGGCATGTCGGTGTACAAGGATCTTTTTGCAAAGAAGAAAAGAGAGCGACAACAGCTGCCTATCACTATGTTCTTCTCCCGAACAAACACACCTGCACCGCGGGCTTCAGAAGAAGAGAACACTGCAGAGCGCAGTCAGGATGCAGCGGCCCAGTCTGAAGAGCAGTGAAACGGCCTACACGCGAGTCACTGTATTTGTATACATGTAATAGTTTCCTAATTGTAAAAAAAAAAAAAGTTTTCTATTTCGCGGATTTCACTTATCGCGGGTCATTTTCGGAACGTAACCCCCGCGATAAACGAGGGATTACTGTATTCCCAACAAGCCCTTTAGTCACATGGTCATTATTAATGATCACCCATAATTTATGAACGAATTTTTCTCTGTCGGAGATAATACTAAATATTAGACGGATGCTGTAGAAGACGCACATTCCACACACACACACACACACACACACACACACACACACACACACACACACACACACACACACACACACACACACAACAAGAGACAGTTGCTGTTTAATGGCGGCATTTCCTGGAAACGCCATGTCAGCCTCTGCAGCCACGTTTACTGGAAGTCATCTCTCACACACACACACACACACACACACATCACATTACATTTTAATAACACAGAGAGTCCTGCTGCTCTGCATCACTTCATTGTATCTGGCCTCGGTTTGGCTGCTGTAGTGTGAGCTGCCTCTACTCTCAGTTTAACAAGATACACTTGCAGCTGGTAATCCGTGTGATTAGTAAGTGTTGATCATAAATAAAGA